AACGGTTACGTTCTGGCCCTTGGCGAGCAGGACCGGGACCCTGGCCCAGTAGTGGTTGAAGCGCTCCAGACGCACCGTCAGCACCCCCGCCTCGGCGTCGGCCTCCAGAATGCGGAAGAAGAAGGGGTGGCCCTCCGGCTCCGCGCGCCCCCGCCCCCCCCCCTTCTAGAACTCACCCGACCCAACGGTTACGTTCTGGCCCTTGGCGAGCAGGACCGGGACCCTGGCCCAGTAGTGGTTGAAGCGCTCCAGACGCACCGTCAGCACCCCCGCCTCGGCGTCGGCCTCCAGAATGCGGAAGAAGAAGGGGTGGCCCTCCGGCTCCGCGCGCGCGACCTGGACCAGGGTGAAGGGCACGAAGCCAGCGGCGCTGGCCACAGGCAGCTCCAGCACCGGCGCGTGCTGCCAGGAGTGGGAGCGCGGACCGCCGCGGAGGGGCAGCGTCACGTCCTCCCGCAGCACGCTGGAGGTCACGGGGACGGCCATGGAGGGGATGACCTCGAAGGTCTTGGTCACCCGCCCGCCGCTCACGTCCACGCCCGTGTTGGCAGACACCACGCTCCACCCACTTGTGATCTTGGTGGGGGCGGACCAGGTCGCGCCTGCAGGCGGTGCATGGGGTAGATGTGTGTGGTGGCCGGGGGGTGGACTGAGGCGTATTCTTGTTGTTGCCTTGGGGGCGACACGATGAAAATCGTTGTATTGCGTGACGAGCAACGGCCCGATGGGAAGTGGAGACCAAGGTGTGGTAGTGATTTGCCGCGAGAATTAATCTGGCCTGGGCACTGGCTGCCAATGCAGGGGGGACCCCCTTGACCCCCAACGAGGCTAGCCTCTGCACTCTGTCAAGACGCTGCTGAGCGCCACTCCGTCGGGACCCCACATCTCACCGCACAACCCCCACTCTCTCCCGCACACCCGTGTCGTCCAGCATGCGCGAGATGATCAGGTTGTTGTCCTGGGAGAAGTGGCGCTCCGTGCCCACGACATACACGCCGCTCTTGCACCTGAAAATCTGCATCGGCGGGGTGAGGGGACAGGGGGGGGAGCGTGTGGTGTATTGCAGTTCCTCCGCGGACAGGGGCTGGGATGGGCAGGGCAGTGCCAAAGTCAATGCCTGGGGCGCCGGCAGGCCATGCCTTGGGGCATCCACGAGGACCGCCTGGCACCCTCCCTGCACCATTCCAGAAACCAGCAAGGAGTGCACTGCCGTCCCATCCGGACAGGGACTCCTTAACCCACCGTCACCATCGACGCCCGGCCCCCAGGTACAGCCCTTCCCCAACAAACCCCGGTTGTGGACTCGTAAACGACCCCCCGGCCCCACCCTCCAGCCATTCCCCCTCACCTGCGGCCAGTTCATGGGGTGGATGGTGCCCACCTGCGCCCAGGTCAGCCCTCCGTTGTCGGAGGCGAAGACCAGCTTGGTGGCCACATCCTCGTTGGTGCCCCAGGAGATGGACCGCTCCAGCACCGAGAGGAGGCGCCCCGAGTCCAGGCGGGTGATGGAGGGCGAGGCGGCGTAGGTGCCCTCATCCTTCACCGAGAATACCGCCACCCCCTTCTCCGACAGCCGGTCATGGGGGAAGAAGCGACGCTGGCCCTTCCTCTGCTTGGGTGGGAGGGAGAGTGAGTGGAGGTGTGGGTCCCGGGGGATGAAACATAGCGTGCTGGGCGGGGGGGATACAACACCCGGGAGAAGGGGGCGGCAGGTCAGGGGTCTCCACCTCAGTCTCCACCATTATTTGAGAGTCCCTGGGTGCCCGATCCAAGGTCCTGGTACAAGGCATCAGCCATGCAGGGCCCCAGCGCGCCCAAAACTTGCCAGCTCTGACTGGATGTCGCCGGCCATGCTCTCAAAGGTGGTCTGCGACTTGGAGAGAGAAACCACGCTGCTGTCGATGTTTTCCCGAAGCTCCTTCACCTGATGAGTGGGACCAAAGGGGTGTGGGGAGCAAGGAGTTGAGCAGGTATTGTGCAATCCCCAAGATGTTGATGGGAACGGGGAATGTCACGGGGGATGGCGGACAGCCAGCAAGGGTCCAATGGAGGACTGTCCTCCGCGGCACCCGACCCAGCGATGACCGCCAAATACAAGATTGGAACGCACGATGCCCGACTCCCAGGCCCAAACACAAGTGACGTCCCCCCCAGCAGCTCACCACAGCCTGCATCTCATCCAGCGCGCTCCGTGCGCTTTTATCGAACGCGATGTCGCCGAGAGCATGGTCGGCGTGCAGTTCCCTAACCATCTGTCTCAGTGACTCCACGAGCTGCCAAGGAGGGCCCGGGGGGTGCAAGGGTCGCATGGGGTTGCCGAGGTCCGTGGCTGATTCACCGTGAATTTGAGCTGACAGCACACCGACTCGGACTCCGCATCCACCCCACCCTCACCTTCTGCTGGGCGCCCACGGTCGTTTGTGTCGCGTCCAGGAAGCGGTACACGAGCAACGGCCCCGTGAAGGCGAATCCCAAGGCAAGGCATACAACTGCCACGCGCCATCCCGTCATTCCCTGCAGGCGCGGTCTTTCCATCAGGGATAGCCTGACGGGAGGATACCGGCCGCTGAGACGCTGCTATTGCGGGGCCCTGACCCTGGCCCTGCACACGCAGTCTTGGGCTGAGTGAGAACCCGCCAGGGCTAGCGAGCCCCGCTTCCTTACACGTCAGCCGTCTTCTGTTGCATAGCACAATTTTTTAATGCCTGGCTGAGGTGATTATTGCGATCGCAAAGTGCGCGCAATGCGGGTAGCGCCATCCGAGGGGGGCCGCAGCAGCTCCGGGGGCCGCAGGCACGTGGACCAAGATCGGAATTTGAGGAAGACGCCAATACGCTATCTCAAGGTCATGAAAATTCCAGCTTTGGGGCATCCATCGCCCGACTGCGTATAATTTACAACTTTCAATATCCCTTGGGAGTTCAATCGCCACTGCTGCGGGGAAGTATCAATAGCCAGAGCATACATACCAGGCGCTCGATTCGAGCTCAAGGCTGCAGCACCCCTCGTTTCGACAGGTGCTCCTGTCGCGGGTCGTAAAGATCGTCCCAGACCTGCGAGAGGGCCTGGCCTGGCACCGGGACAAGCAGCCATTCCGGAAGCTGCGGCACCAGGCCTACGTCGGCAGGGAGCGGGCAATCACCCGACTGGCGGAGCAGTTCCGCGCCCCCCCCGGCATGACCACCGTCGTGGGCGTGGGCAACTGGTCGGCCCAGGACAGAGGGGGCATCATGCGGGGGCCCCCGCCGGGGCCCTGGATCCGCTTCTTGCGGCGCCTGCGGCGGGTGTGCAGGGTGGTGGTGGTTGACGAGCACAGGTCATCAAAGCTGTGCTGCGCCTGTCACGCCACCCTGCACTCCCACCAGTACGTGCGGGTGCGCAACGGCAAGGAGAAGCTGGTGGATGTGTGGGACACGAAGCGGTGTGTCAACAAGGGCTGCAGAGTCCATGTTGTCAACCGCGACGTCAACGGAGCGGCCAACATGCTGATGCTGACCAAGTGCTTTTTTGAGAATGCACTTCGTCCCACTGCATTTGGTGGACCCCCTGTATCGTCTTCTCCCGCCCTCCCACCCCCCCCACCCCCTCTGGTTCGCCGATCGAGGCAACCAACTGCGCCAGTCAGATCCCGCGTGCGGGAAGCAGCTGTGCAACCGGCGCAAGCCCGCTAGCGGCATATCTTCGGCTCGTGCGAAGCATACGCCGTGTTTTCTCAGAGAGGATCGCTTCCATCACGCCAGTGATCTCTCAGAGAATGCTGAGCTTAGATGCGAGCCCTGCATGGTCGATCTTGATTTGACGAGACCGTTATTCAATTCCTCTGAGCAGTTGGTCACCGAGTTTGCTTGAGGATATCTCGTACATCTGAGAAGAAATACAAACATGACGATAGCCTGCATCCCTAAATTATAAGACATGTAAGTCTGGCTCCAATAGCACCTGTTGTGATCTCAATCTGTGGGAAAACGTCCCTGTTTTAGATGAGGGGCAGGAGGGGGTCAGGCACCATGCCTCTTTTGAGCGGGAAGCCCGATCTCACGACTTGAGAGCTGAAGCAAAATGGCGCAGCATCTGATTGCAGCTGACAAGGCCGCGGACTGACAGCATGATGACGGCCCTTTGCAAATTTATCGTCGACCACTCCTAAGAGCGCGATTAGGGCGAGAAGAGGCGGTGCCCAGTCGTCCATTCGAGCTCCCCGTTTCACACCCAACACATCGTTTTTTAATAATCGGATCTCGGCTGATTGGAGGTCGTCCCTTCAGCATCGCTGTTCCGCATCTAGAGCCGAGCATTCAGGCATCGGTCGTGACATCGGACCGGGGAAGAAGCCCTCCCTCCAGTGTGGCGAGTCCAGGGTTAGGCTGGAGTCAGGCGGAGCCCAGGGTTCTTCGGCCGGAGTTGTGACGTCGAACCCCGAGCCAAGGAGCGTGGGCATGGGAATGTCCCGGATATCTTTTGAGCTCAAAGATGACCTGGAGGCCTCGCCCAGCGATGGAATATTGACAGCATGCCTGGAGGGTTCTGCTGCCTCCATCAGCCCTGCGTACAATGCGTGGAAGGTGAGAGGCGGTGAGGGGACGTAGTGGCGTGGCCATGGCAATGTCCGTGAGATGTACCTGATGTGCAGCCCGTGCACAACCATTGATGGCACCAGCCAGTACCGGCAGGGTGGTAGAGGGCCAGAGGGGTTGAATTGCGGTTTTCTAAGCCTCAGCAGCAATCCTGCCCCCCTCCATCCGCCCTCCTTCCACCCACAATCGACCCTTCTCAGGCGGAGCATCCATGCCCCATCCAGCAATTCGACAGCCTCATGCGTCAGGCTGCCGGCAAGCTCGTCACTGTCTTCCTTGATTATGATGGTGGGGACGGTGGGAGGGGGAAGGAGTCTGTGCCTGTGAGGTGCTGGGGGTCGCCTGGACACGCAGCGCCCATCCAGAGGCGTCACATCCGCCTCATCCACCCCCCCTCGCAGGGACGCTGACGCCCATCGTGTCCAACCCCGAAGCGGCGACCATGTCGGAGTCGACCCGTGGCGTCGTGCGGCGGCTGGCCGAGCTGTTCCCCTCTGCCATCGTGTCGGGGCGCAGCCGACTGAAGGTCCAGTCCTTTGTCCAGCTGGCAGAGCTCTTCTACGCTGGCAGCCACGGCATGGACATCACAGGACCCGCGCCAGGGGCCACGGCGGGGGCGGCGACCTGGGAGGACCAGGTCGCCTTCCAGCCCGCTGCCGCTTTTCAGCCCGTCATGGCCACGCTCTGCGAAGAGCTGGAGGAGGGTGAGTTCAAGGGGGGAAGGGGGCAGGAGCGGGCCAGGAGGAGGCGACACCATGAAATGGGTGCAGGCAGGGCAGGTCTCGCCGGGAAGGGATGGATGCTGCAATCCACTGTTCTGGAACCTGGGTGATGATAAACACGCTGCGCTTGGCGTCCTCGTCACCCAGCTCCCCCCGTGCCGCGCAGCCGTGAGACCCTTTCCCGGGGCCGTGGTGGAGAACAACACCTTCTGCCTCAGCGTGCACTTCCGCAACTGCGATGCCCACTCCTTTCCGCCAATCCTGGGCCTGGTGGAGGCGGCGGTGGCCTCCCGCTCCGACCAGCTGCGCATGACCCGGGGCCGCAAGGTCCTCGAAATCAGGCCAAAGGTGGGGGCACCGGTGGCGAGGCACGGGGTGGGTGGGCGTCTTTGGCCCTTTCAAGTCGGGAGGGGCATGGCTCTTCATCCCTGGGGCCTGCCCGTATCAGCATCCCATGCCCAGCCAGTGCCCACCCCGGATCGACAGCAGCGGTCTGTGCCTTACTACACACATTCATGTGTGTGCACCTTGACTCCACCACCGCACACCCATTGCTCATGCAGTTGGAGTGGGACAAGGGCACGGCGCTGATTCACCTCCTGGGGTGCATGGAACTTGCCGATGCGGAGCAGGTCTTTGCCCTGTACATCGGCGACGATCGCACCGACGAGGACGCGTTCAAGGGTGAGCTGGCATGGGGAGGGGGGGGAAGGGGGGCCCTGGACATTGCGGGAGCCAACCCTCACCCGTGGGCCGCCCCTCGGAGTGCCATTTGGGCATCAGGTCCCTGCCCCAGCTGCCACACTCATGTGGACGAGCTGGCACAGCACCGGAACCCTTGCCTGCCTGGGCAGAAACCTGCGGTCGCGACTCCCAGCCTGCAGGACGCGCAGCTTCCTTTGATCCCGCCTCAAACTCCCACCCCCTCCTGCGCAGTGCTCGCGGAGCGCGGCCTGGGCTGCGGCATCCTGGTCAGCACCCACGCCAAGCCCACCGCGGCGTCCTGGTCCCTGCACAGCCCCTCGGATGTGGTGGCCTTCCTCGAGAAGCTGGTGACGTGGGGGCGGAGTGGCGCCAACGCGTGGCAGTCCAAGCGCTCCTGCAAGGGATGGCACATCGCCGCCCGGCCCACTGCCGCCGCCGCCATGCCGGGCCTCCCGCCCCGCACGCCCACGGCACCGACGCCCGTGGCGCGGACGCCCACGCAGGGGTGACCCCGCTGGGCCCGACCACCCCCACCCCAGGTATCTTGAGCGGTCAGTCAGTCAATGTGAAGGTCCAAGCAGCATGCAGGTGCCAGAGGGGCAGTCGCTCGCCGTCCCGATACAGGCATGGAGAAACGCTGCCCTCCCTGGACACCGCCGGACATCTCTCCTCCCTTCCTCTCATCATGCTCCAGCTCTGTGTGCTCTAACAGCAGAGCGGTACGTCCCTGTGTCCTCATCTATACCTGCAGTCCCCTCTGCAGACCTCTCTCCCTGGTAACGAATTGATGCGCACATAAGTTGGGGGTGGGGCCAAGTGTGACAGTTTCAGGGTAGCCTTTGCCAGCCAAGGTGCTGGGGTGGATTCAGGCATGCAGCGCTCAGGAGCCCTGCTGCTGTGTTGGGCTGCTGCCTGGTTGAGCTTGGGCGAGTTGGCTTTCTGGATCCTGCAGCGCCGCCTCATGCCGCCTCCTCTATGCTGTCCAACCGACTGCGTTGCGTGCAAGGGGCCGGGGGAGTGGTGGGGCTTGAGCATGTCTCACAGGCACTCGTGCCCTGCATGAATCCTTCGCCGGGAGGGCCAGTGGCCTGAGTAAGGAGCCAGCACCCTCACCCACGTGCCCGGCCCCATCCGCACGCCATCCTTCCCCCAAAGCGAGTCAGTGCATCATGCAGCGCAGGCTGCTCATCCGGGAGCGCGCACCCGAAGGAGCCGTTGTTGTGCACCGTGGGGTCCAGGTCCGGGGTCAAGTCGGCGGGCATGCGCGCATCGTACAGGTGCAGAGCATCCGACGCCTCGCCGGCGTCCATGTGCAGCAGTCGCAGGAAGCCCTCAAAGTCCATGTCGTCCGCATCTGGCAGGGGTTTGCGTGTGTGGAGGTGGTGGTGGGTATTGACAGGGTTTGTGGAGAGGGGATGGCAGGTCACGTGCTCACATCGAGGTCGACCTGCACCGGCGCTTGTGAAGCGGGAGGCCCCTGCCTCGTGTCCGCATGTTTTGGCCCACGCCTCCTCGCCCTCCCCCCTGCCAGGATCGAGAGCGCCTGCGCGCATGCCCCGCCACATACTTCCGCAACTCAAACCGTCTTCCTCAACTCCACGCCCAAAGCGAGCGCGCGCACCTGCGTGCCCGGCCTCCACCATCGCGTGCTCCACGGCGTAGTCCACCTCGGCCGCCGGCAGCTTGGAGCGCAGCACGCTCAGCAGCGCATCGGCGTCCACGCGCCCATCCTTGTCGGTGTCCAGCCCCGAGAAAGCGCGGCGCGCACACTCCAGCCACAAGTCCCTGCGCGTGTGGGTGGGTTATGGGTGGGTTTGGGGTGGGCATAGGGCGGGGGTATGAATGGCGCGCCGGATTTCACGGCTCCACCCCGCTTTCCTGGTCAGCGCCTGCCTGCTGGTCTGCACGATGTCAGAGCGACGTGGGCGGCCGGGGCCACCAACTGCGCTCACACCACAGGACCACCACACACCCGCTGGTTGAGAGGTCTGCGAGCCTCGCCCCACCCAATGTGCACCGCGCTCCCCCCCCAAAAGGAACAAAGTCCCCCATACCTGTTGGATTGCTGCATGGCACCCCAGTCCAGCTGACTTGCCACGAACTCGGAGGGGTGGATGGCGCCGTCGGCGTCGCGGTCCAGCTCGCGCAGAAGCATGCTCACCTCTGAGGGCTCCAGGTGGTAGCCCAGGCGGTGCAGCGCCTCGCACAGCGCCTCCGCCGACAGCGCCTCGCCGGGGCGGAACCGCATCTTACGCATCAGGCGCGACAGCTCCGCCGGCGTGGTCACCGTCACCGCGCCCGGGTCCACCGAGGATGGCGGCGCAGCGCCTGGGCTCTGCGTGCCCGCCGGCCACGATGAAATGGGGCTTGCGCTCGCAGCGGGGCCAGGGGCCGCTGCACCAGACTCCGGAGCCGGCGCTGCGTTGGACTCCGAGGACCCCGCACGGCGGTCGCCCGCCCCCGGCCCGGCCTCGCCGCCCGCGTGGTAGCTGGGCAGCTCCGCATTGAAGGTCACGCGCCGGGCGTGGCCCACATCCTCCTCGCCCCCGCCCTGCGGGCGGGCGGGGGGGCTGGGCCTACCCAGAGCGGCCAGGGCCGCAGAGCCCCCACGCCGCCGCCCGCCCTGCTCGGACTCCGGCTCCTCCGGGATGGAGGCCGGCAGGGACGCCCCCGCGCTGCCCGGCCACACCGGCACCCCGGGCGCGCCCCGCCGCCCCACAGGGCTCCCAGGCCCTGCCGCGGCCCGCGGGTCGGAGGGGGCGGGCCGCTTCTGGCGCTCCTTCCTCTCCTGCTTGTGCAGCGAGGCCAGGCTGCTGGTGCTGCGCGAGCCACGCATGCCCCCCCTCAGGTCCAGGACGGCCTGCGTGGGACGGACCGGCAAGTGAGACCAGGGTGCTGAGAGTTCGCAGCGGGGCGTGCTAGGACGCGCCCTTGCGTCGCGAGCGAGCGCTGTCAAAAACTGCCGCTTGCCCTTCCCTACCCTGTTGTTCAAGGATGCGACGAGGCTGGCACTCTGCAGGGAAGCTGTTTTCCCACTCACTCCCACACTCTGAGCCCACCTTGTCAGGCCGCTTGCTCTCCTCCTCCAGCCGCCGCAGCAGGCGGTCGTAGTCGCTGCCGCCGTGGGTCGAGGTGTCCAGCGCGAGACGGGCCGCCTTGCGCTGCTCGCCAATCTCCTCCTCGGAGCGGGGGTGGGTGTGCAGGTACTCCAGCGCCTTGGTCTTGCCGTGCTGCGAGCCTGCAGGGGGTAATTGGGCAGGGTTGGAGTGGTATCCATGCCGAGCGTACCCCGCTACGGCCCGATGCCATTGCTGTGACGAAATGATCTCCTACACACACATCGCTGTCCGTGCGACAACCCCAACTCCCTCTCGTCAAAACAAGACCTTCTGAGAGCCAGTATCCTACCCATGAGCGCCAGCTCCGACGCGGCCCGGAGGACTCTCCAGTACTCCTTCTCGCCATGCGCGCTTCCTTCGCTGCTGGGAGGGCCGGAGCCGTCGCGCATACGTGCACGCTGGTTCTTCTCGTGAGCGCTGGCCTGGGGGGGAAGGAGGGGCCAAAAGGACTCTTGAACGCATGCTCATTAGGGTTTGCAAGCCCGACACCGAGTGCAAGAGCCAGCCTGAGATTCAGCGACTCATATTCTCCAGCCAACCTACCAGGAGCGACAGCGCCTGGCTGGAGGGAGAGCGGGCGAAGAACCTGCCCCCATGGACAGACTGACTGCGGCCGACGATCTGCTGGAAATGAGGAACGAGCGGGACTGTCAGTCTCCTAGTACGTGGGTGCTGGGGTGGGAAGTGGGAAGTGACAAGGGCACAGGCTGTGAGCCTCACCCAAAGGAAGCAAGCACTTCCCCTGCCTCATAACCACTCGGCAAGCCAGCAGCACACAATGCAGACCATCGCCTCGACCAGTACCCTGAGGGAGGACGAGCCACTGAGGCTGTCGGCCCGGCTCAGAATGCTCTGAGGATCATCGCCGCTGGGTGACGGACTGCTGAGCGCAGGCTCCAAGCCCGGCCCGCTCTCGCCGACCTCTGCCGATTTGCCTGGCTCCTTGCTGGCGGCCCTGAGGGATGCAGTTGCCCGGACGTTGCTCAAGTGGGGCAGGGCGACATTGGGGAGCACAGCGCAGAACGGTGCTCAGCCAGAGGATGTGAGGCTCGTGCGCGCTGGAACTAGCTCGCCCTCCCCCACCCTCACCTGCTGTAGCTGGACATGCCGTGGACGGAGGGGTCGAGTTGGGGCGGCGCCACCTCCAGGAGCTCGGCGGCAATGAGCTCCAGGATGCTGCGCTTGAGCATGGGCGCCTGGGAGAAGCGCTGCGGTCGGCAAAAGGGTGTGAGGGAGGCTCAGCCAGAGGCAAGGAAGTCGGAGACAGGGCTGTGCTGTGGTGGGGCGCACAGCAGAGAGAGGCTGTAGGGCATGCTGGTGTGTGCAAGGGCGGCTCAATGTGTCAGCCGCCCAGCACCCCGGCACTGCCGGGTCAAGGGAGGGTTCCTGCTCCCAGGGCGACGGAAGCGCTGCGGGACTTGGTCCCGATGGCTGGCAGCCGACCACATACCTGCAGACGTTGTACGACGGAGGCGGAGATTGGCCGAGCATTGGTTGTGTAAAAAGAGGACTGGAGCCAGGCATGGCCCAGCATGTCCTTTGCACTCGGCCGCTTCTTGTGGTCCTGCAATACAACGGCAATGGGTGGGGGGGTTGAGCCAGGAGGGCATTACAGCAGAACGGTGAGACACGCTGCTGCTGCTGACAATCCCCCGCCCCAAATCTCAAGAACAGGCGGGCAGCTATGTATGAGGGGTTTCCGACGGTGTGCGTGAGAGACCCTGCAGGTGGAGCATGCCTCTTCAACAAGGGACAGCAAGCATCACACCTTCACCGCAATACCCTGACCCACCTTTTCAAGCAGCTTCCTGACAAAATCCTTGCCTTCCTCGGAGACCTCGCTCCATGCAGAAGTTGTGAAGGAGGGAGTGTCCGTCAGAATGGACCTCCAAATGAGGGACAGGGAGGGTGAATTGGGGTTCCGTCGGTCGTTAAATGGGAGCACCCCTGGAATAGGAAGGAGGGGAGGTTGGGAGGGTGATGGAAGGTCCCTGGATGTACCACTCGCGAGGCTACGGTGTTGGCTTTCATGCCAATGCCAAGCCCACAGCCTGCCGGCAGGGCTTGGCTGATCTGTCAACCTCCTTTGGGACCTAGCCCTGCCTACAGCCCCGCCCTGCGATGACTCACCACTCAGAAGCTGATATGCCATGACCCCAGCAGCCCAGACATCTGAGGCGGGGTACACATCAGAGGACAGGGTCTCTGGTGCCATAAACCTGCAGGCCGCATTGGAACTTGAATGAGCTTTTCCAAGTGGGGTGGGGGTGGGGGGTGGGAGGGGGGCTGAGGAGCCCATGGCAAGTGTGCGGCGCCGTACCAGGGACGGATGCACGAAGCATGCACCAGGCAGCTTAGCTAACTGCTCCCCGCTATCCTCGTCAGCGCAGTGCAGGTCAAGTCCAGCATCCGCACCATGTCGTTCCCTCCAGGCCGAGGTCTGTGCGGGGGAGCTTGGCGGGGTCATAGAAGACTGCCAGCCCAAAGTCAATGGCCTTGAGGGGGGAGTCGATCTCAGTGGTGAGGAGCATGAAATTGCCTGCGGGGATACAATAGGAAATCTGTGAGGAAGCATGAAAACCCGATGCCCTGGACATCAGGTTTGGGTTGAATTCTATGAAACACACAGCTGTTCCATAACAGGAAATTTACGACATCTTGCAGGTGCGGGGTCTGGGAATGCAATATAATATCAAGCAGACAAGGTCTTTTATGCATTCCCAGCTGATTGACTACACACCATTCCCAGAAGGAGGGGACCCTGATGGAAGAGCCCTGCCCTGAAAGGCACTCAGCCGTGCAACACCAATCAGCACCAGTGCCTGGCTCACAGGACTGCTACCCTGGGAACATACCTGGTTTGATGTCTCGATGCAGGATGTGCAGGGAGTGGCACTGAGCCAGGGTGTACAGCACGGATCGCATATACCCCGCCACGAGCTTCTCGCTGTAGGGCCGCCGTCCCAACTCATGCTCCAGCTCCCCCCCCCGGCACAGCTCCATCAGGATGTGGATGTCCTCATCATCCTCGTACGCGCCCTTGAACACCACCACACTGTCGGTGTGGTGGGGGTGGGTCGGAGACGCAGAAGCATATGGAGTCTGCATCAGGCTCCAGCGTGCAACGAACATGACAGCACCCTGTCGAGCCAAGCCTGCCCCGTGTATGGCGATCCGAGTGACACACTTCCCCTCTCCCACACCGGTCCAGCTCAGGGCCACCGTGGTCCCCTCCCCATTTCCACATCCAGATCGTACCTCAGGGTTCCACGCAGGCGTTTGAGGATGGCAATCTCTCTCTTGATGTTGTCGATGTGTGCAGCCTGCTTCGCCGCAGACAGGTTGGGGATGTTCAACCGCTTGCACACGCTCTTGCAAGCATACTCCTGACCAGTTGCCTTCTCGGTGGCCACCCTGCATCATCGCCAGGCATCGGTTGCTGTTGTGGGGGTGTCGCGGTCGACGCCAAGGGTGAGAGCGGGTAGAGGAGGAGCAGGGCAGGCCCCCAGCCGCCCCAGTACCTCACGAGGCCGAATCCCCCTTTTCCAAGGGTCGCCCCGAGTTCAAACAGGGAATCAAAGTTCTTTGGGAGCCCAGCGTCGAGGGCCTCGAGGTCCTCTTTGGGTTTGACGTCCCAGATATCGACCCTCATCGTGGGAGACTTCTGGGTGCCCGAACCTATCAATCAAATCGATGGTTGGACCATGATCTCGTATCACAGGTGAAAATCGGTGATGCCGACACCAGTTTATGCATCAACAAGTGCTCCAAAAGAGAAGGGCAATGTTTTCTACCACCCGGAACCTACATGTGGGTTTTGTGCGCGCCACATCATGGGCCTTCATGCTGTACATCGGGCACATAGCCGTCTGCCGGGATCCATTGCGCCTCCGACACGTAGATCGCCGTCGGAAAAGCATCGTGCATTCAGTAGCTGCATGAAGGAGGCATAGCCGCCGAGAGGACAGCTGTGATGACAGTGGGTGTGCATGGGTATCACACCACCTTCCAAGATCCACATGGGGTGCGTCGGGACTTCTCGCGAGCCCCCAGACCCTCATGCAGACCATCTTGTCGCACATGGAAGCCTCGGGTGTATGCCCTTGCGAAAGGGAAGGCGGACAGCTCGAAGAAGGCGAGTATTTGCCCGGCATCATTACGAAGGTCAACTGCGAGCGGGCACTTGACGGGCTCTGGATCTTCATGCCTCCACGGCACATGCAGTCCGCTTAGCAGCTCCCTGCTGAACGCGCAGGAGGATGAACGCGGTGCGCCTCACGACAAGCCACATCAGGGTGGCCTGACTGCCAGCCTGCTGTTCAATGTGAGTGCATGGGGGGACTGGTTCATAAGGGTGTTCCAGATATATGCACACTAGTTCCCCATCCCAGGTTCCCATTCACCAACGCACAGGCCGCCTCCTGGAGGGCTCAGCGGGGCCAGACTCATTGCATCACATGTCAGGGAAAGGGCCAGGTGCAATGCCCCCAGTGCAAGGTGTGGTGCAATGGGTGGGGCTGGGAGTCACCCTGCAATGGGGCATGTGTCTGGATGCCACGGAGCACGTCCCCATCCAGCACCACCTCAGCGTTCCGCCTTTCCCTGTGCAGGGCACGGGGGTGGGACCTCGTTCACGGCAACCCACCAACCCCATTCAGCATGCTGCCAACAAGATCTCCAGCCTGGTGTCCGGAGGCAAGGCCGATGACGTGGAGTGGCGCACCAGCAACCGCTGCTCGCGCTGTCAGGGTAGGGGCGTGTGCCGATGCGAAGAGTGTGGCGGGACGGGGCGAAGAGGGCCCTCAGAGGAAGAATCCTGACTCGTGTCTGGGTGAGGGCCTGGGAGCGAACCCCTGTCGCCCATGATGCGAGATGAGTGAGAGCGCTTGAGAAGACATCTCGTTGTACTGGTTGTTGCACATGCTGGATTGCAAGGTGACGGCTGCGCACACCCGCTTTCCCAGATGTTGTGCCAGGCTGTGTCTGTTTGTTGCTCCCATTCCCAACTCGAGACCTCCATGGCACCCCCGGGCACTTTCACTGTTTCACCGAGTCTTATGGCATGCAATCATCTCAATGCGCGTACTGGGCCTCGAGGGTCATTTTAGGCTTGGATTGGAGGCAATTGGGTGCACAAAGGCAATCGACTGCATTTAAATCAGGGACTGGGCAGGCCCTGGTGGCTGGATCCCAGACTGAGCCGGCTTGACACCTGCGGGATTCTCCCGCCCAACACTGGCAGCCCTGCTGCTCAGCAATGCAGCGAAAGGATCGACAGGCCGGCCATTGCTCTGAGTCGCGATCCCAGACGGCTTGACCGTGAATGGATCACTGTGTGATGGTGACGGCTGGCTGCTCTGGCCACGGGCAGCGTAGGCCTGCTGCGGCTGGTGTGGGGCCAACGGCAGGGCTCCCCGCTGCCGGGGCGAGGGATTGGACGCCATCGGGGCAAGGGAGAGGGACCCCAGCGACGACAGCGTCCCGCCAGACCCCTCCCACCGCTCCTGCGGCGGCGGGAGTGGCACGGAGGCCCGAGCGGGGTGCTGGGGTTCCGTCCTGCCAGGCGCCGCGGGCGAGGTGTCGGTGGCGGCCAGCCAGTCTGCAGGGTCTGCCGCTCCCATGGCGGGCATCGCACTCGCCGGGCCTGGCCGTGCCTGGGCGCTCCCGGTGTGGTGCGGCGCAGCGCTGGCCACGCTGCCATTCTGCAGCAGGCGGTAAGGGGGTGGGCGACGATGAGCAGGAAGGAATACGCAATCGTACAGCCGTTTCCCAGCGAGTTCAACCATGCATCCACCCCTCCACTGCCAACGTTCACAGTGCGCCTGCGGACAGCGCGTGGCACAGCACAGCAATCGTCGACCAGCGTACCACCTCTTCCCTGAACCTCGGGCTGCCCACTTGCAGCACTCGCCTTCCATACCTCCCCCCCCCCCCCCCCACACACACCCACCTTGTCGGTGGCGCCCTCCACGACGGCGAGGAGCTCGCGCACGGCGCGCATGAGCGCGGCGCGCTGCGCCGCGCTGAGGCTGGGCGCCACCAGCAGCGGGCAGAGCATGGGCAGCACGCAGCGCGCGGCCAGGTCCGGCCCGTGCTGGCGGGCCAGCGCGGCGCCCAGCGCGGCGGCGGCAGCCACGCTTGGCGCGCTACGGTCCACGGCGGTGACCCGCGCAGCCACGGCCAGCGTGGCCTCCGCCTCGCCCGCGTCCAGCCGCGGCGCGGCACCCGCCAGCACCTCGAACGCGGCAACGCGCACGGGGGCGGAGGTGGTGGACAGGCACAGCGCGCGCGCGGCGGGGACCACCAGCGCCTTGAGCCCGGCAAAGTCCAGGGCCAGCGGGGCCAAGGCCGCCGCGCCGCGTGCCGCGGTCTCTGCCGTCGCCGTCGGGGCCTCGGGCGCCATGCCGCGCGCGAGCAGCCCGGGTACCAGCCCCGCGGCCGCGGCCCTGGGCAGCGCCGCCTGCAGCGCGGGTGCGGCCGCCACCAGCGCGCCCAGGGTCGCACCCGTCGCGCCCCTGGCCAGCGGCCGCAGCGCGGGCAGCGTCACCTCCGCCGCCTCCTCGGGGCTCTGGCTCGCCACCAGGCGCATGACCAGGGGGACCAGGGTCGGGGCCAGGGCCGCGTTGTGCAGCTCCCCAAGCACTGGAGGGAGGACCTTGAGGGTGGAATTGGAAAGGGGGGGGAGTCAGGTTTGGATGGACACCGGGGTTGGATGCTGATCGAGGCAAGGTGGAAACAGGTGGGCACCCCTTGCCTCTCGAGCGGGGCAGCTGGACCCGTGGCGCCCTTGTTTCTAGAATGGATGCGACAACGCAGGCCATTGGGAGGAACCGTTTGGGAGCAAACGCCAACACCCCTCCGCCGTCCAGCCAAATCCAGTCCCTCCCCTCACCAGGGTCCGCAGCACCCGGCCGTCCAGGCTGCCCAGCATGGTCTCCAGATCCTTGAAGAAGGCCGCCTTCTGCGCAGGTTCCCGCTGCATCAGGGTGCCCAGGAACCTCAGGGCACGCAGCCGAGTGTCGCCCTGCGGCGGCCAGTGGGGCGTGAGGGGGTTTAAGATGTTGGTGCAGGGTGGCCACGGAGTCATTGGCGCTCTGCGAGCCACCCCGGCAAGCAGCAACCCCGAGCCTTGCAGGAGCGTTCTGCGCCTGTCCCCAACCCCTTGCACAGGTGCTGCCCACCTGGAAGTATGCGCTGGCGGTGAAGGCTTCCACAGGAGTTCTAGCGGATGGGATGGGAGCCAGCATGCCTCGCAGCGGGCCCCACAACTCCATGGGCACGCCGTCGAGATCACGCTGAGTCAGCGATCGGATGTAGGACTCATAGGCTGTGATGTGGTGGAGGGAAGAGGAGGCTTGCTGGGGTGAGCCACAGGATGGCGATGCAGCAAAGGTGGACCAGGAGAGAGTCGGGAAACTCTGAGGTGATGCCTTCTGATGACAGCTGCGATGCGCAGGCCACTACTTCAAGCCCAGCAGACGACTCACTGATGAGGTCCGAGCCTACTGGGAGCAGCTGTCTGTGTGCAAAGAGCTCGTAGGTGAGCGCAGCCATGGAGAAGGCGTCGCAGGCCGACAGCATGCCCCCCGCAGAGGCCGCGCCACTCGCCACCAACTCCGGAGCGCAGTATGCCAACGATGGCTGTGGGATTGGGGTGTCAAGGAGGCCATTGAGGGTCCGTATGGACGGGTGACCTGGCAGGCAGAGAGGCAACGGCCGGCCCCAAACAACCTGGCACTGTATGCTCAAGCCCTCAGCCCTCCCAACATACCCCACTGACGTCTAGCAAAAGCCAGCACCTCCATCTTACCTTGAGGGCTGCGGCCAGCATTGAGGGGTGACGGTCCGAGAAGTCGAATCCACCAGATGCCTCGCCGTCTCGAAAGTCCAAGGGCGTGGCAAAGGCGAAACATGCCAGCTTCCAGCCGCCTGTAGTTTATCAAGGGCAGGGAACTGAACAGAAGCAACAATCAAGAAGGAGACTGCCGCTGACGCCAGCAGAGGAGCCCTGGGTGCCCGTGATCACCGTGGCCCTACCACCTTTCCCCCTCAAAGAACGGCCCTGCCACCCCACCCGCTCGGGCAATGAAGACGGCGTGCGGGCAGATGCCGCGATGTGCCATGCTGGCGCCAGAGTGGAGGAAGTGGATGGCGTCAGCCATCTGCAGCACGCCATGCTTCAGCTCCAGCTCACTCATGCGCACGGCGGACGGGCTGGACTGATTGCCTGGGTGGCTCACTGACAGGGGCGGTGGGGGACCCTCGCAGGCAGCCAGATAGTCTGCCAGCGACGTAACCACAGCCTCCGTCACAAACACCATCTGGGTGCGCGTTTCCTCCAGGGGCGACAAGAGCCGCAGCACCAGTGGGTGCTTCAGTCTAGCCAGGTGCTGTGCGGAACGGGAAGCAGGGGCGCAGAGGTGGACATCCCAGACAGGCGCTGCGGTGAGAACTGCGCAAACCACCCTTGCGCAAAGAGACAACCAGCAGAAGACCAGCAGTGCCGCAAGAGAATCTGCAATGTTGGACGAATCACAGTCTGCGACCACACAACTAGCTTCTGATGATTAAGTCACCTGCACATCCCGCCTGCATTGCTCCAGGAAGGCCTCCAGTCTCTTTGTGGACGGGCGGGTGAGGCCGCCCTGGCGCCCCCCGCCGCCCGCGTCAGATTCCGTGAGAGCCCGCTTGTCGAGGATCCATGCACTGACCACCTGAAACGGGGCATCTTCGGGGCGGGGGGCGATGGGGTCCTGGGATGAGCTTGGTGCACTGCTGCACAGGCCTTGCGGGGTTGACCAGCCTGTAGACTGTCAGACAAGAAGCATGAGGTACACACCCCTGCAGACCGCAGAAGAGGTATGGAAGGCGAAACATGACTCTGATATGCCTTCAGACATCCAGCCCCACCTGATTTCTTGGCCTGGGCGGAGTAGATCCTCCACAGGCCCTGGGGTCCACCAGTGGCGACCTGGGCTTGGAGGGCATAGTCCTGCAGGCACCGTGCCCCCCCAACCTCCGTCGCGACGGCTCGAGACACCTCCATTGCCGCATTGGTCGCGGTCTTGGTGGCCTGGCCCAGCACCGTGCCCAGAGAGCGCAGGTGCGAGCGCAGGCTGTCCTGCATCCCGGGCGACGCTGCCTAAGGACAACGCGAACAGCGTATTGGAGTGCAGGCCATGCCGTGGAGCCAGGAGATCTAGTTCTGGAGAGGCTTGAACGGGGGTGATTTTCCTGTGAATGCCAGTGATCACTGCGCCCTTCCAGGGCTCTCGGCGAGCTCGGTTCGCTCCCCACTACATCGGGGGGAGCCATGGCGTTCAAGTGTCCCCGGCCCCGCCCCCGCCGTGACCACGCTGCCTGTGAGATTCAACAAAGCGGAACACCCGTTACAGGTTCATGGCTCCACACTAGCTGGGCGTTGGGGCCCCCTGGCATGTTGCACCATGTGGAGGTGGGTGCCTGGCCCTTGCATCTCCGCAGCACAACCCTCCCTCGCCCGCTAGACCATGAGGAAGGTGGCGACGTCGGAGAGGGACACGATGCCCTCCACGCGGTGGGTGGTTCCATCCACCACCACCAGGCGGCGCACGCCTGGGACAGCCAGCCTCTCCACGACGGTGCGGAGCGAGTCATCCGCCGTGCAGATCCAGACGCGCTGCTTCGGGCCCAGGTGCTGCGACTGCGCGTGTGAGAAGGTGGACGGCAGGAGAATGGTGGCCGCCTGTCCCGTTGATTGTCCTGCTCACTTGGCTTGATGCTATGCCGATGCAGTGGCAGTTTTGGTAACCAACTTTCAAATCAAGTGCCCCATCTCTGCACATGCTTCAAGCATGGTACTTTTTCGGCAATAGATGCCACCCCCAATCAGTCATATACCGAGCACTTTCAACACTCACCCCTCCAAAGAACAGCAACACGTACAAACTCATCCCTCTGCCCCCACACATGCACACACACACATACACACATCCTCCCACCCCAAACCCACCTGCTGCGACCAGGCCGACACCTGGGTGGGCGCGGTGGGAGCCGAGGCCAGGGTCAGCGCCTGCCCCACCGTCACATCCTCCTGCTGCAGCCGGCTGTAGGCATTGCCCTGCACACGCGACAGGAGGGGGGGCATGGGTTGGTATGCTGGATGTGGGTCCTGCGTCTTCCACGCCGTGCAGCAGATAGAGCGTCGGATGTTTACCACTCCGCACCGCAGGGCCGGCGCTCCCTGTCCGCTCCGCAGGCACGACGTGGTCAGTGCAGCTGCACTGGCTTTCAGAGTCTGTCTCAACCCTCACCTACCTTTCACAACCCAAGCCCCCCCCTCTCCATCGGATATCAACCCCCACCCCACCCTAGAACGGAAAAGCAACCCACATCCGACCTTGGCGAGCATGCAGATGTCGGCGCGGGCGTAGACGTCCAGCAGAGTGCGCGCGTCGTCGACCACGGGCAGGCAGGACACGCCCGTCTCCAGCAGCAGGCGCAACGCGGTGCTCAGCGGCGCGGTGGGCTCAACGCAGGCCAGGTCCACGAAGCGGCGGCGCGGCGCGCCCGCGCGCCCGCGCTCGGCGGCGGCCACCGCGCCGCGCGCGTCCCACGTGCCGATGGCCACCTCGCGCAGCGAGCGCCCCAGCAGCGGCAGCGAGGCGGCGGAGGCGCGAAAGTGGCGCAGGACGCAGGCCAGCACGCCCGCCAGGCTGGCGGTGGCCAGCACCTCGCAGGCGCCGCCGCCGCCGCCCGCGTCCTCGCCCAGCACGGGCAGCAGGTGGCAGCGCGCCGCCACCAGCGTGCGCACCACCTCCGCCAGGCTGTCGGCGGGGCGCGCGGAGACCAGCGCGCGCGGCGCACGCGACTCGGCCGCCAGCTCATCGCGCACCGCGCGGATGGTGTACCCGTCCATCTCCGCCTCGGACAGCGCAGCGGAGGCGGAGACCACATGGCGCAGACGCTGCAGCATGAAGATGAAGTCGGAGGCGGAGACCACGCCCACCACCGCGCCCACCTGCGAGTCCCACAGCGGCGCCGACGCGATGCCTGCGTAGATGGCGGGTTGTTTGGGGGGAGGGGGGATATGGAGGGGTGTTGAATGGTGTGGAGCGTGGGGAGCGATGCCCCTCCCCCTCCCATCGTGTACATAGGATTCGCAGCGACCCGCTGGACTCCCCTGGGATGGACCCCTCCACAAACACACCTCCCCACACAACCCTTCCCCAGCACACACCCTGCTCGTGCAGAGCGTGCAGCGCCTGGCGCATGGGCAGGTCCACGTCCAGCAGCACCACCTTGCCCGACTCGAGGATGAGCTCGTACGCGGTGTGGCTGCCCAGGAAGTCGTGGATGCTGCGGCTCGTGTGCGCCGGCTCCTCCGCATCCGCCATGGGGCCCGGGCCTGGGTGCGCCGGCGCCGGCACGCCGGCGCCGACGGCCGGCGGGGGGCCCGGCGGCGGGGCCCGCACGTCGCCGTCCGCGGTGGCGGCGCGCCGCGCCGCCAGCACGTCGCCGGGGTCCACCACGCCGGAGCCGTGGCGTGAGGGCGGGCTGGCCACGGCCGGCGCCTCAAACACGCGCTGCTGCTGCTGCTGCTGCTGAATGGGGTGGGGGGAGCTGGGCGCCTGATAGGCGGGGGAGGGGTGGGCCGGGCGGGCGAGCGGGTGCGGGGAGGCGGATGCAGAGGGGCTGGGCGGCGCCAGGTGCACGGGGGAGCCCGCGGCCACGCGCGGCGCGGCGGGCGGGATGGAGGGCGCGGTGTCGGGGCGCCGCACAAACAGCCAGTTGTTGACGTTGCCCAGGGGGTCGGGCATGAAGGGCTGGGTCTCGTCGTGCCGCCACTCGCCATCCACGATGAACTTGTACTGGTGGTACCTGGGGTGGAGGGAGTGGGGGAGCGAGGGGAGCATGCCTGGGTAAGGGTGGGGGGATTGAGCCCAGCAGCGCCCACACGGCCACAGAGGGAGCAGGGACGTAGGCTATGCAGACTGGACTGGGCTTTCATGCGAGGACCAGCTTGGACTGTGGGCTCGCAGCCTGGCCCGCAGTGGAAAGTACCCACATCCAGCAGTTATTGATGATCGTGCCCCATCCAGGTAGGAGCCCACACAGGTCAACAGTCGCGCCGGGCTCGAACACCAAGGACCTCTCCCACACGCACTCACCCTGCAGGGAGCTGGACGATGACCGAGAAGGCGCCAGGCTGCCCCTCCACGGGCGTCATGGGCACCGTCTCCACCCATCGCGTGAAGGAGCCGCACAGGTGCACCTGGGGTGGGTGTCCACGCCATGATCAGGGCCCACCACAGCGAGACCATGGTGAGAGTGATGCGAACAGGCCTGCCCACGTACCTGGGAGCCTCCGAAACGCCACAGGAACCTGGTGGGGACGTAGAAGGCCATCCCCCACAGTACCGGCAGCACCTCTAGGGAACTATCGCCGCCTATGTTTCATTTCTTGCAGGATATACCGAGAGGGCGTGGCCAGTCCGGTGCGCGAGGGATGCTCGGCCAACAGTTCCGAAACCGCTCCCTCACCCTCAAAGGAGCAAGGGTGTCCACCGAGTGCACGGATAAACGAGGAGGGTGACCGGTGGAAACCCCCGAACGATGGAATCTGGGCCCAAATTCTTAAGATCGAGCTCCTCGAAGGGTGCATGAGCACTTTGTTGGGAGGGTCACGAGTGCGAATGTAAGTGCCGGTGGGGGGGATGGCACCTTTCCCGCGACACAAGGTGGTTGTGTCCTTGATTGGTCACTCCCAGCATCAGCCTGGACCCCCTCGGCGTCAGGATACTCGCTTACATCATGCTCAACTCAGAAGCATATTCACCGTCGCGCCTTCGCTTGCAAGGGCCCTGTTGAGAAGGCCCAGGTGACATTGATTGGCTTTGCATACAGCTCCTTCCCATCCAGATCATCGATGGCAGCCTGGGACTCCTCCTTGCTGCCATACTCAATCAGCGCATAGCCCTTGACAAACCCTGCACATTCAGCGTGGGAGGATCGGCATTGGTTTGTATGGCAGGCAATCCAGCATTCTAGAAGCCTTGAATGGAGGTGAGAAACTATCGACACTGGGTCTTGCAACATGGGGTACACAACCACAACTCCCGGCACCAGCCAATTCCCACCGCTGAGCCCTGCATTCTCACCGGATCGTCGATCCAGGTTGAGGTGGATGTTCTTGATGTCCCCAAACTCAGCAAAGGCTTCGTGCAGATCCTCCTCCTGTGCCTCTTCATGAACGCCTGTCACCAGGAGTACCCACCCCTCCACAGCTGGACAAGGAGGGAGTGCAGAGAGGGTTGTCATGGTGTTTGCTCAACAGCGTGGCGCGTTGCCAAGGATGTCTAGCCAAGGTGCCAACGAGCACTGAATGTTCCTGAGCTGCACCCCGCTTCCCCTCCTCAGTGCACCCGGAGAGCGTGCGCTCAATCACACCCGGCGACCAAACCTAGATCGCCTGCACTCACACTTCTGGGGGCCAGGCCCAGACCCGGCAGAGGGAAGCCTGTCAAAGGTGCCCCCCTCCAACCTGTCGGCAAGGCTGGTCTGGTCGCGGAAGCCCCGGCCCTGCATGGGTGGGGAGATATCCGTAAACACTTGGCTTATTCGAAGAGCGCACCATGCTTCAAGAGAGTTCACGAGCGCTCACCTTCTGCCTTCGCTCTCCATCGACCTCCATCGCTTGGTTTCTGCAAGGTTGATAGGGGCAAGGGCTCAAGCAGAATATAGACTGTGATGACAGCTTCTGGCATTGTGGGTAAGATTACACTCGCCATGCGCCACACGCCACAGCGTTGTCACCACACCTGGACTCTGGGGAGAGGATGTCTATTGTTGGTCGCACCGTTAGTCAAACTTGCACAAGATACCACTCTGCATATGTATACTTTGTGGTCACTAAAGCCCAAAGTGCTCGCTCGTTTAGCTACTGGATCGGTTGCAGGTGCTGCTCGACATTCAGGCGCGGAGTCACTCGGGTCTCAGCGTAGCCCCTGCTGGCCAACATCCTCAAAATGATCCTGAGAGTCCTTGGGTGAACTCAAGCCTTAATGCGTCCTGCGGTCCCAAGATGTCTGCCTTCTCTACATTCTCAATGTTGTGCCATTTGTGATCCAAAAAATTGCCTCAAGGTTGCCGGATAATCTGTCTGAAGGTGAGATTTATGCGCGGCTCCTCCACACGGGCTCTCGGCGGCACAGCATGCATCCAGTGATCTTGCGTGCTACCTCCCATCACCAGCAGTGTTCCCTGGCCCAAAGAGTAGGTTCTTTTGCAAGCATGGTCCTCATTGCTCCGTAGGATGAAATCGCGCGCAGCTCCAAATGAAACCGATGCTGTTGAGAGGGAATTGCATGAGAACGACATGGCACTGAGGGGCACCATTATGTGCATTGCACGCATGCATGGACGGCTAGCATCCCTGGCTACGGCAGACTGTCATAGAGCCAGTGCACCATGATAAACTCTGTCAATGAAACGCAAGCATGAGGTGCATTGAAGCTGTGATGACCCTCATTCCCCTTCCAAACCATCAGCATACACAAGTTACTGCTCACCTATCGTAGGCTCAGAGCCATATAGAGGCTCATTGTCGCTGTGCCATGACATCTTGTCCTTCCCATCTCGGTAATAATTCAGGAGGCAGCTGTTGAAGGAGGTCCCGAGACAAGCTTCCACACGTTCCTGCTCCAGATCAGAGGAGGGGTTAGGGTGACCATGGGCACACCTGGAAAAGATCCCCTGATCGCATGCACCTTTCTTCATTTGTCAAGCTGAACACAGGACCTAGTTTCACCTTGACCGCCAGAACAACAGCATCCCAGGGTTCTGGGTTCAGCTTGACCCTGCTGTAAGTGTAACTAAGTCTGGGATCCGCAGCCTGATACACGATGAGCCGCGGCTGCAGCACCCTGCGACCATGAATGAGGACCTCGCGCTGCTGCCAGGGCAGGCGCCAGATCAGGTGGTCGGTGATGGCATCTGCCTCACTGGCAGACCACAGAGACGGACGATGCAGGATCCAGGCCCCCCGACCCAGATCCTCTTTGGAAGATGTGCTGTTAGCTTTTGTGGCAAAAAATCGACCGAGGGTCTGCTGCCGGAGTCCTGCTTGGCTCACAGAGATGCCGTTCATGCACGCCGGGTAAGGTAATGGTGCAGATCGACGAGGAATTTGAAAGCTGACACCCGTCCTCGTGTAGTCCTGCAAATCGACACGTATTGATATCGGATTTTGGTTCACTTGAAATAATTCATGTCTCCTGCAAGTCACGAACGTGCTGCTGACAGTGCTGGCGCTCGGTTTTAAGTCGGTCTAAGGCGCCAAGATCGAAATTCGATACAGTCAGGCTCCGTAGCAGGCATTGGTAGGTATAGTGGGACGGTGATCGGCGGGAGGGCTAGCCAATTTACTCGTGGGGAGAATTTGAAGAGTAAAAGTCGCAATGGTAGCGGCCGGGGCGTTGGGCCTGGTCACGCAGACGCACGTTGCAACCCGCAGCGCTCAGGCGCTTCAATACATCCAAACCCGGGTCCAGACCTCGCACCAGCACCCAAAGGCGCAGGCTCGTGGCTCATACTTCACCAATGTCTGGAAGTTAAATGGAACCTGCGCACGACTGGCCCCTTTGAGGGCTGCAGAGCACACGCACCAACATCACGACGAGCATGAGCACGGCAAACTAGAAGATGTCGGCAGATATGGACCAAAGGCAAGTCGCTGTCCACGGGTGACGAGGCACTCATCTAGAAAAGAACGAGTCGGTTGCGTGGATTGCCTGGTTGTACACCCACCGGGTAACCAAATGAAGTGTAGTAGACCACCCCCCTGCCAACCAACTCCCTCCCCTGCCAGGCGATCCTCCTTGTCGGCATGTCCAAGGATGACGGCAAGGCTGTGCAAACCTGGTTCAATGCCATGGCCCCAGAATATGCAGTGTGGCCTGCCACACCAGAGCAACTGGACTCCGACGAGGGCCTGGGGACAGTGCTCGGGCATCCCCGTGACCCATCCGCTGCTTGGCCTCAGGTTCCTGCCGACACACCCCCGGTGGTGATCTTCTCTGGAATGACAGGGAAGGAGATGATCGTGGTGTGCCAGCACTGGACGCAGTTCACAGGTACTTGTAAAGGCAAGGGGCGGGGATGAAGAGGGAAGGAGGAGCGAAGGCTGATGCAGCTTGCACACCTCGAGTTCGTCTGTGATCTTCACAAAGCAATCTGGTTGAGAATGCGACCTGTTCTGAGGATCATCTCAACATGACTTCCTACACAATATAACTCGGCGGGTCAGGGGTCCCTGACTTTATTTGACTGGGTCCCGCCGACATCTCCTTCTGCCTGCAGGGCTGGAGCAGCCCGCCTTTGCAGGCGCATGCGAAGCCAACTTCCACAAATCGCTGCGCGACCTCATCCCCGAGCTGATACGCTCCCTGCTGGCGGCCCAGCGCAGCATGGACGATGGCCACACCCACCACGGGCACCAGCGAGACTTCCACAGCGGCGCTCTCTCGCACGGTCCCCCACAGTCGCGGTCAGCAGCTGACGATGACCGGCAGCCGATCGTCATTGACCACGAGGCAGACATGCAGGGGCTCAAGGACCGGCTACAGAAGAGGATGGCAGGGAGGGCGCAGCGGCGTCAGGCTGCCCAGGAGGAGCATGAGCAGGGACTCGACCAGAGGCCGCCGCGGCAGCATGACCAGCACCGTGGCTTTGGGTGATGGCGCTGCCAGAGTGGTAACATCTCCCTGCACCGCTGCAGGCTGCAAGGTGGTAGCACTATTTTTCTGACCTGATGTGGTCCTTGATGGAGCAAGGGTGTTTGCCTGCGGCACAATTCCTTTGGCTCCTTCTTTCCTCTATTCCGAGTGCACCTACGTTGGTCCAAGGCACTACAGTACATCGTGGGTGAGAGCACAGGCTCTTCACAAACACAGGCACGCTGTCAATGCTGTCATAAAATCAAGATGAAAGGGGAGCACAGTGACGAGGGAGAAGAGTGATGAGGTCGCTACCTAAAGATCCTTATCTTTGCTAACATCATGCCTGGGCGCGCCAAACGCTGCGCCAATGCTGGAGTCCAACTCCTCTGGCTTCAGAGTCTGTGTGAGGAAGGGAATTGGATAGGGAGCATATGTAGAGGGCCAACACATGGACTAGGTCGTGGGAAAGTGCTTCCTGACTGGATCATACCTGCCAATCAGCACGGGGTAAGACCCAGGATCCCAGTGTGCAGCCAAAGCGTCCGAGTGTCTGTTGGGTGGCGATCGTATTGTAACCCCCCATTGCCCCAACAATCCTACCCTGTCTCGTCCGCCGAAAAGCAGCTTCCGTGCACCAGCCAGGATCTTGAAGAACCAAAAGAGATTGAGCGTGAAGAGCAGCACCGGCACAGTAAAGAGGAGGAGGATGCACGGCACGGAGACCTGTGGTGCAAGCGGTGATAGGGAGTGTGTTGGGTACGGCATGGATCATGAGTGCTGCCCTGGGGCAGACGCAAGCATGCCGTGTGAGGAGCGCAATCCATGCCCCTCGCGCCAGCGTCCTGGGTCCAGGCCCAGTTCACCACCGCATCCAAGCCGCGCCTCCTCACCAGATATATCTCATCTGAATGCGTGTACATGTGCGCGAAGAACCAGAGGAAGAGTAGGATGCGGATGACAAACCAGTCTGCCACCAAGGCCAGACCATTCACCAGGTAGACGCGCGAGCTCCTCAAGCCCTGTCACAACGGTGGGCGTGGGAGGGGTGAGCCTCTCAGCGAGAATTTGGCTTGGGGGTGTAAATGTGCAGCTCAAGCGGACCCCTTTGCCGGTCCTTGGAACATTGCCATATCCTGAAGGCAGCTGAAGCTTCCAGGCCTGAGCAACAGCAACATCGCCGCTCTCCCCATCAACACCCTGTGCTTACCACGGCATCCAGCATCCACCTCGCGTTGATGAAGGGCGTGGTGCACTCCGTGCCGAGGAGCGCCAGGGTGTAGAGGTGACCCTCCTCGTGGATGCCAGACACAGCAATCGACATCCAAGCCGCCACGTGGTGCAGCCCCATCTCCGCCCCTCCAAACTGCAAGGGGGAGACGAGAAGCAGGGGGGGTGTTCCCTCCAGCCTGCACCTGGCTATGCACAGGCTGGCAGCAAGGGTTGGCAGAAGAGGTCTCCATTCGCCCGCCTCAGCGCAACGTCCACAAACTCACATCCGGGTAGTGGGCGTAGAGCATGACCAAGTCGGTGCTGAAGTAACCCAGAGAATAGCCCAGGGCTGCAGTTGAGAGTGGGTTCATCCTCAGGATGACAGGGTCTCCAAACTCCTGGAGTAAGGAATTGCACGAGGATTTAAAGGTCAGCACCGCATCTCAAATCCAATCACAAGTGCATCTGGCCCCTATTTCCTGAACTCCATTGCGTGGGCACATGCATGAGTCCATAACTCTGGCAAGCAGCCCCACCACTGATAAGCACACCCAGACAAACCTTGGAGTCTGAGAAGAGGTCTGTGCAGAGAAAGAGATACCCAGCAGCAGAACTGAGCACCACGGCGTGCAGGGTGGAGGGCCACCTGCGGAGGGACCCAGGAGGATGCCTGTTGGAATTTTGACGGGTGCAGCTTAAAGGGCCTCGAGAAAGCCCTCCGATGCCCGGGATAGGTGCGCCGGGGCCTGACAGTCAGAGATGCAAAATTGGCGTTGATCAACTCGCCTGGCATCCCACTCGAGCTTTTTCTTTTCAGAGAGGTTTGAATAAGAGGCTGTGATGAGTGGGGAGAGCCATCGCGAGGCCTTGTAGCTTCCCACGTAGGTCGCATAGCCGGCCACAGCTGATTGTGGGTATATTGGGAGAGTAAGAGGGAGGTGCGGTGGATGCAGTATGCAATATGCGATCCGATCAGATCATGCAGAGGGGCTCACCTGCTGCAAGGAGAGTCGTGCTGTGTTCTGGCCAGGAGTCTGGGCGCCCCATGGCTCCAGGCCCTCGCCTTGAATCGCGGACTGGCACACGAAGGAGGAGCCACAAGATCAACAGATACTCTCAGAAACCCTGATTACCCAGCTGGTGGGCAGTCAAGGTGCGCAGCGATTCGCAGCGACTCCCTGCGTATCAATTGCATGAGCACAGTGCTTTGGTTTCCTGAACTTGGGGCTTGAATATTTGGGGACAGACCGCGCAGCACATCCTCCCAGCCACGAGTCTCCGGGTACGGGGCTTTGTTGATGGATTCTCAGGTGTATTCATTACTGATACCAATGCATGCTACTATACATACTGCGCGGGGGCTCGTTTGAACCTCCGCGATCAAGTCTGACGGCCTCGGCCCCTGGTTGCCCACCGTCGTGGTCTGTCGACCGGCGACGGGGCGAGCAGCACTGGGGAGCGCGACCAAGCCACTTCACTTCTCATTACGTGGGAAACATCGAAGAGCTGCCCATCGTCTCGTGCCGGTTAGGCCTAGGCAATGGATCCGGGTTACGACACCCCCCCCCGAGGACTGGCCCCTCCATCTCACAAGGGAGCAGGTGGCTCCACGATGCGGGCCGCTCTCGAGTCCCAATCCGATGCCATGGCCTCCCCTGCTCTTCAGTCGTCGGCAGGGAGGGTGTCTCACATGAAGCCTCCATGCATCCCCCGCCTCCCACTCAGCCCCATGAGTCTGCAGCCAGGGCGGAGGACGCCCCACCCTCGTCAGTGCCCGGCAGTGCACCCCTCAGTCGTCAAGGGCTGGCCGAGGCCCTGGACCGGGACTCCCCCTCACCCCACTAGTGCCGCACATGGCTCTGCGAGGTGGCTCAGGCACCCCCGACAGGAACGCCACTCCCCGGGCCGGCACACCAACCCCCGCGGAGCAGTGGGCACGCCTCGCAGCAACCCACGCCAGGTTCCACGGGGGCCCCGCACCCTGACTGCCTTCCATGCCACGTGCGCAGTTGTGGGGAGTTGGGCATGTCAAAGTGTGGTGGGAATGGAGGTTTGTTGTTCAGTGTACGACATGGCTGCATCTGCTGCTGCACACCATTCCCTGGAGGTCCAGCGCTCGATGCTAGGTCGTGGAGGGCGGCCGGACCCTACAGCCCCCATCCCTCCTCCTTCAGCCTTGCATGTCCCAGCGCACGCTTGACCTGCTTGTGTGCAGGGCATGGATGGACCGCCAGGAGGCCACCTTCACTGCCTGGGTGAATGCCGTGCTGGCGCCCAGCACGGCCGAGCCCAGCAACGCCGCCATGGCGCGGCTGGCGGCCCGCACCAGAGGCTGGCTGTGGTCCATGTACCAGGCGGACGCGGGCCTGCAGGACGTCATGGTCAGGGTGGAGGCCAGGATCGACACCGGTCAGCTCCGGATTGGGAGCGAGGTGGGTGCTGGGCACGGGGCCCTGGCAAACGGTGTGGTGTATTGCAGCTGGGGCCAGGGAATGATTAGGGGGAAATGCCCGGGGAAACCAAGGCCACTGATGTGCTGGTCGCGTGTCCAGCTGTGACGGGCTCCAGAGACGCCAGAACCCTCACCCCTACCCCCTGCTGATAATCCAGGCATTGAGCCTGCGCAACGTCAAGGAGCAGGCTGCGGCGCGACGAGTCCTGCTTTCTTACCACCCCTTCTGGCTCACCGCAGCCCTGGAGGTGGTGGTGGGCAAGTCCGTCGACAGCGGTGAGCAGCAGGAGGGGGGGGAACAGCGTCTATAGATTACAGATCGGTTTTGCTGAGTTGAGCAGCTCGGTGGATCTTTTGCACGCATGTCCCGAGGGAGGAACGCTCTGAGAAACGCTCACCTCTGGACTCGAAGAGGCTGCTTCCAGGGCAAACTCCGCGCACGACCGCACAGTCACAGTCGCCAAGCCCGGGTGCTCAAAGCTGGAGGCTTTTGTTAGGGAGCACGTACTCTGCGACCCTGGCTGTCAGGATGCGGCGGCACCCAGGCGAGTCGGCGCCGGCGCGGCACGGAAGGAGGACAACGTGAGCTGCTGGGGGTAGGGGGTCGGTCCTCAAGGGGCTCCATTTGCAAGACATATCCTCTGCTCCGAGCATGAAATCATCTGTGCCCTGAGACATCTGCAGTGCAACCCCCCCGTCGGGCGCGGCGCTCAAGCCTGTCCACCAGGCCCCCTTCCGTGATCATGCTCCACAGGACCTCCTCGGACGGCTGGCCCTCAAGCGCATCCTGCTCCTCGTGCTCCTGCTGGACCGCGCGGCGGAGAGGCAGGACCTGGAGCCGGGGTTACCCCTGCTCTTCCTGGTCGATGCCCCCCATAAGTCCTCTGCCAGCGTGAGTAGGTTTTGGAGGATTTGGGGTGGACCTCGATGCATCAATCAGATCATGAGGGGGAGGGCAGCCATGCCGAAGGAACCACAGTCCCGCCCTGTCTAGCGGAGCACATGCAGTGATCTCGGAGATCGGCTGCTGTACCAGCGCTGTCCATGCTGGCGCCACCCCTGGACACATTGTTTCCCATGCCGCCGCCCCCCCGCCCCCCCCACGCCCCCCACCCAGGCCCTGCAAGGCGTGCTGGGCCGGTGGCTGGGCAGCGAGGGCGACCTGGCGCGGACGCTGGGGCGGTACGGGTACCGCCTGTCCCACGCCCAGCACCCCAAGCGCGAGCTGGACTGGCGCCTGCCCAGCCTGGCGGTGGGCCTGCGCGACGGCCTGCGCCTCTGCCGCCTGGTCGACGCGCTGACGGGGCGCCCGGGCCTGGTGGACGCGGCGCGCTTCCCCGCCGCCGCCCGCCCCGCGCGCCTCTTCAACGTCTCGCTGGCGCTGGAGGCCCTGGCCCGGCACGGCGTCCGGCTGGAGGCCGCCGCCCCCGGCCCGGGGGCCACGCCGCGGCCCGGGGTCCACCCCGCCGCGCCCATGCTCGTCGACGGGGACCGCGCGCCCACCCTGGACCTCCTCTGGCGCGCGTTCCTGCGCCTGGACCTGCCCCGCCGCGTGCGCGGCCAGGCGCTGCAGACCGAGATCGACAGGCTGGCAGCGGGGAGGGGTGATGGGACGGGCGGGGGCGGGCAGGGTGGCGACCACGCGGCCCGCCTGGCCGGCGTGGTCTTGCCCCCGGCCGTCGAGGCGGACGCCGGGCCCGCAGCAGGCCTCCTCCGCCTCGTGCTCTGCTGGGCGGCGGCGGCCACGGGCTGCGTGCAGGGCGCGGCCGGGAACATCGCCGCCACGTACGGAGATGGGCGCCTGCTCTGCCTGCTGGTACGCTGCGTGCTGATGAACGAGGGCCAGGCGGAGGGCGGTGGGGGATGAGAGGCTGTTGTGCAAGGGATGCGAAGCTGGGAGCTGCAGGGGAAAGCTTGTGGTGAGCCGGCTCGAGGTGTACTGGCCCCGGAAGTGAAGGGGTGGTCCGTTGGGTTCCAGGAATGTTGTGGCTTTTCGGAGTCCTGAGCTCCTAGACCTCCAACTCCCATGCAGGTGCGGCAGTACCTGGGCGAGGCGGTGCTGCCACGGAGCGAGATTTACGAGGTGCCGCCGGCCCTCCTGGCCTCCACGGGCGCCGAGGATCCTCAGCAGCAAGGTGACGTGATGACTTTGTTGGCGCGATGGGGTATGCAGGGGCTGAGTTTGGGCGGATGCCCTGTATGTCAGAGGCGGAATTTCCCGAGTAGCTGGGAGGCATCCCGGTGTTGTGAGCGCCGGTGTTGAGTACAATCTGCCGACCATCTACCCCGCCGCCCGCGCCTGCAGCCTGGGCGCTGTCGTGCCGGGAGGATGCTGCCGCCAGGCAGTACCGCGCCGGGGTGCAGTCCAACTTCGACCGGGTGGCCCTCGCTATGGAGGCGCTGGGCGGCTCGGGCGCGCTGCTGTCAGGTCTGAATACAAGGGTTGGGGGTTGGGGAACTAGTAGAACAAGGGAGGGGGAATCGCCGGGGCATGCAGAGATGGTGTCATCCTTGGCGTATTTCTATAGACGCCCGGTTCCTCCGACCTCTCCTTGTACCCGCTGTGTATATATGCCCTCGGTGTATTGCGCAATAGCTGCACCTAGGCGCCATGGACGGCATGCTACGCCCCGACGATGCCCCCCTTTCCCCCACTTTCCTCCCAATGCAGGCGAAGACGTGGTGGAGCACGGTGCAGACGACCGCTCCGTCCTGCTGGCGCTGTGCGGCATGTGCAGCCGCCTGCTGGAAGCCTCGCGCGAGGAGCGGGGGGCCATGACCATCCAGCGCCTGTGGCGGCGCCGGGCGGCCGCGCCGCGGCAGGGCCCGGGCGCCGCGCGCGCGCACCTGCACGCCTGGATCGCGGCGGCGAGCAGGGTGCAGGCGGCGTACCGGCGTCACGTCTTCCTCAGTGGCCTGGAGGCAGCGCGCCGGGACCGGGCGGCGCGCCTGGAAGCCGCAACTCGGCTGCAGGCGCTGTGGCGCGGCAGGGCCGCTCGCCTGGCCCTCCATGCGACGCGAGCGGCGGCGGTGACGCTGCAGGCCCTCTGGCACGGCCGGCAGGCGCGCAGGCAAGTGCTCGAGGAAAAGCTGCTGCCGCGCCTCCTGGCCGGCGTAGCGGTGCGCAGGGCGGAGCTCGCTGAAGCACGCACGGCGCGGCGCCAAGAGCTCGCCGCCGCCGCGATGCAGACCGCCTGGCGGGCCAGCCACGGACGCCGCGCTTTCCTCAAGGCGCGGCGCGCGGCGCCAGTGCTCCAGGCGCACGTGCGTGGGTGGCTGGAACGCGCGCGGCTCGCCCGCCGCTGCAGCGCCGCGATTCTAATTCAGGCCGCGGCCCGGGGATGGGCGGTGCGGCGCCATGAGCAGACCAAAGCCCGTGCGGCTCAGATCATCCAGGTGTGTTTGTGTATGGGAGGTGGGGGGAAATGGTGGGAAGGGGCGCGCCTTAGGGACACTACTTGTGCCCACCAGGATGACTGAGAGATCCGCGTCAGCTCACGCCGCATGCCGAGGCTTGGGACTCACCCCTGGGGATCAGTCCAGGCTGGTCGCGGCCCTCATTTCCCCCTGACCCCACCATCCCTCGCCAGGCGCACTGGCGGCAGCACCGCCTGCAGGCGCGCGATGCGGAAAACTACCGCCGCCTGAGGGAGGCCGCGGTGCTGCTGCAGCGGCGCTGGCGAGCAGTCAAAGCGGCGCGCCTGGCGGCCGCGCATGCGGCGGCCACCCGCATCCAGCGCATGTGGAGGGGGTCGGTCGGGCGCCGCGCATTCCTGGCGTGGCGCGGCGCGGCGGAGATGCTGCAGAGGCACTGGCGCGGGCACCATGCACGGCGGCGGCTGGCAACGGAGAAGGGCGCGGCACTGGCCGTCCAGGCAGCGTGGCGGGGCCGGCGGGCCTGGCGGGAGCGGGCCAGGCTGCATGCAGCTGCGCTGGCAGTGCAGCGCGTCTGGAGGGGCCACGCGGCGCGGCGGCAGTTGCGTCTGGACGCGGCCGCGATCTTCGTGCAGCGGTGGGTTGTGGGACGGATGCAAATGTTTGTGCATGGGGTGAGATGTTTGTCTTGATTACAAGTGAACTTCTCGCACGGTGATCTCAGCCAACTTCACACCATCCTGTCCATGACTCTCCCACCATAGGCACGCCCGCGGCTTCCTGGCGCGCCGCGCGCACCACCGGCGGCGCGGCGCGGCGGTGACCATCCAGCGCGCCTTCCGCGCGCACCTGGAGGCCGCGCGCGCCGCCTCCGTCGCGGCCATGAAGGCGCAGATGGAGGCGCTGGCGCGTGCAATGCAGGACTACTCACGCCGCGCGGCCGCCGCGCGGCGCCTGCAGGCGGGGTGGCGGGGGTGCCTGGAGCGGCGCCACCTGGCCGCTGTGGCAGCGCAGGAGGCGGCGGAGCGGGCAAGACGTGCGGCCCGGGAGGCGGCCGCTCGGGCGACCATCGCGCCATGGGCGTCCGTCTTCCTCGCCAGGATTCGGTTCTTGAAGCTCAGGTACAGGAGGGTGATGAGTGCAGCAGGGGCATTCCCAAGCCTATTGTTCTCCATGGCCACTCCCCTGACCCAGGACATAAGATTCCGCTGCCAAGGCTAGGGGGTGGTATATTGGCAGCGTTTTACAAACTCGCCCTCTCCCCCCAACCGGAGCAGGCGGGCCGTCGTACTCGCACAGCGCGCCTGGCGATCGGAGTATGCCAGACGCTGCGCTGCATCCATCGTAATCCAGGCCCAGGCCCGAGCCTGGCTGGGCGTGCGCGCGCTGCGGCGGCGCAGGGCGGCAGCTCTGCGCCTCCAGGCTGCGTGGCGGGGTGGGCGGGTGCGCCAGACGCACCCGCAGAAGCGGCGGCTGGCCGAGGCTCGCGGCCGCCTGCGCGTGGCCACCGAGGCGGCGCACCTGCTTCCCCCCAGCCAGCGGACGACCCTGGCGTCCAGGACCGCCACGGCGCTGAGCAGCCTCGCGGCGGTGCCCTTCCCCGAAGTGGTGAGTGAGCGCTGGGATGACGAGGCTGGGATGTGAAGGGAGTGAGTTATGAAACGCAGCACACTTCCAACCGCGGAAGGGTGCCCTGCTGCATCGGGGTCGCAAACGGGCCCCACCCTCGCCCACCACTCCTCTCGTCCTTCGTGTCCCCCCAGGCATGCGGCGCCTGGGAGACCCTGGCCAGGTGCACGGCGGCCTCCAATGCCTGCGCCCAGACCTGCTACGACGCCGCGCTTCCCATCGTCATGGCCGTCCTCCGCTCGGGGACCAAGGCGGGGTCCAATGTGCAGCCCGAGGCGATCCGGCACGCGGTAATGTGCCTGGCTCACATGGGTCGCAACAGGTGTGTCGGTAACGGGGAGCAGAGAGGGGGGGGATATGCCATGTGGGGATGTGTAGAGGGGAAATCCGTCGCTATGCCAACTCGTGACCTGCCAAGGGGTGGAATTATCCTTGTTTCCAGATTCCGTCCCCACATGTCGCCCACCTTCCCAGGTCCTGCCTGGATGCCATGCTTGCCACCGACGAGGTGCTGCTCCTCCTTGCAGCCCTCCTCCAGAGGAATCGCGACAAAGAGGTGAGGGCTGGGATCTGGAGGACATAGGTAGCGAGCCGGGGTGGCGCCCGCCCTGGGAAACTCCAGCCACACAACCCAGAAAATTACAACACTGCACGTCGCCGCACCACAGGAGCTGTTCCTGGCCCTGGTGTCTACCATCCGTGCCTTCCTCCCCACCCCTGCTCATGCCCTGAATGCCTCAAGGCGACCCGCATTTGTGGCCACCGTCGAGGGGGTGGGGCGCATGCTCGCCCTCAAGGCCCAGAACCACATGGCCACCCTGAACAAGCTCGAGAGGGCCAAGGTGAGGTTTGGCCCCTTTGTAGGGGGTGAAGGGTGAAGTGGCGAGCCTAGGCAACACATCCAGGTGCCCTGTGCTGCCGCAGGGCATGAAGAGGCCTACGGTCTGACCCCGCTCCTGCATCCCTGCGTTTCCTTCCCTCCATTCCCTGCTGTCAAATTCCATATGGCCCCTACTGCCTGCCGCACGCCATCATGTAGGGCTCCGACGTCTCCGCTCGCCAGGCCACCAAGGCCCTGGTCACGGCCAATCGCCAGCTGCTGGCCCTAAACAGGGTGCTGAGCCTGCTGGGCCTGCCTGCTGCAGGGGCCGGCCCGCAGTCCGCCAACCACCCGCAGGACCCAATGCATGGGCCCCCTGCCGGCTCGCCAGGCGTCCTGCAGCGCCTGGGGAAGAACACCATTGTCAGGGGGGTGCTCCAGGCACTTAACCACTGAGGTATGCAACCAGAGTATCCACTGTCTTGTCAGTGTGCAAAGCCTCAGGCTTGGAATGTAGTCAGGAGTGAAAAGATGGGTGACAAGAGGGATTATGAATGTACATTGAAAACTTTGATTTGCAAAGCCTCAAATCCAGTGGGGGGAACGGCTGGGTGCTCGGAACAACAAGGTCCGCAAGGGAGTCATTTATTGTAAGAATGGAAGGGAGGCAAGCAGAACAAACATACACAAAGGTGCGGGGGCCTGTTCCCGCAGGGATCACCGTGTGAACCCAGGCATGATGGCCTCCCACTCGGGGGCATCAGCATCCAGTGACAGGAGAAGGTGGGTCCAGCGCGCCACGGCATCGCTCTCGCCCCTGCGCTGATAGGCTTCCATAGACAGCCTCACCAGGCCCCTCCACACGCCCAGCACACTGTCCTCGGCAGACTGAGCATGGAGAGGGACAGGTGTAAATGTCAGAGCATGCGAATGCGGTGTTCGACCACACGCGAGGGAAAGAATCAGCTTGCAGCATGCCACTCCACCCCTCCATCGCGTTGTCGCCAAGGCTATCACCTGCCGCTGCACCTCCTCTGGTTTAACACGCTTCCCATTCGTCACATCAATGCACACTGGAGCTGCGCCACCTGCATCTCCTCCATCAACACTGGAGACATACCACCACTGAGAGCTTGGAATGGTCGGAAGGTGGGCCCTCGCAGGCCGGGCTGCTGCCCCTGTTCTGGGTTGAGAAACCCCTTGCCCCGTCTCACGGAATGGCAGCACCAGCGCTGGTATCCCTTTGGCATCTGCGATTCCAGCTGCAGCAACGCCCATGAGCAGTGGCGCGCCTGTGCCGCCTTGGAGGACGGCGGCAAGGCGCAGCGGAGTCACACCAGTGTACAGCCACTCAAAGGGCTTGAAGCACAGAGACCTGTTGCTGTGCAGGTTCTGCAGGAGTAGTAGGGCGCGAGACGGTGAGCTTCCACCACGATGGAATTAATACTAGCTGTTGGCGCCATCCCAGAAGCCATACTCCCCTCACCTGTACAAGGGCAGCTAATGCATCCGACCGGCTGGCAGCGGGGTCTCCAACATCATTCTGCTGCGCCAGCTCTGCGATCCTTGCATAGCACCACTCCTTCCTCTCACCCAGTGCTGGCAGCTCTGAGGTGTGCTGGATCAGACCAGTGCCATCCATGCCGTCGTCATCGTCATCATCATCATCCTCAGCCAGCTGGTCCAGCTGTTGATCCAGAAGAAGGGCGCCATGCACCATGGCTGATGCCGCCGCTGATGCCTCACAGAGAGGAAGATGCGCTCGTACCAACTCACTCCACTGGTCCATCGCCTGGTTGTGGGTAATCATCTCGGTGACTAGCTCATTTCTGGTGACAGGAATGGAATGAAAGCATGTGTCACGATTTTTATCACTATTACCTTGATCACCCCATCATCAGCTTCACTCAGCACATCCAGTTGACTTTGCAGGCGCTGAGGGGGACTTGAGGTATGGGAAGTGGTCGTTGGCAGCACATTTGTCTGATGACTGCTTGATGGAGGCAGGGAATGGGATGCAAGAAGGCTCAGAGGGATCTCGAATCCTGCAAGGGCTTGCAGTGGAGTACCCCACAAGCCTACACGCCTTGCCAGCGATGCAGCCACCATGTCTCCCGCGATATTTTCAGTTTAACATGACATTAGTCTCCAAATATCCTTACTGTGCTTGGAGCAAAATCCTTGGTGTCAGGAAATGCGCAATGCATTTGCGTGACTGGCGGGAGCTGCCCTGAACAGGCTAGCTGGTACTGCAGAGGCTCCAGTACCCGACCACCTCGGCGGCCTGTACAGAGCTCATGGCCGGCCCCCGACACGGTCTCTTTCGACTCGCAAGTACCCGAGGCTGTGAAGCGGGGCTTTGTCAATATGGCGGATCAGGTAGGAATCGGTATGCGCGCAGGGCTGCTTTACGCCGTGCTGGGCGCACGGGATGACCGCTAAGGCCAAACACCCCTCCCGCTCACCTGCAGACCGAGAGGGCGTTCCAGAGGCAGCTTGGTGCCCAGAGGGGGTGAGTGCGTCTTTTGGGAGTTTGCTTAGGCCTGGCGCCACATTGTCTCAGCGAAGAGGACGGGCGCTCACGGGTGGTCCCACCCTGCGTTCGGCTCGGGAGCCTCGCAAGCGGGAGGAGAAGGACAGCATTCGGGAACACAACGATTCCACCTCATGGGAAGGGATTGAGGACCTCGGGACAGGCACACTCATTGACCCACATCTCACGAATCCTTCAGGTACAACAAGTCGACCAAGAAGACCCCCGGGAAGGCAGGTGCTCGTTTCTACAAGAACATCGGCCTGGGCTTCAAGACCCCCAAGGAGGCCATCGAGGGTAGGTCTTGTTGCTGTGCCAAGCAGGGAACGGTCGGCATCCTGTTGGAGGTACAGGCTGCTTGTCCCAAGCTGCCCTCCCTGTGACCAACCAGGGGCTCTGCCACCCCCTCGCCACGCTGGGCGGTGCATACCACTCACCCAGCCCCTCCCTCTGATGCCCTGCTCCCCCAGGCAACTACATCGACCACAAGTGCCCCTTCACCGGCAACATCTCCATCCGCGGCCGCATCCTGGTCGGCAAGGTCAAGTCCACCAAGATGACGCGCACGCTGGTCCTGCGCCGCGACTACCTGCACTACATCCGCAAGTACCAGCGGTACGAGAAGCGCCACACCAACATCGCCGCGCACATCTCCCCGGCGTTCCGCGCCAGCGAGGGCGACACCGTCATCGTCGGCCAGTGCCGGCCGCTGTCCAAGACCGTGCGCTTCAACGTGCTGCGCGTCGTGCCCGCCGGGTCCAATGGCAAGAAGGGCTTTGCCGCCTTCTGAGCACCCGTCTGTAACCCGCTAGGCAGAGGCGTCAGGAGGGGGGAGGTGTCCACTACAGGCGGTGTGCTGTCGTATTACAAACAGGTCTTGGATCAGGCAAGGAAAGGGTTTGGAGAGCATGCGTCGGCGACAAAGGAGCAAGCGTTGGCGCCTGATGTGGGGTGGATCCCGTCAAAACTCCCACCACCAGGTACCGGGGGCCGCTGGCACCTGCCAAATTCCAGGGTCTGCTACTCCTTGGAGGGGGGGTCCACCTGGGCCTCGACGTCCTTGGCCTGAGCCAGGGTTGCGGCCTCCATGCTCTTGGCAAAGTCACGCAGTGGGGACGTGTACATGGTGGGCTTCTCGGCCGACTGGGGGTCCAGGGTGGCTGCCAGGGTCGTGTAGCGGGGGGAGGGGGGCATGGTGTGAGCTCCCAGGCATGCGAATGGCACGTCGTACAGGGTCCCCATCAGGGCATGCTGCGGCCGAGGACATTCCGTGGTGCGCGGCCTGCAGCCACAGGGCAAGCTGGGCCGGCGCGACCCTGCACAAGTTCCAACAGCCCCGGGCCCTCACCAGTCGCGCCGGCGGGGAGAGTCTTCGCGATGCTGTTGATGGCAGGCCCGCGCCGGCGGGGCTGCTTCGTCTCCTTGGCCTTGCTGGCAGCCGTGGGCCTGGGAGGGGTCTTGGGGTCGGCGGGGATGTCACCATCGCCCTCGGCGGCCTGCCGGCGCCGGCGCACCTGCGGCGTGTGCGTTTGCGGTGGGGGTGTTGGACGCCATCGACCAGCACTGCCACCTGGCACACAGCCCAGCCTGCCGGGGACACCTCCAGCCTCAAGGCCCCGTGCAGCTGGTGCAAGCCTGAGGGACGCAGGGATGCATCCTGGACGCATCCCAGACGTCCTCGTCAAGGCCCCGGCACAATCATGTCTCGACCCCTGCCCCTTGGCTCAAGGCTCGAGCTTCACCCCGACCAATTCTCGACGCCCCCCCCAACCCACCACGATGATCAGCCAGACCAGCAGCGCGGCAGCCACCAGCCCTCCGATCACGCCACCGGCGATGGCCCCGACGCTGGACTTGCCCCCGCTACTGCTGGGTGGGTTGGGGCTGGAGCCAGGCGATGGTGGAGGGCTGGGGATCTTGCCAGGGGGAGGGGATGGCAGGCCCCCGGTCTGCGGGTTTGAAGGGGAAGGGGGGCCGATGCTGAGTACTTGCCTGCAGGGCCTGTTCCTAGGCGGTGGTGCGGGCCCTGACAGCCGGCGCCGAACCGCGCCCAACGAGTTCGGGATGGGTTAACACTGACGCTGGCAAGCAGGTTGCCACCCAATGCTCCTTCCAGGGTCCCAAAAAGTACCATTCCTCTGCATCAACGCCCTCATTATAGTAAGCGACGCCATGACAAGCCTCCCCGCCCACACACCCCTCCATCATACCCCCTCCCCCCTTCCATAGAGAAACACCACCCCCCGCTCACGATGATGGAGGAGGCGGTGACCGGCACGGCTCCCGCCGCGAGGATCCGGGCGGCGGCCTGCGTGGTGTTGCTCAGTGAGGCCACCAAGCCGGTAGAGTCCGCGGTCTGCACCACCGCCGTCACGTGCACGGAGGAGTCGTCCAGCAGCCGGCGCCGGCCCGCCGGCACACCCGCCACAGAGGTGACGGAGCAGGTGGCCGTCACGTCGTTCGTCAGGCTGACCAGGACGCCGCAGATGGCGGGGGCCCCCGCCGCGGTCACCACGGCGGTCGATAGCCCCGTCACGTCCATGTCCACGATGACGGGGGAGCGGGCCAGGGGGCTGGGTGGGGGCGGCGCGGACGAGGCCACCACGGGGTAGATGTCGCAGAGGGTCAGCGTGCCTTTGGTCTGGACAGTCACGTACGTGCCGGTGGCGGCGCAGGGCACTGCGCAAGCGCCGCCAGCCCTCACCTGGTAGCTCTGTCGGGGGGGCGGGCGGAGGAAAGGGAATGAGAGCGAGGCCCTGACTTGGTGAGGAGCGCGGGGCGGGGCAGGCGGGGCGGAGGGGATGGTGGAGGAAGCACGGCGTCGAGGGAGCGGGCAGGCGGGGGAGGTGGCGAGGGCACACTGGGCTGTGCAGCCTCAGCAGTTGCCGGGCGAGGTAGATCTACAGTCAGTCCATCGGCCCCCAGAGCCCCCGCTTCCCACGTCGGGCACACCTACGCACCTGGGCACACAGCGCGTTGTTCATGCCGTTGTTGGCGGCGCTCTCCCCGACCTAGATGTTCACCAGGACGTCGTAGGAGGAGCGGATGGAGACACTGGACAGCGTCACGCTGTACCCCTGCGCGCGTGTGTGCGCGGGGCGGGGGGGGGGGTGCTCGTGTCGCCTGGTCCACCAGACGACTCCACACAGGCTGATGCGCAGGGTGAGCGCGAGACAGATGCACGTGGTGGTCGGCGTGCTGGAGTGATTGTGGGCATCCGAGTAGAGTGCACTGCCACATGCGCCCCATGCCCGCCGGCATCTGCGGGCGACGCTCTCGTGTGGACGCACAACCGGTGCGATGCACGCCCCACAACACCGGGGCAGCCTCCCTCACCTGACCCCTTTCCCCGACCACACCCGCACACAGCTACCAGCCACCCACCATGTCGATGGAGATGTAGCTGATGGTCCCCGTCACGGGGGCCATGGCGCAGGTTTCACAGCTGCCGTCCAGCGCCTTGATGGCCACGGCATAGCCATCGTTCAGAGACTCGTACCCGGAAATGGTCAGGCCGGCAAAGGACAGCAGGTCATGCCCTGGGGCAGGGCATGGCGGGAGCAAGGGTCAGATCAATGGTCTGAGCCGTGCACGGGCGAGCATGCCATGCTCAAGCACCCTCTGTGAGATCGGTTGGCATGCCCAACAGACCATGCCCTGCAGCTCAGGCAGGCACCCCATCCCCACTGCCGGACCCAAGAGCAGACCAACTCACCGCACAGCCCGTCTGAAAGCTGTATGGAGGGAGAGACCTGGGTAGGGGCAGGGACCGGGGCTATGGACTCAGCGGGCCCCCAGCTGGGTCCAGACACGGGGCTGGCCACCGCTGTGGGAGGTGATGGGGGCGGGCTGGGGGGGAGGGTGCCTATGGGGCAGATGTACTTGTTGCTCGCAAAGTCGTAGCCCTTGGCAACCTGGTGGAAATGGGAAGGTCGGTGGGGATGGGAAAGTCGGTGGGGGTGAGAAGGCCGGTGAGAGCCCACTCACCTCCTCAGGTTTGGAGTCTGAGAACAACCAGACCCTGGGTGCAGAGCGGCCCCCGCCGTAGCTGCAAGACAGAGCAAGGCACGGTCCCAACCTGGCCCCGCCACCCCACTGCCCAGAACTCACTGTGCAGGACCCCACAGCGTCCCTGCAGTAGCCCCCGGTAGTCGACTCCGCGCCCTGGCAGATGCACAAGCACTGGTCCGAGTCCCACGTCCCCTGCACAGTTTGGCAGGAAGAGGGGTTGGGTGGGGAACTTGAATGATGCCCACTCTTCACATCCCACGACTCAAGAGCATTGGGAGCAGCCTAGCGGCGGGGCCCAAGATGGGGCTGCTTTCCATCTGCATGCTGAAACCTCCCTCCAAAACGAGGTATGTGGCACCATACTATGCTGCTGAGGATTGCCTTCCCCCCACCCCCCCACCCCCCACTGCCCTCTCACGTAGGAGCAGCCGACATTGGGCTGGGTGCAGATCTTCACCCCAGGCAGCTCTGCCAGGAGCTGAGCGGGGGACAGGCAGGTCGGTGCGTACTTGGTGGCCACGGTGGGGTCGTTGATCCAGTCCAGCACCTGGGAGATGGTCACCAGCCAGGTGTAGGGGAGGGCCGCCGCGTAGTCAAAAAAAGCGTTCAGCTGGGTCAGGCGCTCGGGCTCCGCCTCCAGCCAGGCCGCCGTCACGTACACGCCCAGCGGCGCGCGGTTGCCGGAGCGGCGGTTGTCAAGCGCCAGCTTGTACAGGGAGTAGAGGTCGCCCTGGGGGTTCATCGTGCCCGCCAGACTTGCGTCGCTGTTCTGGGTATCCCACACTGGGAACTCCCAGAGACCCGCATACACCTCGTCAGAGCTGCACACCCCGGTCGTGCAGACCTGCGGTGAAGCAAGGGTGTGAGATCTTGAGGTGACCTGGGTCGTTGATACATCGCGATAGGCCTAGCTCCAGCCAGAGCGGCCTGTAATAAATATATGGAGAGGCTCACCTGTGGGATGCCATGGTCCATGGTGTAGGGCCACAGCAGGTTTGTGGCGCTTGGAGATGTGGTGGATGGGAAGGACTCCGAGATGGAGGAGTCGTACCTACAGGAAGGCGCATTGAAGGACATCCGGTGGTCACCAAATGCAAAGCATGGCGCCGAGTAAATCACACAGCTGGCTGCCTCTGTAGGGTGTACTCCTGCACAGGTCAGAACCGACGGTGTTCAACTGGATCCCAAAATTCAGATCTCCCTGCACTCGAGCACAGCCACCCTGGTGCGCACCTGAAGCCGTTGTTAGACAGGATGGCACGCTGCTCGGGTGAGAAGGCAAGGTATGGGGCGCGGAACCCCTGGATTTTCTCCATGGGTAGCTTGGCCGTCTGCGAGGAGGGAGGTTCCCAGTGTTTACAACCCCTTTTCCATCAACCTGGGCATTGTCTTGGTGCATGCTCTAGCCCTCTCGTGCCCCCGCCTTCTTGACTGAGCAGCCTCGATCACCACCACACCTGATTGTACCAAGTCTTGGCCCCGACAATCTCTTCCAGGCTAGCCACTGAGGTGCCGCTCATCTGCAAGGGCCCGGGAGAAAGGGAGGTGGGCAAGGATGAGAGAGGGAAGGGATTGCGGTGGGCGCTCCTTGAGCTTCATGGGTGGCTCTTGCCTCATTTTTGACGTGACCCCTTAGTGCTCATCGACCAGATGCATACCGTTTGCGTGGCGATTTCATGACCTTTCACGAACAACTGCTGGACCAGCGAGACACTTGTATTGTCAACTGGAGCAAACCACCTGCGTTAATGACCGCGAGTAGTGTTGTGAAGGTCTGGGTGGAGAATGATCGGCGCTGCAGGACCAGAAAAGCGCTCGGCATAGAATGCAGATGCATCCTGTACCCCGGCCAACCTCCCGATGGGCTCACGTTGCAGGCATGGCACAGCCATTGTCGTTGACGTGGTTGTCGGTGATCTGGAGAAGAGATGCTTTGGTCTTCAGGGTGACCGCATCGTCGGTGGTGAGGACGATGAACTGGGGAACGACCGACGCATCGAGACCTCCAGGAATGCCGCTTGTTCCGCACTTGCAGTTGGCGGTGGGTAGACAGGTCGTAGGGCACTCTGGGGTAGCGGAACGGGTCATGGGATCTCATCAGTCTTCATGGCATGGTCAGATGAGATCGAATTTAGCAGAGCCATGAAGAGCAACCTACCATACGCATGTGCCGCCGTGATGGCTAAAACAGCTGTGACCAGGAGCGAAAGCTTCGCTCGCCGAGGTCCCGGCATTTTCACGGCTCTGCAGTGGTGAAACGATGAGAAGACGAGTTGATTATGGGATAGAATTCGTCAGCGCCTTACGCAGCCGTTAAATGCGGACACCGTCTCAACCGCACTACACCCCTACGGTTCACAGACAGCTGATTGGTAACACCGGCAGCAGTGGAGCTGCAATTCCTACCTGATGATTCGATGCAGCCTTGTGTTCAATCGCTAATTTATTGCAAGACTTTAGGCAATCTCAGGCCATGCGGCATGCTGAATTCAGACGACATTCACGTCGACCCAAATTCTTGTTAACCGTTCCGATACTGAGCGCGCACGCGGTACGCCCGAGAGGAAAGGGCGCTGAACCCTAATATTCAAGAATCTTTGTCATCTGGACAAATCGCGCCGGAAGCTTTGTCTGCCGGGGCCATGCAGTATACATCAAATTAACTCCACAACATGTCAGAGTGCCAACCGCCTGAAGCTGATCACTTCTTCTTCCCGAATCCTCCAAGCTTGCCCTTTTTCGGAGGCGGCACAACCTTACCCGCCTCCTTTCGTTTGGGGGCTTGAGAAGGGGGCGTCTTGCTGGGCCCAAAGAAGGAGTCCAATCTCCCTGTGGCACAAATTCAGAGCGTGGGTTGGGATGGGAAGCCAAGCAAACTGCCTGATGGTAGGAGCCCCCACCAGGTGGAGTTGCTCAGGGCAAACCTGTCTGTTCTGTATTTTCTACCATGTTCTTCACGACGGACTTCCGCATTCCCCATGCCCTGGCAAGACACACCTTGATTACTCTTGCTCTTTGCCGCAGTTACGCGCTGGATAGCACTGCGCACCCGCTCCTCGTTGAAAGACTTCTCCTTCACCAGGAATTCCAGCAATCCGTCTGCACAAAAGGGGTGTGCATAGGATCCGTCTTTGGTTGGCTTGATAGAGCGGGTCCAACTCTGCGGTCCCTCTGGAATTGATGCGCCTTGTCCCACCTAGATCTGGGCTTGTCCATTTCATGGGCGGAATGTTCTCAGGCTTCAGCACTTCTGGGTTCAGGAAGAGCTCCTTGGCCTCCTTGTACGGGAACGGCTCGGGGATCTGTGCGTGAGGGTGCAAGAGTGGATGACACCTTAACTGCGGGCGCCCATACTCCTGTCATGCACCCAGGCATATTGGATGCATGTTACGTGCTGGTTTTCGTTCTATGTCATGCCAGATCGTATACGCAAAATGGTCCAGTAACTGCATGCTCCTCACATTGTACTTCTCCGGGTCCAGGGCGGCAAGGGTGGCCTCCAAGCTGCCATGCTTTTTAATCAGCTGCAAGGCAATTGTCAGAACGTTGGCACCATTGAGAGCGCAGCGGGTCTTCTAGATTATCATAACGAGTGTCTTCCCAGCAGCCAGCAGCCCCAAGCATGGACTCCCACCCCCACCTGGAGAGCTCTGAAGGGTCCAATGTTGCCAATTTTCTCGGTATAGTCGCAGCCACACAGAATGCACAGATCAACAAACTGATCGGCCGTGAGGTCCAGTTCAGCCAGTACCTTGCGAGGAGCAGGAGGTGGATCCAAGAATCGGTCCGAGGTTGGGTCCACACGGAAGGGTGAGGCTGCTGGCTGCTCTAGCTCTGTCTCATGTGCAAGGTCCAGGAGCTTGAGAGCATGAGCCTTTCCGGATGTCCACTTTCCATCGCCTTCTCTCCCCTCCACACCCGCCCTCCTCTCCCATCGACTCCACAACACCCGCACGCACCTGGTCATACTCAAACTCGGTGACAGGTTTGTTGGCAGCTGCGGGCGACATGAGGTGACGAATGAGGCGCGGTGTGGCAAAGGTGAGGGCGTCCATGTCCTCGGTGGCAATGCCATACACCAGGCCCTGGGAGCATAGGGATGCGCACTGTGCTTCGGCCTCGGAGGGCGCATCTATGATGGGGACCCCCAGCAGCTGCAGCAGGCGGCGACACTCTGCATTGTGCTCACGGGTGACACGGACGGTGCGCTTGGAGTACTTTTCCACATCCTCCTTGGTACCAGTCTGTATGTGGAGGGAAGGCTTGGGGCTGGGCAGAAGTTGCGGGTGCACCCGTACTTCAGTGCAATCTCAGGATCAGAGGGAAGGGCTGGCACGCACAACAAAGGCCAGTGCCCACCTCCTTGGCCGTCTCTAGATCTGTGGTGGCAGTCTGGCGCTTGGAGTATCGCTTCGCCAGCTCATCAGACTTCAGTGTCGGGGCTTTGCCATCGAAAACAAACCTGCGATGGCGCAGGAGGAATGGTAGTGCCATCTGTCCGCAGGCCGGTGCTCCTCGGGGGAGAATGAGTCCCACATGCGCATCGCACATCATGTAGATTGCGTATGAAAGACAAGAACGGATCACTTGAGCACATTCGTCGATTAGCAATGCACAGGTCGATCTTAAGGTAAGGTTGACAGGCATGGGGGGAGGTGAAGGAGCAGGCCTGCACAGCATGCTCTCCACCCACTTACACAGGCTTCATCCCAGACTCCAGCATCTTCACCGTGCGGAAAAACATGCCTTGGAGATGGCTGGAGAGAGGTGGGCAGAGGGTGCATGACTGGGCGAGCTCTGCCATCCGATTACGAGCGTTAAAGCCACGTATTCGATCCAATCGACGTGGCAGGACACCAACACCCAATTCAACTTCCCTCACCTCGTGACATTCCCTGCTTCATCTGTCAGAGTCTGATCTCCAGTCCTGCCAACCACAACCTGCAGAGGTAAAGGCAGGCCGTGCATCGAATGCATATCTGTTGTCATGGTCCCATGTGGTGCAGGGATCGATGCCCTGCCGCCCCTAGCGATTCCATATATCAGCGGTTTAACCCGACATCAATGCACACAGGTTACAATCTCACCAACCCTCACCATGAAAGCATAGATGTGCATGGAGGCGTCCACCGCGATCTTGCGCCCAAAATAGTTTTCAAACTTCTGCTCCTTCATGCACCCTGGTGCATTATCTGCCAACAGCTTGGTGAGTCCCTGCAATTGCGATCGAAGGGACTCTTCCTGTAGAGTGTTGTATTGTGGCGGTGGAGCGTGCCGCGTGTCTGCACGAAGTGGGGAAGCTGCACCTGAATTCCCATGCTGGAGGCGTCCTACTACCGCCACACTTGTCGCTCAAGCCGCCCCCAGATCAGGTCTGGTTCGCAGTAAGCACTGGGATCGATCTGAATAGCAAACTCGGAATCACTGTCGAGCCTCTAGGAATCCCACTCTCCCGTTTGTTTTCGAAACTGATCACTGGACGAGCGCCCTTTTCCAGCACGTGGCAATCTCGGGGGCAGTCCAGTGTCGGGCAGGCAGGAGATGCAAGTCCTCCTGAGAGCCAGCGTCGATCTTGAAGGATTGTAAGATGGCTTTCAACGATTCCAGCATACATTAAGCAGCGCGCGTGTCCGCAGTCCAAGGTGGTGAGGCACCCAGAGGACGCTCAAGCCCCCCTACACGCGCTTTGGACCGGCGCATAAACCTGCACAATGTCCACTGGCCCAGATCCGAGTGCAGCAAATGCGCCGGCGATTGCTGAAGCCGTGCAGGGCCCCAATGTCGATGGCGTTGAGACTCCCTACAAGCAGGAGCGTTCGCCCTTCGCGCGGAAGGTCGCCACCGCCTACTACTACCTTGCAAGGCCCCAGGAAGGTGTGCGTCCAGAGGTTCAGAACCCCGATGACCCATAGTATGTGACCGTTCCCTGCTTGGGGTGCCTCGCTGACCGCGACTCCCTCCCTCCTCCAGAGGAGACACGAATCAATGCTGCTGTGATCATCCTCGCGGCGGTCGTCTATGGAGGTAGGTGCCCGGCATACCAGCTGCCTGTCCCTTCCAGCACACCAGAGCCCTGCATACATTTGGGGACTTCTGGCTCCTCGATCTGCTGCCCCCCACCCCACCCCACTCTCCCACCCCACACCCATTCTCGTACAGTGCTATACTTTGCCATCGGCAGCGTGTTCCTGCCGGGGCATGCAGCCTGGTGCACCCTCCTCCTGTGGGTCGCGTCCAACATTGGTGCCTTCGTCGCCTTCCAGCTCAGGCTGCCGCGTGTCATCGGCATGCTGTGCGCGGGCCTCCTCATGCAAAACCTCCCCTGGTCGGCGGTGGATGCCTTCCCACCTCGATGGGGTACTCAGATGAGGGCTGCTGCCCTCGCCACCATCTTCCTGCGCTGCGGCCTGGAGCTGGATCTTGGAGTGAGTGCTAGGCTCCGGATGAGTGGGGCCAGGGGAGCTTTGGTTTGCTTGTGTGGAGCAGTACATCCAATGCTTTTGCTTACCCTGTCCCGAGCGCGACAAGGGGTGCAACCGAAAGGACATTGCATACCCGTTTGACAAATACAGGATATCTGTCATTTAAATTCTTTTCTCTTGAATCCCCATGCAGACAATGAGGCGGTACAAGTACCCAGCCATCCGATTGGCCCTCATCCCAGGCCTGGTCGAGGCCTTGTACGATGGCGCGCTGGCCACAGGTGACAATGGCCGGGGCGGATCGAGAGCAATCAGGGAATCTGTGCGTGCATGCGCTTCACTTCCATTCAGAGTTGGATCATGTGGTGTTATTCTTGCCTCGAGTCACACCATCTCTCAACCCACCTGGCGTCAAACATGCAGCGCCTGCGCTCTTTGGCATGCCCATCCTTCTCGGCTTCACCATGGGCTTCATCCTCAAGGCAGTCGGTCCTGGTCTGGTGGTACCTGCCATGTTCAAGTTGCAGAAGACTGGGCTGGGCAAAGATCAAGGTATACCTCCGACTGGATGCTCATGGGGGCTGGGAGTCCCACGGATCGGCAGTGTGCACATTCAGGGTAGGGTTAAGGATTGTGTGCCCTGCAACATGCTGCCAACCAGGCCCCTTGCCTGCTCCCAAACATCCAGGTATCCCGTCCACCATCGTCATCTCCGCCTCCTTTGATGACATTGTGGCCATCACCGGCTTTGCCATCTTCTCCCACATCGCCATCACTGGGGGCCCCGAGTCTGGGAATCTTGGATGGGAGATCGCTCAGGGCCCTGTACAGGTGAGTCTATTCAGGATTGTCTTGCCCAGGCTGTGAGCAGGATGCATCATCCTTGTCCAGAGGGCCCTCAAGCCTCGCTGGTTTGCTTGTCGACTTCGCACTGGTCACCGATTACGACCGTGCATTCCTTGCAGGTTGTCTTTGGTATCCTGGGAGGTCTACTCGGTGGTTTCATCATTGGGTGCACCCGCATCTTTTATTCACGCCTGATTCGCCTGGTAGCCATCTACGGTGGTGGTGAGTTGAAGAGATCTGGCCAGTGTGGCTTTTCCCGGGGGAGGCTTTGGGACTTCATCCGACCTATACCCTCAAGGTTGAGCCATTGATGGATGCAGGATATTGCTGTGCCTTGCTGTGGCGTCAGGCACTCGCAGGGGTGTACCAGCACCGACGGCCAACATACTGCATCCCACTGTCTCATGCTGCCCGCGCTGCCCTACAGCCCTTCTGATCATGTTCTTCCTGGAGTACTACGGCATGCTCTCGGGGGGCGCTCTGGGGTCCCTCACTATCGGGCTGGCCACCGCCAACTTCTGGGAGCGGGGACTGCCTCGCTGTGGCTCCCTGGGGCCCAGCTTCACCTTCTCAACCGAGGGTACGATGGGAGCAGTGTGGGCTTCTGCTCTGGGCGGATCAGTGCCCCTGCGTGACGTGAGGGCTGTGCCTTGAGCCATTGTGTTGACATCTTGCGCTCACATCACAGGCGCATGGTACTGTTGAACGCAATGCCAAGCGTCACAGCATCCTTGCTCCCGTGCAGTTGAGCGTTTCCTTGAGGTCATCTGGTCCTGGGTGATGGAGCCCATGCTGTTTGTGACCATCGGGGCCTCGATCAATTTCCAGACCCTGAGCTCTGGTACCATCCCTAAGTCTCTGGTCATCATCTGCACAGGCAAGGGGCTATGGCTTGGGGAGAGCAGGCGTCAGTGAGCTTTGAAGCTGTGTCTGGGTGCTAATCTTGTTGGGGCCACCCCTTCCTCAGCTTACTCACACCCATTGGGTCCACAATCGTTTCCCATGCCGTCCAGGTGTCATCCTCCGCATGATCGTGACCTTCTTTGCCATGTCACGCGGTGGGTACACCACCAAAGAGAAGATCTTCTTTGCCCTGGCCTGGACGCCCAAGGCCACCGTGCAGGCTGCACTGTCAGGTACAAAGGTGGGAAGGTGCCATGTCTCCCTGGTGACCCACATGTGCCTGTATGAATATGGCATGGCCTGGATTAGAACAACATGCAGCATTTCCCCTGAGGTGCATGTTAACTTTCCTGGCTACCAATTGCAGTCATTTCAATCTCCCACTTTCTTTCTTCATCTGCCACAGCCACGCCCTTGGCAATGATCCAAGCGGCCAAGGCTGGCCAACCCGATTATGCACAATGGGAGCAGTGGGGATATGACATCCTGACGACTGGTATCTTCGCCATCATCATCTGTGCCACCCTGGGAGTGCTGGCCATCCATCTCACCGCACACCGCTTCCTGGAAATGGTAAGTGGTGCATATGCCAGGCCACAAAGCAGCAGGCAGCCCTGTCTTGCTCGATGCATGTCACTGGCAGCCTGGCTCTTGGGGAGACCATTCAGGCCAATCTGGCCCTGAACTGCAATCCCCTCCCTGCACCATCGAGTACCTGCCCCTCACATTCATGTGTCGCTGTCCCTCTCGATCTTCGCAGCCCGAGGAGAGTGATGAGGGCCGTCCGCAGCCATCTCATCCCTCTGGGGCTGCCAGCAATGTGGCCCTGCACCGGAGCCTCTCCACCATGACCAAGCGGCGGGGAACAGAGGGAGGCCTCAACCAGTCAGCCTCTGCAGAGGGGCGTCAGGTTGGGTACGAGGACGACCACACCCTCCTGCATCACAACATTGCACTGGAGGACTATGAGGTTGTGGCGCTGTACATCGATGCCATCTCAGAGCTGTCGACGCTGGTGGCGTCTGGCAAGCCCGACGAGGAGGAGCTGCAGAGGTTATCCCACCACGTGGCCATGATGAAGAGGGTGAGGTTGGTGCTGAGTGCAAGTTAGTGGCTGGGAAGAGGGACTGTGCTTTGACGAGGGGATGAGGGAGAGTCAGTGTGGACGCAGGATGCCAGAGTGTCTCCATACCTGACTTGCTAGTGTGCATGATAGGGATGCCAGTTGTGGTCGATGCAAACCTGTACCCTACCATTACCATTCCAAGTCTTCCATTAACCGCCCTCATCTCCATGCAGAGAGTGGAGCAGGAGGTGGGCCAGCGCGAGGTCACTGTCAGAGAACTCTTCCGTTCAGCCTCCCTCCTGGCCGCCAACAAGCCTGTCGTGTACAGGAATGCAAGCAGGGCGCCCCATCCCCCATCGCTGCCTGCGTCTCCTGGAAAGGGATCGCATAATGGTGACGCTGCGGTGTGAGGTGCCCAACCATGACCTGCCAACGAAACCCATCTTCTACCTCTTCTCTTTGCCCCAACCTCAGCAGGACTTCCGTCTTGATCTGATCTGCCATCTGAGAGGTCCTCACTGTGATTGGCTGCGATTCGCCCTTATTAATTGTCACACGCAATCCCTTGCAACGGCGAGCACCCATCAAAGCTGTGTCTGAGATATGTACAGTACACTGTCGGTTGTGCAGTTCCAGTGGATTGCAAGGCACCAAGGAGGGCAGCAGGAGGTCAGTGCACACTCAGTTGCTAGCAAGGTTTGTGGCTGGGCGGGAGCCAGCCTGACATTTAGAGTGACGGCAGACAAACAGTCCCTCAGCATTATGCTTTTGATGATCCAAAGCCTCCAAAGCCCATCATGGCCGCCAGCTCTGGGTCTATTGCATCATCCTGGGCCGCCGCCTCGTCCTCGTCAGACACTGCAGGATGGGGTAGTGGAAGGGTGACGTACAGCTTTGGTCGACAAAATGGACCTGCCTGCCAATCTGACAATCTCTTGATCTACTCCCTGCCAACCCTGCAACCATCCCGCTCTTCCACTCCTACCTTCACTGCCGTCCCCATTTCCTGGCTCATTAGGTGCTTCCAGGGCTTGAAGAGAGAATCCTGGCAAGGTGTATGCACGGGTGGTCACGCCATGATACGCAGCACATGTCATGTATGTGTGCGAAACATCAATTCAGCCCCATATCAAAGCTCCCTGGACCCCTTGCACCCACCATCTGGCACATACGCCCCCTGCTCGCCAGATCCCTTTTGTCGAGCTTTTGCCATCTCTATCCGGTTCTTCACCTACACTTTTTGAGATGGAGTGAATGCTGTGAGTGATCAGGTGGCTTGCCAGGCACGCGCAGGTGCATACTCTGAGAATTGCAGCCATCTGAAGAGTCTTTCTGACCGCATGAAGAATTCTTTAACGAAACTGAACCCAGAATCCAAGGGACGGGCATCCAATCCCCCCCCCCCATCCCACACCTGTTCCTTGGTGGAAGCCTCCACCCTCATAGTCATGCCCAGTGCCCGCTGATGCCATTTCCCATTGATATGGTCTAGCATGGACATGGAGTCCATCAGTTTGCAGTCACATACGCTGCAATAGTAGCCACCCTGCTGGTTTAGGGGCATACCCACAGATACTATCTGCGTCTTGTTCAAGTTTGCAGCAAGATCGAGCTGGTAGTCCCGAGCTTTCAGATTTCCACGCTGTACAATGAGTCCCTGGTGCAGCGGGTCTCGCTCTGCAGTGGTTGGCGGCGAGTAGGGAGGACAAGGGTCACAGCTATGAGCAGACGGATGCTGTGGCCTTCAGACTGTACCCCATGGCATACATAAGCCCCCCCGGCAATGCCACCAGAGATCACCTAGCCGTCTCCTCTTGCGAGCGTCCAGCGCGCTCTCCTCGGCATCCTTCTCCTGCAGTCAGCATGTCCATACGCCGAGGTGGACAGAACGCCTGATTGCAACACACACGGACCCCCGACCTTGATCGAGTGAGCTCACCTGAACTTCTCGCTCCTGTGCCTTGTCCTCATATTCGGCCTTGTCCCAAGTTCTACGAGCTGTATTGTCAACACCCGCCGACTTCTTAAGGCTCATCGCCCGCGGCGTCCGAATAAATAGCCCCAAGGGTCCCCCCTGCGGAGCTGTTTCCGGGATTGTGGCACCCTCCAAGGTGATTTAGGGGAATTGCGTCGGGATCAATTCTGATGAAGGTCTTTCGCAAGAAGTCGACACCCGTCCTCCCGTCTTCAAGACAGGCAAGCCTGTTGCTGCATTGGAAGTTTGGGGATTGCGCGCCAGCATAGGAACCGGAACGAAATACATGTGATCACCACAGAGAGCTGCTGTAAGCCCTGGCACAGATACTCTTCCTCTTTTAAGGAATGCACAGATGAAATAAAAGTGCGATGTCGGACGCCGAGGACCCTGGTACTTCCGGAGCAGCCCCGCCACCCAACGATGAAGGGAGCAACGCCCGCTCACGACTGCTGGAGCTGGCAAAGCGCAAGAGACAGGAACAGGTGCTCTTTTGTGCACCATGCTGTAGCGTGTCGTGCCACACTGGCTGGAAGCTGTAGCAAGCACTGAGTGTTGACTGTGCAGGAGGAAGCAGAGAATGCTGCGGCAGCGAAGAAGGGACACTCCGTAGCTATCGACTTTGGAGACAGTGAGGATGAAGAAGACGTTGCAGGGCTTCCAGAACCTCCAAAGGAACAAGGTGGGCCGGCGAGAAGAACTTCTGGGGCGGTAGACGAGCATGGGCATGCAGTGCAAGACCAAGTGCATCCTGTGCCCCTCGACCTTGCAGTCAACATCGCCGACCTCTTTGGAGACGATGAGGATGAGCAGGAGCTTGCGGCCCCCACAGAGGCCGACCGGGCGTTCATAGATGATACGGGGGTGGCTGAGGATCAGCAAATTGACTTCGGTGATGATGACGAGCAGCAGGTACACGGGGCAAGGGGTCCAGATGGGTGACTCTGCTTCCTCCAGCACTGCCCGATAGAAAGCGCACCCGTCTCTTACTCAAAATTCGCTTCCTCATGCAATTTGCTTGCAGTTCAACAAAGACGACGAGGCAGTCGAGTCTGATCTGGAGGATGAGCTGGACAAGTTGTTTACAAAGCGGAAGAGACGCGAGTCAAACACTGATTATGAGAATAAGGCACTGGTCGATAGCTTCCTGGCTCAGATGGAGGTAGCAGTGGAAGAGGACATGAAGGACTACGAGCAAGGTGAGTGGCATCAGCCTGCATACAGTGAGCATTGCTCTGCAGGCTCAGCGCTGCAAAATTACATTAGATCTGTGCTCACAAGCCCGATAGTATATATGCCTCTGCCCCCTTCCGGAGCAGTATGATGCAATGTCATCCTATGCTGTGCTCAGATTCTTCCAGCGGATTGCTATGCAGTCAGCATCAGGCCTTGGATCCCTAGCACAAGGCTCCCGCTCTATGCGTGCAGGGAGGCCTGCAACGCACAAGCTGAGGATGTTGTCGCGAGTGCAAGACCTGCTCTCAACGCAGAAGCTTCACAACGAGCTGTTGGACGGGGGCTTCTAGGTGCGTTATCACCTTTGTCAAACCTTATCATTGTCTGTGGCCCTGAGAAGACTGCATGTGCTTCTACCCTGCTCCTTCCAGGAGTGCTCAAGGCGTGGATTGACCCCATGCCTGATGGCACGCTGCCGAACACCACCATCCGCTCGTCGATCTTGAAATTGCTGGACATCCTTCCCGTGGACTGTGCCATGGAGGACCGGAAGGCGCAGCTGAAGAGATCTGGGCTGGGGAGGAGCATCATGTTCCTAGCCAAAGTGTCAGGTTAGAGGGAGATTGGGTGAGGAGCCTTCCGACCTGCGCAGCTGGCCTCCAGGCCAATGATGACGATCGTCCACGCCTTCCACAGATGAAACAGCAGCGAATAAGCGTCTCGCCAGGGGATTGGTGGAGAAATGGAGCAGGCCAATTCTGGTTTCACGGTCTACGCGCGGTGCTGACACTGCTGAGGAGCAACAAATACTGCAGTCGAGACAGCTCAGGCTGGCAGCCAAGAAACCACAAGTATGTCCATTGGGTACATTGCGAAAGTCCTCCAGGCAGGAACCTACTTTGCTGACAGACTCATGTATCTCGATGTGCAGGCTGACAAGGAGCTGGACCAGAATGGTCGTCCAGTCAAGTTGAGGCCCGGCGATCCTGGATTCCGGAGGCACGCGGCAATACCCGAAGCAGCTTCTCTGGACTATGTCAAACGTCCTGAATCCATGACAGTCCTGCCGGTTGGACGGAATGCAGGGAGAGAAAAGCCCAGTGAGTTGGTGCAGGGGCAGGGCTGATCAGTATGGAGTATGCAACTGGGGTGTAGTCCGCCTGTTGGGAGTATGTTCAACCCCCAACACGATCAGATCTCATTCCCCCAGGTGAGCATAAGCTCAGCAAGAAGCTCAAGGTGATGGGGAAGAAGAATCAATTTGGCCGTGCTGCCAACGTCAGTGTGGAAGGACGCAATGTCACCATCCAACACTGATGCCGATTCACCCCACAGCTTGTACCATAGTCTTCGGCACCTCCTCTACAATATGCAAGCCGCATCTGAATACAGTATGTAAGATGGCAAGCATTGCGAAGATACCCACAGGAAGAAGCAATTCTGTCAAATGGAAGCATTTTGGCAAAGGCTCTCTTACAAGAGACACACCCATGATACCAACACGACGCGCAATTATCCCATGCCCAATGCCAAAGGAAGACCTATAAACGGTTTATTTTGGGCGAAGAGAGTTGATCAGACCTTATTTTGTCACAGTCTACCCAGTGGCAATTAAAAATCATGCCTGAGCTACTAAACGAATGCGCGTCTTTACCGGGGACCAGCCCTAAGTGTGGGATCTTTGGTTACCACCAATATGCAGGGCTCATCCTTCTCATGGGAGTTTTGCAGTCCTTGACCCTGCTGTCCACGCTTCTGGTGCCTGGGTTAGGCCGGTATACAGATACTTTAGTTTTACTGTCATGGAAGAATTGGCCCGCATATTGTCGAGACCCACTCGTAAGGCCTTACGCATCTGTTAATCAGAAACTTGTGGGAATTTGGAGGATACGAGGCAGAAAGTACGGTTGAAGAATTGAAAGCCGACAGGGAAGCAACCTTTGTGGCTTTATTGGTGGATCGGTACGGTATAACATCATATTTAAGGCCTGTGTGTAATGCTTGAAAGTGCACATCTTGTGTGGACGTGAAATATGGCCAACCAGGTCAAACACCAAGAATTCGTCAAGATAGATGCTACATTTCCGTTGGAATACCTTGGAAGGGGAGCTTTCAATGAGGAAGGCTGCCCCAAGCGCGGGCTGTTCACGCTCTCATTGTACTTGAACTGGGAACACCCACCATTTAGCATAAATTATCTAGGATACCGTTACGTCCTCAGATCCATCTCTACATGTCCCCACAGCAAATACTCAGATGTCCGTTAGTCAGCATGACACTCATGCGTACAGCTTCAGGTACGTCCCGCAGATAGATTGATGTGTGTCGCATGTAGCCCACCGTGTCTCGGTGTTCGCCATACGTGGAATCAGGCTTCACAAACTGACGAAGCAGTATTACGTGTAAAGGAGGTGAATACTGATCCCAAGCAGATCCTTAACCCGGCCCACAAAGATAAAATATATTGCCGTAACATGCAACACTGATCGGAATGATGCCAACTTTCTGGACCGTGCGTCGGTTCCTCTGCTGTTCAAAACTTCCCATGTCACCACCCTGCAAAACTCGAATGAAAAGGAATCGGAATTGTTGGGTACAGTTTTAAATGAAGATTTCAAGACACCAAGGAAATTGGTCACGGTGAATTCAAAAGGAATAAACTCGGGTTACTGCATTTGTGACTCGATACTTCGGTACATGGTAACAAATCGTGCAAAGTCTCGACAATGCGTGCGCCTGACCATATGATCTCCTACGGCTGATCAACTATGTCTGTTTCCCCGATCCAATGATGAACTCATCGTGTTGGCAGCGATGGCTCAATTTAATATCCTGTGCCAGTAGTTTCAGGGAGCGAGTGAAAGAGTCTGCACAGCTTGTGCTCGTGGGCATGTGTGAAGATTCCATGAGAAATGAAGGCGGGGTATGTAGAATTAGCTGTGCACTTCTATGCAGTCCCAGTTGTAACATCTTAATCGAAACGTGATGTCAATGCGTAACCTTTACGCCTGTAGGTAGCTGCATGGGTTGCAGCCCCCCAGGGTAAGCAATCTCAACTTTAGAGCACTTCCTAAACAGAGGGGTTGAGCTGCTTGCACGCTCGTGATTTGGGAACTCGGCCATTATTGCACGGCTTGGACATCCCGGCAGAGGGTGTGGCCGATGGGCTGGTGAAACACCGAAGTCCAACCCCTGCTCTGCAGACTATGGAGGATCAGTGTACCACAATTGTGGTGGTCTCCGACACCGCTGAGCGTCGGGATATCTGTAACGTTTGGAGCATCTGGTGGTCGTACCTTCCATTGTAGAATTCTGGTGAAATACACCAAGGACATCACACACCCCACTGGAAACGCATGCACAGAAATTTCGAACTGTAATCATCCTAGACTACGCAAATTATTAGTTTCTGCTCAGACCTACTCTGAAGGAGCCTCAACTCCCCTAAGTCTAGCGCAGGCGGTGTTTCGGCCTGTCTCACATGTGTAAGTCCATAAGGGAAAGGTTTCTTTAGGAAGGACGCTCTTGCACATGAGCTGGATGACATTCCTGAGTGGGATGTGAGCAGGACGAGAGTTTCTCAAAGGGCTGTAGCACCTCCATCTCCTAATATTCCAAGTTCTGTTGAAGAGATAAGCAAAGCGCAGAATCCTATGAGAGGACCGAAATCCAGTTGCCACACCTTTCAAGGATCACATCTCAATTCCCCTTTTGTGGATGAGACAGATTTGTTCATGCATTTGAGACTAGGAAAAAGTATCTGTGTCTCCAATTCTGTGCGTTTGTTTTAAAATTAGGGTCCAGATACTTTTCGAACCTCCTTATTCTCTTCGTCTTAAGACTCTTTAGCTCGATGACCTCTGTTGCCATTGTGTTGACATTTAATGAAATATATAGTAACATCATGCACTCCCGTGATGACTGAGATTGTAGGGATAATAGCGTACATACATACATACATACATACATACATACATACATACATTGCAGGTACAAGGGAAGTAATAGGAAACGGGTGTCTATGGACACGTCCCAATGGTTATCATCATCTCCCATTTGAATGCAAACACAATCATGCCGAGCGCAAACGGACTGGGGATAAGGAACGATGTTGTCTGCATTTTGAATAATCCATGCCCAGCAGCAGCAGTGGATTCATTTGTCCGAGGGCGATCTCGTGCATAGATCCAAGATACATAGAAATAGATATCTCTCGTAGTGGAGAGAGTAGCCAGTACTTAATGATCGCGGTTGCTCCGCACAATAGAGTGTCCGAAATACCCTGTTGGAACTAATCTGGAATTTCTCAGTATCTGGTCTGCAAATACCAGCTGCACACCATCAGACCAAGATTCCATGAGAAATGAAGGCGGGGTATGCAGAATTAGCTGTGCACTTATATGCAGTCCCAGTTGTAACATCTTAATCGAAACGTGATGTCAATGCGTAACCTTTACGCCTGTAGGTAGCTGCATGTGTTGCAGCCCCCCAGGGTAAGCAATCTCAACTTTAGAGCACTTCCTGAACAGTGGGGCTGAGCTGCTTGCACGCTCGTGATTTGGGAACTCGGCCATTATTGCACGGCTTGGACATCCCGGCAGAGGGTGTGGCCGATGGGCTGGTGAAACACCGAAGTCCAACCCCTGCTCTGCAGACTATGGAGGATCAGTGTACCACAATTGTGGTGGTCTCCGACACCGCTGAGCGTCGGGATATCTGTAACGTTTGGAGCATCTGGTGGTCGTACCTTCCATTGTAGAACTCTGGTGAAATACACCAAGGACATCACACACCCCACTGGAAACGCATGCACAGAAATTTCGAACTGTAATCATCCTAGACTACGCAAATTATTAGTTTCTGCTCAGACCTACTCTGAAGGAGCCTCAACTCCCCTAAGTCTAGCGCAGGCGGTGTTTCGGCCTGTCTCACATGTGTAAGTCCATAAGGGAAAGGTTTCTTTAGGAAGGACGCTCTTGCACATGAGCTTGATGACATTCCTGAGTGGGATGTGAGCAGGACGAGAGTTTCTCAAAGGGCTGTAGCACCTCAATCTCCTAATATTCCAAGTTCTGTTGAAGAGATAAGCAAAGCGCAGAATCCTATGAGAGGACCGAAATCCAATTGCCACACCTTTCAAGGATCACATCTCAGTTCCCCTTTTGTGGATGAGACAGATTTGTTCATGCATTTGAGACTAGGAAAAAGTATCTGTGCCTCCAATTCTGTGCGTTTGTTTTAAAATTAGGGTCCAGATACTTTTCGAACCTCCTTATTCTCTTCTTCTTAAGACTCTTTAGCTCGATGACCTCTGTTGCCATTGTGTTGACATTTAATGAAATATATAGTAACATCATGCACTCCCGTGATGACTGAGATTGTAGGGATAATAGCGTACATACATACATACATACATACATACATACATACATACATTGCAGGTACAAGGGAAGTAATAGGAACCGGGTGTCTATATAAGGAACGATGTTGTCTGCATTTTGAATAATCCATGCCCAGCAGCAGCAGTAGATTCATTTGTCCGAGGGCGATCTCGTGCATAGATCCAAGATACATAGAAATAGATATCTCTCGTAGTGGAGAGAGTAGCCAGTGCTTAATGATCGCGGTTGCTCCGCACAATAGAGTGTCCGATATACCCTGTTGGAACTAATCTGGAATTTCTCAGTATCTGGTCTGCAAATACCAGCTGCACACCATCAGACTAAGTTGTGCATTAAAGTTCATAAATCATTGTTGCGTGGAGTCCTGAAAGCCCTCTTGTCCTGGTTGAGCATGCGGAAGCGTGAACGGATGGCCACTTCCGCAATGGTTGGATACCCCTGTGAAAATTCCAGGTGCCTGCTGCAACCCCGACCCGGAATCACAATGGTCAGAGCTCGGCGAGTGTGAATTTCAAGACATACAATAGAGGCCCGGAAACAAGCAAGACATTCTATGCAGAGTCTGTGGATCCGGCATACATACATACATACATACATACATACATACATACATACATACATACATACATACATACATACATACATACATACATACATACATACATACATACATACATACATACATACATACATACATACATACATACATACATACATACATACATACATACATACATACATACATACATACATACATACATACATACATACATACATACATACATACATACATACATACATACATACATACATACATACATACATACATACATACATACATACATACATACATACATACATACATACATACATACATACATACATACATACATACATACATTGCAGGTACAAGGGAAGTAATAGGAACCGGGTGTCTATATAAGGAACGATGTTGTCTGCATTTTGAATAATCCATGCCCAGCAGCAGCAGTAGATTCATTTGTCCGAGGGCGATCTCGTGCATAGATCCAAGATACATAGAAATAGATATCTCTCGTAGTGGAGAGAGTAGCCAGTACTTAATGATCGCGGTTGCTCCGCACAATAGAGTGTCCGAAATACCCTGTTGGAACTAATCTGGAATTTCTCAGTATCTGGTCTGCAAATACCAGCTGCACACCATCAGACTAAGTTGTGCATTAAAGTTCATAAATCATTGTTGCGTGGAGTCCTGAAAGCCCTCTTGTCCTGGTTGAGCATGCGGAAGCGTGAACGGATGGCCACTTCCGCAATGGTTGGATACCCCTGTGAAAATTCCAGGTGCCTGCTGCAACCCCGACCCGGAATCACAATGGTCAGAGCTCGGCGAGTGTGAATTTCAAGACATACAATAGAGGCCCGGAAACAAGCAAGACATTCTATGCAGAGTCTGTGGATCCGGCCCCCAGATCTGCCAAGGATATGTGCCTTCCACTCTCATGTCGAGACGTACCACAACCGAGGAAGCGGGAACCTGGCTCTTGTCAGGAGTAACAACATGCAGCAGCACGATGTGAGACATCCATGTCTCCTAAAAGAGCCATCGATGAAACGACTGCTCAATGCTGCACATGTCGTCACAACAAGTTGGCCAACTCGAACTTGTCGACGGCCTTCTGCAACACCTCCTCACTGTCCCGCTCAAAAGCAGGAAGGTAGTCTGCAAGCTTCAACCCGCTGTCGCTCAATCGAGTCTTGGCCGCTTCTGCTCCTTCAATCTTGCTCAGAGTGCGCAGGAAAGCTCCGATCACCTACATTGGGATGAAAAACCGATCAAGAGAGGTGTACATGACACTTGATCCATCATATGAGCGCAGATCAATTGAGTAAGATCTAACATACCTTGATTGCATTTCCACTGTCGACGAGCTGAGAATCGTCGCCCTCAGGAATAGCTTCAAGGTCGGCTGACAGCAGATCCTTCGCGACAAAGCTGAAGTCCAGCAGGCCAGCATTCACAAGCGTGCCAAGGAGTTCGCCAGTCTGCAGTTGTGAAAGGGTAACGTTGATGAATCAGTTTACCCACAACATTTCATCAGTGCAAGCCGCTCACATTACGCAAGCTCCATACCAGTGTCACAGCGACTGGCTTGTCCTCCAGACGGTCCACCAGGTTGGATAGCAGGATGTGGGCTCCTTCTTGGAATTGCCTTTGGGTGAGCTTCTCCCTGCAGAATGAGATATAGGGGTGCTTTCTATACATGATCTATTCTCATGAACTTCTCTGCACCATCAAGCATACAGCATAGATAGTGCCCATATTGACCTGCTCACCTCAGGAAGTCAAGCTGGAAGAACTCGACGGAGGAGTCGTAGCTCACACCCTTGAGAAAGAGAACAGCGTTGAGCAAAGCATCCACCACTGCAGCAGCCGGCACGTTGCGTTTCTCCAGGAGCTCTCTGCAAGGATGCAAAATGTACAAGTTGATACCAGCAGCGAGTACAGACTCTCATTGTTCCGAATCTCCTGAGATAATTGCAAGAACTTACACTAGACCCAGCTCAGCCTCCTTCAGATCCTTGAGTGACTCCCACTCCTGCAGAATAGTGGCCGTAGCAGACTTCACGTCAGCAGCTGGCTCCACAGTTGGTGGGGTTGGGGGTCTGGCAGCAGCCGTCTCTTGTGCAGGCGCAGCGGCTGCTGGCCGGTCTTGCTTGACAGTGGGCCTGTGATAAGTAGAGGAGGTCAGCAAAGTGAGAAATATGATCGTTGAAGGTAGGATGCACTGCATTGCATAATGTTGAGTAAAAGCGATACGCACTGCGCGGAATGTGCCAAAGTGCAGCTGCTATCATTGCAGTCGCTGACCATGAACCAGATCATCACCAGGTCTGCGCGAGCAAATGTCATGATCATCAACAGGCACCCCTCCCCTCATCCCCGACGATCAGTGCAGGCAACACCCGCCTAGGAAGCCAGCCCACTCCCGGGACATGCATGTGCACGATGCCACAGACAGCCCTAACCTGGCATCACGCGCAGGCGGAGCAGCACGACCGTGCGGTCTGAGACTCTGACCCGCCCCCATGGTGTCCTGGGAGCTGACACGATGCATGGGCCTGAACGGACCCTCCACGCGGTTGTCCACATAGGAAGGGCGCCTGCAGCACAAGGATATAGAAATACACATTGCAACGCGGGGTAAACTCGATTGACGGCATCCTCGGGAAACCTCCAGAGATACAAAATTAACTCTCTCAGACCATACTACTCACGAGGAGGGTCCACCCCGAGGCATGTCCCGCATCCCGCGAGACGGCTGCCGGTCCATCGCTGCCCGCATCCGCGCTTCATTCTCTGCATCCTTATGAATATCGTCGATCTTCTTGGGTCCCTCAGCCTGAGGAGGAGGAGGTTCCAGGTGGTATCACGGTGCTCATGGACCATTCACATGCTTGCTCAAAACACACCAGATATCCCCCATCAGAGTTGCGCCATAAATTCAGGTTTGAGAAGCACCAGCGGGAGGGTTCAATACATTTCCCGCGAATCTAGTATGCACCCACCTTTCTGCGCAGCACCCATTTATTCCGACGAAGCTCTACCATGTCCTGCAACATGAACTTGTGCCGCGAGTCCAGAGCAGCATTCTGGGCCAATGATCCGATCCGCTGGAAGTACATCTGCACAATGACGAGGAGATGAGATCGAGTACTGCAAAGTGCATGCTCGACATAAAAACACATATACTGCTCTACACTCCAACAGCGGACTTACATCCATGAGCTCCTTGGAGGGTGCCTTCCTTTCGCCACCACCCTCGGTCTGAATCCTCTGGATCTTGACAGAGTGGTCCAGCAGGTTTCCGACGGTGACCATCAGCTTGGACAGACACTCCACGTCCTCAGGACGAGGGTTCTCAGTCTGGGAGGCAGGGGTGAGATACAGAGCTTGAGGAGGTACGTAGATCAGCTTTGCATATGTGTATCCCCTCATTCTGCATTATATCCTCACCTCGTCGAGGAGCTGCTGAATGCAAGAGTGCATGACCTTCTCTGTCAGCACACCGCGGCAGAACAACTGCCCAACGAAAATGATGTTGCCCAGCATGCGCTTCCTTGCTTCGACTTCAGCTTTAGCTGCGGCGCGCTCTGCCCGCTTCAGTTCCAGAGCTGCGATAAGATTGTTATCAAGTATAAGGTGATGATCAGACTCTGTTATAGCCTTCCGAAATACATCTGCACAATGACGAGGAGATGAGATCGAGTACTGCAAAGTGCATGCTCGACATAAAAACACATATACTGCTCCCCACTCCAACAGCGGACTTACATCCATGAGCTCCTTGGAGGGTGCCTTCCTTTCGCCACCACCCTCGGTCTGAATCCTCTGGATCTTGACAGAGTGGTCCAGCAGGTTTCCGACGGTGACCATCAGCTTGGACAGACACTCCACGTCCTCAGGACGAGGGTTCTCAGTCTGGGAGGCAGGGGTGAGATACAGAGCTTGAGGAGGTACGTAGATCAGCTTTGCATGTGTGTATCCCCTCATTCTGCATTATATCCTCACCTCGTCGAGGAGCTGCTGAATGCAAGAGTGCATGACCTTCTCTGTCAGCACACCGCGGCAGAACAACTGCCCAACGAAAATGATGTTGCCCAGCATGCGCTTCCTTGCTTCGACTTCAGCTTTAGCTGCGGCGCGCTCTGCCCGCTTCAGTTCCAGAGCTGCGATAAGATTGTTATCAAGTATAAGGTGATGATTAGACTCTGTTATAGCCTTCTTCTATGGGCTGCTGGAGAATGTCATGCAGGGGAAATGTATTGAGAAGCACCACAAACATTCTCATTTATACCTGTTGCCTTCTGGGACACCTCGCCCTGCTCGTGCTCGATCTCTCCTTCCTCGGCATCATCCTTCTGCACGAAAGCAGAAGAAGGCTCATGAGCGTATTGCAAGTCAACATGCTGCTCCAAGATAGATACCCATTCCTCGGGCCCAGAAAAGGTCCCTGGCGTGCTATCTATTTCATTGATTCATCCCTGCAGCACACCCTAATGTAAGTTGAAGCACGTACCTCCTCGTCGGGTGCAGCGCCGTCCTTCGAGCGGAGCTCTCTCTCCGCCACAGCCTTCATAGCAACCACGCCCTCCTGGAACTCATCCTGGCACTTGTTGAGCAATGCACGGCGGAACTCCACCACCTCTCCGCTCTCATCGGTGAGTCTGGGCAGCTTGTCCTTCAATCTGCATGCGCAATTGTGACACCAGGGTGGATCCAGAGAACACGAAATGCCCTCCTACACTTTTCCCAGAGTATTTATACCATAGGGACATTGCTTAAGCGGCCACTGTGCTATGCATCCCACCCATCCGTCAGTACTCACTCTTTGACGAGGCTGGCATACAACTCTGAGAAGCTCGTCTCTGTCAGCGCCTTGTCGAAGATTTGATCGATGAAGCTCTGCAGAGTAGCAGCTCGTTTGCGCTCGTCAATCTGAGCGACAATCTGTCCCTTGATCTTGTCAAAGTTGTCGGGAGTGATCTTGTTCAGCATGGACTTCAAAGCCTTCTGCGCCTTCTCCTCCTCGGGATCCTCGGACAGGTATGCGCCAACCTGAAGAAGATGGCAAAAAGTGGAGTCTTAGCTACAACTACCGAGTATATTCTGGCAGCAGACCGCCAAACCCTAAATAATGGGACACGGCTCGACAGATCAAGTAAACTATGCATTTAAGGAGACTCCTCCCTACCTTGTACGCGCTCTCTGTCTTGTGCAAGACCATGTTCGGGCCACCAGAGCGACCGCCCCCAGACCGGCCACCAAAGTTCCCTCGGTCATTCCTATGGTCCTGAGGCATGGGAGGCAGGGCTTGGCCTCGTTGCCAGACGTCCCCGTCCACGCCCACCATGTTTGGTGGGGCGCGTCCACGGGGAGGACCACCGCGAGGTCCACCTGCAGCTGGGCCATGGCCAAAGCCACCTCCCATGGGAGCGTTTGCTCCTCGAGGACCCTTGTTCCAGGAGGAACCGCCACCGGGCCCGCCGCCGCCGCCGCCGCCGCCGCGCTCATGGTGGGAGCCACCCGCATGATGTGCAGGCCGAGTGATCTCCAGCGCAAACTGTGCAGCATTGAAACCCTTGGGAGGGTCTTGGCAGAATGCGCTCAGTGACAATAGGGCCTCGGCTTCGTACCTGAGGGGGGGGAAGGGTGCGTGACAGTGGGATATGAACGACTTCACCAACGAAACTTGCCAAAGCTGCAGCCTTTGCAAGCACTGACGAGGTCAGAACTTCACCCACCTCTTCCTGCCCTCGGGCACAGGCACGTGGGGACGCGTGGGCGCCGTGTCCTCCTCGGCGGATTGCTCATTGGTGGCGTCTGAGGTATCTTCCTCTGATGTCTCCTCCTCCTTCGACACCTGCGAGAAGCAATGTAGATTTAGACCAATCAACACATATGCATGACGCATGCCATTCAGCAGCTCATTGACCTGCTCCTGCGGCAAGGTCCGACCCAGTAGACATATGGAGCCCAGCCCAATCAGTTCCAACACAACATAGCATGATGCTGTCATGCCATCGCACCAATCCTACCGTCGAATCAGAGGCAGCGTGTGCAGAGGGCACGGTTGTGACTGAGGGCTTCGCATCCTTGGCCTCAACAGCAGGTGCCACTTCTTCCACAGACGCTGCTTCTGCCTCATCGGCAGACGCCGCAGGCTCTGCCTTTATGGCTGGTGCTGCGGGCTCTTCGTTGCTGACCGGGGCCGTAGGCTGCGCCTTGCTAACCAAAGCTGCAAGCTCCGCCTTGTTGACTGATGCTGCAGGTGCCTGTTGGGACAAAGGACCCAAGAGACACCATCATCTCTGTGCGGCTGAACATTCTGGGACGTGCCTTAGGAGCTAGAGCAGAAGGCATCTCATGCGCCTTCTTTACATACCTGCGCCCCAGTCGTCAATGTCTTGGGTGACTCCGCAGGCAGGTCTTCTGCCTCCTCCTTGGCAGTAGCGGTGGCAGGGACTTCCCTGGCTGGCATCGGCTCAGGCACCTCGGCGGCCTTCTCTTCTGGGACAGTCGTCGCCTGTCGAGAGATGGTGGGCGGCGCATGGTACTCGATCACACATGCTGCCACAGCAGGATCACCCTCCTCCATCGCACTACGCCCGTCTCTAGGACTGACCTCTGGGGACGCTGTCTCCTTCGCCACAGGCACGTCCACCTTGGCAGCCTGCTTGGTGGTCTTGTCATCGGCCGGCTTGGAAACTGCTGGGGGTGCTGCTGCCTTTGCCGCAGCCTCAGCAGGAGCATTTGAGGGTACCTCGTCGGCTGCAGACTTGGTAACCTTCACTGCAGGTGCAGAGGGCCTGCTCGCCGCGGTTTCTGCGATGGGTGCTGCTGCTGCTGACTTCTCCGCTGCCACGGCTGCGGCTCCATTGCCTGCTGGGGTGGGGGCTGCAGGCTTCACATCGCTCAGATCAACGGCCTCGTTTGTCGACGGGTCTTTGATGACCAGCACCTACGGTGAGGGGCATCAACATTGGAAGCAGGGTGAGAGTGCAACGAACACTGGATGCAGGGGCAAATGGGCACAGTGGCATCTGCCGAGCACACTGTGGCTCCCAAAACCTTAGGCCCATCAGGGGAGCACAGACACAGGTACGCGTCACTCTCGCGCCCCCCTTTCCCCCTTCACCACCAGCCTCATCAATGTGCAAGCTCACCCTCCTCTCGCGCTTGATGGGCACATGCTTCGCTGGCTGGCCTTGCCCCTGCTGCTGCTGCGGCGGCGGAGGCGCCGGGCCCGAGCTCCCACCCTGTGCGTGTGGTGCTCCGGTAGGCGGCGCATAGTGCCCTTGCGGTGGTCGGCCCTCCTCGCCCAGTAGACACCCCGTGCTGCACATGTGGCAGCGAGCCCTGCTGCCCGCCGCCCTGCTGCCCTGGCCCCGCCTGCTGATCAAGGTAGTTGGGGTACTGCGGCGGCACCCCGCCATAGTTGGGGTAGTAGGCGTACTGCTGCAGATTGGCCTGCCAGCCGTGCTGCGCATACCCCGGGCCGGGCGCGTAGGCATACGCGCCGTAGCCCTGCATCGCCCCTGGGTAGTGCATGTTCATCCCCAGGTTGGGAGAGCCGCCCTGGTGCGGACCGCGGGGTGCCGTGGGCGACGGACCCCTGTGGCCCGACCCGGGCACAAACGCGCGGTGCTGCGCCTGCATCTGGCCCGTGTGGTAGGGGGGGGTGCGGTTCGGTCCATGCATGGCCACATTGGCGGACGATCCGCCAGCCGAGGAGGATGGGGAGGGCGGGATGGGACCTGGCCGCGAGAACGGCGCAGCCTCTCCGGCGCGGCCGCGGGACTGCGGGGTGCTGTTGGCGCTGCTCCGTTCTCTGTTGACCGGCGCGGCAGCGGAGGAAGGGAGCGGTCCACTGCTCGGTGCTGTGCTGACCCCAGGGGTGCGCACCGCAACCGGAGCAATTCCGACGGGGATGGGGACATCCCTGGGCGCCTCAGCCTTGGCAGCGGCGGGGGCTGGTGGAGGTCCTTGGCCCAATGCAGCCTCGGGAGCCTGCAGGCAAGGGGAGTTGCATATGGGTTCCTGGCTCACGGCTCACGGGCAAGGAGGAAATGACGAAATAGGCAGCCCTCCTTGTGAACTGCACAAGAGAATTGTCTGGGCCCACAGTATGGTTGCCAGCTCCCAAACCTGCCCAACAGCAGGCATGCCACAGCCCAATGGGTGCACCCAACCCAGACCGAGCATTCCTTAACCCCCATTTGACAGGCTATCTATGTATTCTACAAAGGTCCTGATCCATTCGACCCACCTTCCTGGTTGCCATGACCGGCTGCAACTCGGCCGGATCAATGTCCCCAAAGCGATAGGACTCGGGGGCAGGCGCAGGCTGCGGCGGCTGAGTGATGGCCACCGGCCGAGGCTGCTGCACCGCCGGAATCGGAGCAGCATTCACTGCTGGACTCTGACGTTGAACCTCCTGTGCCTGTGGCAGAGTTGCTGCCTTGGGAGGGGCAGCTGCTGGTCCAGTGCTCCGGGGGGGTGGGGATGGGCCATTCTTGGGCGGCCCAATCGGGCCACGCTTCATCCTCTCCGCCCAGCTCATGGAAGGGAGGGACTTGGACTCCTCCTTCCCCACTCCTGTATACCGCATGTTGGTAGGAAGGTGCTCACACATTGGCTACGCCGTGTCACTCCGCCAAAACACTCGGGAAGATAACCAACCGGCTCCCCGCGCGCGACCCATGGGCCAGGGCGCCACACTTACCGTTTGCGGGAGTATTGGATTTGGGTGCCGTCGATGTGTTCTGAGTAGCCTGCCTGCTGGAGGTGGAGCATGCGCCTGATTGGGACACGCAGGCTGCCTGGAGGCGCTACGTCGTGGGCCCCTTACGCGAAGCTCCCGAATAACGCCACCCTGCACATACCACCTACCCTTTCTGATGATGTCCTGAGCCCAAACTGCCCTCGGAGCTGGAGATCTGCTTATCTGCGGCCTGCACGGGGGCGCGAGCGCTTGACGCCTGCCGACCACCGCCTGGCTGCTGGCCCGAGCCAGCCCTGCCCTGCTGCTGGGACATGGCGTCCCGCCTCGACGCTCCTGCTGTAATATGCTTTTTCGATTATTTCACGACTCTCCTTGGTGTGGGAATGTGGGGGAGGGAAAGTTGGTCCCAGACGGTGGGTGCCTGAGATTTAGTGAGAGCGTAGAAAATAGTTCACCCCAGATCCAGGGTCGACTTCCACACCACCAGTCCAGAAAGAACGATCTCATTTGAGGAGCGCTGCAGGGAACTGTTCATGCACGACTCAACAAAAGTCTGAAAACAAAACATTTGGCAAGCCAAAGGCCCCTGTCCGGTCAGGTGCTAGTCCTTCAGTCCAGGAGTGGTAGGCTCGCACGGTTTACCTTCGGAAATGGGCCCCTCATGACCGCCTCCACTTCGCCGTCATTGGGGATGCGGTTAAGGACACCAACACATGCCGCCAGCGGTTCCCAGTCCTTGGCGTGTCCCCGCTCGCTGGCGCCGAGGACCTCGCTTAAACGGCAGGGTCCGAGAGGATCGTTCCAGCATGTGGGTCGCCATGAAGTGTAGGGGAGCGAGGGGATGCCACATGTCTTCCGTCGTGCACGCAGCAGGGCTACAGGATGTTCCAACTCAGAGAGAATGCCTTTACTTCGTAAGTTTCACAAATTCGGAGCTTGACTACAACCTCACCTCGCCTCAAGTCCTCCCCCTCCCTCCCTTATGCCAGCCCCAGCTGATTCGAACCCATGGGCGAAGCATCTCAGGGTCACTGGATGGCAGTTACAGCAGCCTTTCCAGCGTGGATGATGCCTTTGTGTCATCTGAGATCATGGATATAGAACAGCTGAAGCAGATTGAGGTAGGCATGCCGGATGAGATTCCTCATGACCACACGCCCGGCAGCTGAGGGTACCATTTTCTAGCAAGAATGACACTCACCATCCCCCAATCTCAAGGAGGCCGAGCCGGACAAGAAGGCCCTGAATGTGTTCCTGGCTATCGCCGCAGCTCTCCTGTTTGGACTCGGTATCTGGGGCGTTCAGGTGGGCGGAGCTGTGCACGCACACATGCATCGTGTATGCCGAGCTGGTGGATGTCTGGGATGGGCGCACCATCGGGCATGCTCATGGATACCTCCACATCCCCTGGACCAGGGCCCAAACAAGGCTGCCGAGTACTTTGCTGGGTATCTGCTGGAGCAGTCGCTCTCCATCGACAACCTCTTTGTCTTTGTGCTGGTGTTCGAGTACTTCAAGACGCCCCGGAAGGCACAGGATGTGGTGCTGACGTATGGAATTGCCTCGGCCGCTGTCCTGCGCCTGGTGCTCATAGGGGCTGGCTCCAGCATCATCGGCCGCTTCAAACCTCTGCTCGTCGTGTTTGCCGCCATTCTCATGGTCTCCAGCTTCAAGCTGCTCACGTGGGTACACCCTTGCTGTGCTTGGCTGACACTGGATGGCGTCATGTCATGACTTGCACGTGGAATTGCATGGGCGCACTCGAGGTCTTCCCTTCCAATGTCATCCTTGCTCACACTTGCAGGCGAGGAGACGGAGAGGGAGATGATGAGGGAAACAATCTTAGCAACAATGCCATTGTCAAGTTTCTCAGGTTGGTGGGCTTGTGGTTCAGTCCTGTTCAGGGTTGCATGGCTGTTGACTCGATCAGAGCGCTCCCGCATGCATGCCCCAAGGTTGAGGACCATGCTCAACTGGAACTCACACATTGTCCTCGTGCCATGCAGACCGCGAATGACCTTGAGCACAAACTACGATGGTACCAATTTCTTCACTGTGGAGAATGGTGTCAAGATGGCCACACCCCTTCTCCTGGTTCTGCTCGTGGTGGAGCTCACTGACGTCGTGTTTGCGGTTGACTCAATTCCTGCGGTGAGTGCGACCCCACGTTGCAAATACCGATTCTGAGCTGCAAGATGCAACACCTGGTCCTTGGGCCAAGGCCGGAGTAGGCATTTCTCACCCAGTCAGTCCCCCAACACCCTGCAGGTGTTTGGTGTCACGCTGGACCCATTCATCATCTACACAAGCAATATCTTTGCTATTCTTTCCCTGAGAAGTGTCTATGCCTTTGTTGCCACAATTCTTGGCGAGGTGAGAAGCATGTGGAGGGGGCCTGTGTCTTTCGAGTAGAAGGATTTCGGTCGTCAGCGAGGCTTTGCCTGGCTGCTCACGACACTTTGTGTCCAGGAAGGAGTTGCTGAGCCTAATGGGGGTTCCGTGCATGAATCTCAATCGTGCATCACCATCCACCAATGACCTTTTCCTCTGCATCTCCTTCCTCACTTACAGCTCAAGTACCTGGACAAGGCTATCGCTGCTGTCCTGGGTTTCATCGGGTGCAAGATCCTTGCCGAATTTGCTGGTCTTGAGATCAGCACAGCCGCATCCCTGCTGGTGGTGGTGGGATTGCTGGGTGTGGGGGTCTTGACCAGTCGTGGGGGGGGGTGCGGTGACGACGGGGCGTAAACGCTTTCGCAAACGCTCAGCTGGGAGCATGGCCGCCAGGCGCCCTATACAGCTTACTAGTTCTGAGTCGATCTGAAGTTTTCCTATGGCAGCTCTTTTATACAGTATGTCCTGCTCTGCACTCTTATTGGCTCGCTCAATCTACTTGGCGCAACAAAGACCTGTAAAGCAAATCTTTTTATGGATGGCGACGGTGGAGTTGCTAGGCCCTCCCGCGGAATTTGAAATGCAGCCTCTCCGACCTTGCAGAGCAGGGGTGATCTCAACTATACATCCAGTGTGCACCTAATAAGATACACATCGTGAGGAATCGGCCGCATCCAGTTTGCCGTGAGTCGATTTGCAGCCCCGACATGAGTACCGTAACGGTTGCAGAGCCGGTGGCAGAGTCAGGTGGGTTCGAGGTCGTGCCTGACCCCGTGGCATACCCGCCACAATCCTAAAATGCATGCATACTCCTCAATATTCATATAATATCGCCAAATGTATGCGTGGCCAGCAATGGTGTGGTAACAGGGACGAGCCACTGTTCCTACACCCACCATACAACTCGTACCATTCAGATCCCAGGCCAGAAAGCACTGCTGCAGCACAGCCTTCCGAAGCTTCTGGGAAAAGAGAAAGGAGAAAGGTATTCAAAAATGGACCGTGGAAGTGCTATGGGGGTCATGGCAGTGTAAGTACGGAGGTGGATGCTTGATTCCCACTACGCCCAACCCCCACAGGCAGTAGATGTGTATCAGCCATCACCCCTTCCTGAGACGCCCACGCTGACGGTACCTGAGGGTCGAGGGTCCAAGCTGCGCGACATTCCAAATGGTGTGTGCACTGCCGTTGCCGGTGATAATCACAAGTTGTGTGTGCATGATGATGGCCAACAGCTGACACCCCTCAGTCTTCCCTGCACGACTCCACAGTGAACTTCAAGCTAGGCAAAATCACTGGGAGGGACGAACTTACTGAGCACCTGCACAATGTGCTGTACAGGCGGAAGGGCGCGGTGAGGCGATTGGCATTGTCTTAGACGTCAAGCATTTCTAGGCCAGGCATAGACTGAGGTGATGACTCTGTTGCTTCTCACTATCTCACACATTGCACTACTGCTCACACATTGCACTTCTGCTCACACATTGCACTACTGGTGCCCACCTCACCGATATCCACCGGTCAGGCAGCCCAGAGAAAGAAAGCTGTGTTGGACTTTTCTGGCTTTGTTTTTGACGACGCCAGTCGGGTGAGTGTCGTGTTCAGCTCCAGTCGCCACAAGCCAGTCCCCCCAAAGCCACAGAGGAGACAACTCGTGCACCTCCTGTGATGCCAGGAAACGGAACTGGAAGCGAGAACGGGTGCGCTGGGGAAGCATACCCTGGAGGTTCTCCACAAGCTGATGGACGTCTTAGATGTTCCACGAGGGACCGGTTCCAAGGTGTGAGGGCGTCATATGATGGCCCCGGTGAAGAAGTGTTTGCCGTGCTCGTGTGTAACTGTCACAGCACATGCTGCTGGCATGAGCGCTCACTTGCTCACCACTGACCCTCTCCTTTTGCAGTCTGACAAGCTAGCTGCACTTCTTACCTTCTTGGAGGCACCTCGTCAAACTCGAGACAGCGATCTTGCTGCCCAGGTATGGGTTCATTTTGGGAGTTTTGTACCCAGATTCTCACCCTGGTCATCAATGTATCACAATCACACCACTGCACCTTGGCTGAACCCTGCAGGCTGCCAAGAAGAGAGCCGCCGCAAGCAAGAAACGAGAGCGGGAGGCCCAGGTGGGTTGAGCCACGGGGACGGGCTTGAATGTGGATATGGTATCGGTTGGTGTCTCACAGCAATTTACGCGCTGCTTATCTGCATTGACACTCAGAGCAAATGCGGTCTGGGTCGCAAGATGGGTATCCTGTCATTCAGGGTGCCCCACGCCGTTTTTGGTGTCTGCAGAAGGATGCCAAAGTCAAGAAGGCCGGGCCCACCAAGAGCAAGGGCGATGAGGAAGCCAGTACATTGCCCATTCAGGTGATAAAGAGCTCCAGCACATTGCAAGCACATTGCTGGGTTTGTTCAAGGCGTTGGACATCCCGTCCCATTCTGTGTAGGTGCAGGGTCCTGAGGCTGTGGATCAGCCTGAAATCCTCAAGGTGAGAGGCTTGTCTCATGCTTGCAGTCAGTGGGCAGGCCAGCCCAGAAGTATCATCACACTGGAGCTTCATCCACGTTCCTTCCTCCTCCTTGTCTCATGAGGGAAGTTCCCAACGGCAACTCGTGTGCCTACCGCAGATGAGCACAGAACAACTAAGGGCTGATATTGAAGCTATTCTGAAAGAAAAGTCAGAGGAGGAACTTTCTCAACTGACCTCGAAGCAGATCCAGCGACTCCTTGGTGGGTCAGCTGCACAGATGATCCTGGCATGTGTGGAGCATTGGCCTGTTCAACCGTGCACATTGCCTGAACAAAGTTCCACCTCCTACCATCTGACCGTCAACGCCACACAACTTACAGGGGAGAAGTATGGATTCGAAGTTCGACCACGCAAGGCAGAAATCACCTCCATCGCACAATCCTATGCCCTGTCGCGCCTGGACGGTGCTGATGGCCAAGAGTGACAGGGGTGGGCCTGGCATTCCCCCCTCCAGATACCATCCATGGCAACTCTGCATTGAACCTGACGACTGCTCCTATAACACATGCTTTAATCGACCCCACAGTGCATTGTTTGAGTTGAAGACGATGTCATGCAGCTCGGTACGGGACATGCAACTCGTGAATGTCGTTACTCAGCCCTATCTGGACATCCTCTGGAGCTGATGGGCCTCGTCAGCCAAGCATGTCATACGGTCACATCAGTGGACGCAGTGCGAGCCAGTGACTCTTTCATAATCATGATCTGCTTTGCGAAGCTAGCTAGAGTGTCAGCATCCTCGATTCTGCAGTGGTGAGGTGCGGAGATGTTTGCTTGCCGACTCCGCCGCCGAAGAAAAAGACGGACCCATTGCAAGTGGCATGCGCCATCTACTCCGGGCCACCTCCTTCATACCTGTCATGCTCCAACTCCACGAGTGCGGTTGCCTTCCTCTCTTCTACCATCTGCATTTGCCTCCGCATCATGATCAGCTCCTGTGAGTGGACTTCGACCTGCTTCTGAAGCATGCCGAGCTTGGATTGCCCCTGGCGCAGCTGACCCTCGATGTTAGCCAGCTCACGAGTCCGAGCGGAGCAATCTGCGTGGAGGTCAGGGCCAATACTGGCTTCAAGATCTCAAATTGCAGTATTATGCTGCTAACCGACTCCTTGGTGGGTCAGCTGCACAGATGATCCTGGCATGTGTGGAGCATTGGCCTGTTCAACCGTGCACATTGCCTGAACAAAGTTCCACCTCCTACCATCTGACCGTCAACGCCACACAACTTACAGGGGAGAAGTATGGATTCGAAGTTCGACCACGCAAGGCAGAAATCACCTCCATCGCACAATCCTATGCCCTGTCGCGCCTGGACGGTGCTGATGGCCAAGAGTGACAGGGGTGGGCCTGGCATTCCCCCCTCCAGATACCATCCATGGCAACTCTGCATTGAACCTGACGACTGCTCCTATAACACATGCTTTAATCGACCCCACAGTGCATTGTTTGAGTTGAAGACGATGTCATGCAGCTCGGTACGGGACATGCAACTCGTGAATGTCGTTACTCAGCCCTATCTGGACATCCTCTGGAGCTGATGGGCCTCGTCAGCCAAGCATGTCATACGGTCACATCAGTGGACGCAGTGCGAGCCAGTGACTCTTTCATAATCATGATCTGCTTTGCGAAGCTAGCTAGAGTGTCAGCATCCTCGATTCTGCAGTGGTGAGGTGCGGAGATGTTTGCTTGCCGACTCCGCCGCCGAAGAAAAAGACGGACCCCATTGCAAGTGGCATGCGCCATCTACTCCGGGCCACCTCCTTCATACCTGTCATGCTCCAACTCCACGAGTGCGGTTGCCTTCCTCTCTTCTACCATCTGCATTTGCCTCCGCATCATGATCAGCTCTTGTGAGTGGACTTCGACCTGCTTCTGAAGCATGCCGAGCTTGGATTGCCCCTGGCGCAGCTGACCCTCGATGTTAGCCAGCTCACGAGTCCGAGCGGAGCAATCTGCGTGGAGGTCAGGGCCAATACTGGCTTCAAGATCTCAAATTGCAGTATTATGCTGCCAACAGGCCGAGAATGGCTCACCCGAGGCGATATCGCGGCCCTCCTCCAGCAGAATATGAAGGCGGGTGGACTCCATGCCGACCCGCAGCTGCAAGTCTGACAGCTTCTGATCATGGTCTGCGACATAACGAGAGATTTGATGTTAACTCCTGTGAGTGGACTTCGACCTGCTTCTGAAGCATGCCGAGCTTGGATTGCCCCTGGCGCAGCTGACCCTCGATGTTAGCCAGCTCACGAGTCCGAGCGGAGCAATCTGCGTGGAGGTCAGGGCCAATACTGGCTTCAAGATCTCAAATTGCAGTATTATGCTGCTAACAGGCCGAGAATGGCTCACCCGAGGCGATATCGCGGCCCTCCTCCAGAAGAATATGAAGGCGGGTGGACTCCATGCCGACCCGCAGCTGCAAGTCTGACAGCTTCTGATCATGGTCTGCGACATAACGAGAGGTTTGATGGTAAAAATCTCGCTTAAAAAGGGTGCACCCCTTACAGACGATCTGCCAGCCTCATTGTCGATTGGTGTCTTACCATGCAGTAGGAGCCGGGTCTGTCGCCATACAGGTTGCTCATTCATCGCGAATAGTACAGAATCAAGGAAGCTATACGATTATCATTTTTGAATGTCAATAGGTGTTTGAGCAAAGATGCGCTTACAACCCTGACACAGACAGACTGACCTCCCCGCTCGATGTCGGGAAGTGGAATGACGGAGGGCAGGAGGTTGCTTGCATTGGTGCAGGGCGTGTTCGGTCTCCTCATCATTCAGCCTCACCTCGGTCTGAAGACCAAGTCAGCTACAAAGACTCACAACTAATATATTGTTGGGTTGTGGACCGATTCTGATAGACTGTCTTGCCTCATCGCGTTGGCAATTAATATATCGGGAAGGGCAGAAAAACAGTGTTCACACTTGCCTTCGAATAAAGCCAGACAGGATCAGATTGTCGCTCTGTGCACAGCAACCTCCATTAAACAGGACCGTGAGTCTCACAACACCCTCCTGGATTACATAAACGTGCTGGAGTACAGCATCACTCGTATCGGAAAATGCCCTGGGGATGAGACCAAAAGAATACATTGCCGGCCGTGCAAGTGCTGTGCCGAGCATGGAACAGGTAGGTCAGAAGGGAACAATGTCATGTGCATGGTGTGGGGCTTATTCTCGTTTGTCGTCGGCGACTGCATTATCCAAGACCACCTCGATGTTCCGCCCCTCCTTGCCGACTCTCAGGGGTTGCAATGGCGTTTTCAGCGCCGGCCTGTGGTCTTCAGCGGCGCACCGAGATAATATGTAGGTTCCAGCCACCTGTCATGCAGTGGAGGGAATGCCGGTCAGTGGTGCCGAAGCAAATCGGCCGCGGTCCTCACCTCTCGCCCACCCCTCACCCCTCGGGCCTCACCGAGATTACATTGGCGTAGAGTATTCGCTGCTGCGTGGGGACAACAGCAAAGTTGAAGATGTGTGCTGGGATCCACAGCTTCCAAGAAGCTGGGAGGGAAGGGAGAGGGAAGGGGAGGGAGGGTGGAGCAGGGCGACAGGATTCTGTCGTAAATTTACCAGGCGTCCATCCTGTTGGTCTCAACACCGCACCACTTTAGCCATGGCGCAACCCACTCCTCATTCTGCAAGCAAACCTACCGTATGTTGTCGGGCCCCATTTCTGCTTGACCTCCTTGATGCAGTCCCTGCCACGAAGCAAAGGGGGGAAGAGCGTGCTGGGGCGATCGAAGACTCGCAAATAAATATGCGAATGCATGAAGCGCATATCTTGACACCAAGCTGCGATTTCCCTGCCTGGCACCTTGGTCGTCCTTCCAGGAAGCACTTGTACACATAGAAGATGAGGGTGCAGATGGGTGCCCACATCATCTGATCGATGAACAGCTTGGAGGTGATGGCAGCCGCAGACTTTGGGGTGTCCGGCAACACGTTCTGTGGGAATGGCGTTGCCATTGAGTTTGAAAGCAACTGTGGGCAGGCAATGCGTACACCTGATCCTTTGGGCACACAAGTGTGCTCATGAGCATCCACATCCTGTCCCGTACCTCGTCCAGAAGGCCGTAGTAGTAGTGACCCAGGGGCCCCATGAAGGCACCGTTGAAGAAGGCCAGCCGAGCGGTCCTTGCCCAGTCGTACCTGAGCACAGCCGGAGGGGACACAGCGTCAACCACCTCCACCTCCAGCCGACAGGCCATGAGTTCAGCAAAGCGATATACAGAGGCTTTGAACACCGCGGGTAAGCCTCCCTTGAACGTGCGCTCGATCCGGGACCTACCTCCACAGTCGAGCGTCTGCCGGCCTGCTAAGTCGCTGCGCCAGGGCATCCCCCAGCACGGCAGACACGAACGAAGTCACAGCCTTGGTCTGCACAGGATTAATAGCCAGGTGACTGTTGTAGTGGAGCCAGGCCCAGCCTGGGGAGTCGAGCAAGACGGTGGCCAGGCTCGTGGGGAGGGACATGGGCACGCGTCGCGCAGCTCGTCCGTGACCTCCTCCTCCTCGCAACCGTCTCAAGGAGCTTATATGTCCACAAGACCCTACTGGAAGGTGTGGCAGGTGAAGTGCTGGACGCAGGGTGAGGAACATGGTGTCATTGTCGTCGTCTTCGTTATGCTACAGATGCGCCCAGCAGGAGAGCTTTGATCTTCCCACCAGCTCCGGGAGGTTGGTTGGGCGCACGTGTGCAATCTCCTGCCTCGCACCACAGCTTTCCCCGCGTGACACCGAGGTTGAGCTTGCACTGAACTCAAATTGAATCGTCGACACCAGATCCGGGAAGCCCGACCCCTCGCGATCGCCTTGCGAACCCCTCGCAGTGCCACTTGCCTGGCTAGGTCAGCAAACACGTTTTCAACCCATGCCTGTCGTGCGCGGTCCAAAGGTTAACGACTGTTCCGCGTCGTCCCAGACGCGTTGTCTCAGACGCCATATACAGCAGCCAGTTTCTGGGCCACAGCAGGCGACAGGCTGCGCATGGCTGCGTCCCATTGACTCATGGCCTGCAGCTGGGCCTTCAGGCCCTGCAGCAGCTGTGCGGACTCTGCCAGCACCTCGGCCCCCGGGATGGCCTTCCAGGACGCCAGCACCGCGCAGAGGGGGACGAAGGCCTGCAGCGCGGGGCCTGCATCCCCCGCGAGGAGCGCGCACAGGCCCCTCACGCTGTGCTCCTTCTCCTCGCCGTCTCGGACCCCCGCCAGGACCGAGCACCTGTGGATTACGAGATGGAAAAGGGGGATGGCTGGGTGACTCAGCGACAGAAATGTCACCTGCGGGAATGCAGGTGCTCGTATGACCCTGGCCTTGTTCCATCAGGCAGCAAAAACCACCGTGGGCCCAGCGGGGCCTGCAGAGCCGCGCTCCGGCCCCGACATCCTCCCCGCCCCGCCCCGTCCCACCCACCACTGCGCGACAAAGTGCGAGGCGTGCGGCGCCAGGGGCCCGGGGCACACCAGCGCCAGCCTGCCCAGGGAGATGGCGGCGTTCTCGCGCAGGCTGCGCGGCAGCTGCCCCGCGCCCGCCTGCAGGATGCCGACATAGCGCTCCAGCAGGCCCTGCGCCACAGGCGCAACCTCCTCGCCCGTGCAGCGCACCGTCAGCTCGCCCATGGCCCAGGCCGCGTTGTTGCAGGCGGAGATGGTGCGCCCCGTGATGCAGGGGGGCGCCAGCTGCTCGACGGCCGCGCCCGCCAGCTGGCGCAGGCGCGGGCGCAGGTGCGGCGCGCACGCGGCGGCCAGGTCCCCCACCAGCGCGAACGCGGCCTGGCGGACGTCCGGGGGCGAGGGTGGGGAGCAGGCTCTCTGGGCGAGGTCCAGCAGGGGGCTGTTGCCCACCAGGGACTCCACGCTGGGGCCCAGGGACTCGACCAGCCCCGCCACAAAGTCCAGGGCGCAGACCTGGATCTGGGCCCCCTCCTCCTCCTCCAGCGCGCCACTGCGAGGGGTGTGGAGGGGTGAGGGAGGCAGTGAATGGACCTCGAATGTTCAAGGGAGAGCGGATTCAATGGAAAGACACAGAGGGCACCTCGTCTGCATCGTGCATGCCCAGAGCCCCAAGGAGCATCCCAGCAGGGGTCTGCTGCCTTGTGTAGGGAAGGCCCGCAATGCAGGGTGCTTCGCGATCACCCGACACGAGGATGCAGAGCCCCTCGCGACAGCACCCCCAACAGCCTCTGCTCAGTCAGAAGAGGGCAGTCCACCCTCACCGCCCCCTCGCCCCCCCACTCTCCCGGCACAGCAGCCCTACCTGGCGACCCCCGCCTGCGCTGCGGCCACCAGCCCCACGCATCGCCCGAAGCTGGGCTCCGCATACCGATCCAGTACCTGGCCCGGGCAGGCCTGGGCCACCGCGGTGAGGCACTCCAGCAGGGGCAGGAGCTCCGGGTCGCCGTCGGGCAGGCCCAGCAGGCGCGAGAAGAGGGGCGGGAGCAGGGCGTCCCGTGCCGCGCCCTCCACGCCCAGCGCGCCGCCCACGCGCTCCGCCAGCGTGGCGATGGCGTCGTAGGCGTGGCGCAGCGTGCGTCGGCCGTACCGCTGCACCGCCGCCGCCAGCGCCGCGGCGATGGCCGCCAGCTCGGAGGGGGGGAGTCCGTCGCCCCCCAGCTCCACCAGGGTGGCCAGCGACCCACAAGCCGCCTTCTGGACCACCGGGTTGGCGTCCAGGCAACGCTGCGCCAGGGTCTGCGGGGGGCGGTGGTGGAGCGGCGGGTGGTGGTCGGTGGTGGTGGCCTCGAGGCGACGAGGGGGATGGTCACCCTTTCCCACGCACATCCCCACAAAGCCATCCCTGAGCACACCAGCACGCCTGCTCCCAGCTCCACGCCACCCCACCCTCCCCACACATTTGTGATCGGCGCTCCCCGAATCCCTCCACCACAAACCGACCTGGACGACGGTGGTGACGGTGGCCTGCGGGACGGTGCTGGACCCAGGCACGCAGCCAAACATCCAGCGGCTGTACCGCGCCAGCGCCCAGGAGGCGATGCAGCGGACCATGGGGCGAGGGGACGCTGTGGCGGGGAGCAGCATGCCCACCAGGTCCTGCAGGTGCGGGGCCAGCCCCGTGGTGCAGCCCTGGCTGATGGCCCCTAGCGCCAGGATGGAGGCCTCCTGAGCCCGCCAGTCATGCTCCTTCATTTGTTTTGGGGGGAGTTAGGAGGGGCTTTGCATCCATGCTCTCTACCAATCGTGGCGGTGGGGTTCGTGCATCACGAATCGTGCATGGCCCCTCAGCAAGCACACCCAGGCCGGCCTCATAGCCATTCGATCACCCCTTGCCCACACACAACTTCAACCCTGCCCAACCTGCAGCCGCTGGTGGATGGTGGGGAGGACGATGGGCAGCAGCTCGTCCCCAAAGGTGGTGGACAGCATGTCCAGCGCCGAGGCGGAGCAGCGCCTCAGGTTCCAGCGCGCCACCTCCTCGTCCTCGCTGTCCTCGTCGCCGGGGTCGCCCTCGCCGCCGCCGCCGCCAGTCCGGCCCACGAAGGGCTTGATATCGGCTGCGCGCTCCGCGGCGTGTCCGATCCCGGCCGCGGCCGCGCCCTGCTCCGCCGCCTCGGCCTCCGCCACCTCGTCGTCGTGCTCCTCAAAAACCATGTTGCTGAGCAGGACAGGGAGGAGGCGGGGCAGGAAGGGGCGCAGGACAGTGGCGTCGTCGCCGTACTCGCACAGCGCGCTCCAGAACTCGCAGGACTCGATGGCCACCGCCTCATCACCGTCCTGGTGATGCAGTGGTTGCGGAGGGGGGGAGCGGCTCTCTGCGTACATCCCGCCTGCCATCCCGCTGCCTGATCCGACTCCAGAACACCCCTTGCCTACTCCGGGGAGTGACTTGCCCCCCCCTTTATCACCCAACCTTCAGCCCCCACTTTCCCCCAAACTCGCACTTTCCCCCAACATCCCTACCTGCGTGGACCCCAGCATGTACTCTATGAGCTGGGGCAGGGAGGACTGCAGGCGCTCCGGCGCCAGCGTCAGGGCCTGCACCAGCCCCGCGCAGACGTCGCGCCGCACGGTGGGCTCGCCGTCATGCGCCAGGCCAAACAGGCCCTGCAGGTAGTCGTCCATGGCCTCGCAGAGGAAGGCGGGCATGCCCGTGGCGGCCAGGTTGAGCGCCGCCACTGCGCCCGCCCTGACCCCCGGGCTGGGGTGGGCGAAGAGGCGCAGAGCGGCCGGAAGCAGGGTATCGTTGGGCGCGGCGCCGGCATCGCCGGGGCCTCGCTCCTCCAGGGCGCGTGGATGCTCCTCCGTCAGCTTGAATAGGGTGTCCAGCGCCCCCTCGGTGGCCGCCAGGGGGGCCTCGGGGGCCAGCGCCCCCGCCAGGCTCGGCACCAGCTCGGGCCAGTTGGGGAGGCCGGCCACGCCCACGGCCGCGGCCACGCAGGTGCCCGCCGTGTGGCGCAGCGGGCGCGCCTCGTGGCGCAGCATGCGCAGCAGGCCGGACTGGAGCTGGGCCCAGGCTTGCCTGCTGATGGGTGGCGGCGGTGAGGCGGTGAGGCCGTTCTTCAGCAGCAGGCCAGCCGTCTGGCGCACCTCCAGGGACAGGCCCTCCCCGGCAGAGAAGATGAAGGCCAGGTAGCCGGTGTAGTCGGGGGAGCCACGTGCAGCATCCAGGCGCGCCAGCACCTGGGATGGTAAGAGGTGGGTGGCTGGGAGTTGATGGAGCACATGGAAATGGCATCCCGTCACTTCACCCTCCCTCCACCCTCCCTCGTGGTAGACACCAGCAGCATGCACGGCATAGACTCAATGCCCCTCGACCATCCAAAACCCATTACTGTGCTGGGACCCCTGCACACTCGACGCATGCCAGCATCCAGGCCATCTGGACCCACCACCGCACCTGGGATTGGTTGGAGCTGGGGTTCTGGAGCTCGAGCAGGAGACCCACCAGCTCATTCACAATACCGGGGCTCGGCTGCCAGTCAGATCCAGGGCTCGACATCGAGATCAAGGTGCCAGCGGCACGAGCCTCAAGCCGCCTGCCTCCTGCACAGAGCTTCCAGCTCGTGGTCCCGGGATCATGCAAGGCGAGCACAGGCCTTCAGGTTCCCGCAGACCAGTCCTTGGGGTACAAATATATAGTTCAATTGCTGTACTACAGCAATGGCATTCTGTGCCATCGAAGCATGTTCGTATGCCGTCCACAGGGGCCGTGCTGGACTGGAGCTGGGAACCACATTCGGCATTTCCTGGTCCAACGCAATGCTTTGGAGCGAGGCGCCGGGACTGGCGCGCTTCCACACCGCATCTACATAGGGCCCAACTCCGTGAAACAGGAATCCTCCTTGAACGATAGGGTGGGAGTTCAGGGGCTGATCTTAACCCCCTCCCACACCCGAGCACCCCCACCTCCACACCCAGGAGTGGGATATCCGTCCTGCAGCTCCCTGCTGGGATGGCCACCCCAGGGAGCGGGGATGTCGGCAACGGGGGTCCGAATGGTGCCGGTGACAAATTTACACCGGCGCAGAAGAAGAAGCTGAAGCAGAAGCAGAGGAAGGAGGCCCGGAGAGCGGAGAGGTGAGGGTGCAGGGACACAGGTGTGGGAGGAGAGCGATTCTTGGGCACCTTTCGGCGCACTGAGCCCCAACCACACACTTGCAGGGATGCCATCGAACAAGCAAGAAGAGGTCCATCCTCGCTGTCCAAGCCCTCGCCGGCCGAGGTGTGTCTCTCCTTGGTGATGGCTAGAGAGTGGCAGGAATTGGAACACTGTATCACTGGTCCACATCATCATGTTGCATGAACTCTACCTGCCATACCAACATATCGCAGATCGAGGGAGTGGAGATAGAGTATGTCTCCGCCCCCCTGGATTTTGAGCTGCCTGGCGCTGCTCCCGGCATCAAGGCGGAGGCAGGGAGTGAGAACATGCCCGTCGATGAGCCTGCCACTGCCGGGCTTGGCAGCAGCTCCCTCAAACAGGAGGAGGCGGATGCAGGGACAGCTCCCTCAACAGCAGCCGAGGAGGACCCTGCCGCAGAGCTGGCTCGCATAATGCAGCGGTTTGGGAGGGTCGAGGACATGCTGGGCACTTCTGGAGCGGAAGCAGATGAGGCCGAGGAGAGGAACGGCGGTGCAGCCGACGGGAGGGGGGATGGAGAGGCCCAAGAACAGGATCCGGGCAGCAGCGATGAAGGTATGCGCTGGCGGCAACATGCGGAGTCAGAAGAGGTGGATTCGTTGGCATGCGGGCGCTCCTGGCTCGCACCCTGTCGAGTGTGCGGAAGGCTTTCTCCCTCTGCCGGTAAATCAAGGTCCTGTCGTGTTACCGGCTCCCTGTCCTGCCAAACTGTCTACTCCCTTGACCCATAGCCCCTTGCCAACTGTCAACACAGAGGGTGGTGAGGCCCAACTCTCAAAGAAGAAGCTGCGAGCCGCCTCACGTCTCAAAGTGGCGGAGCTGAAGCAGGCGTGCGCTCGACCGGATGTGGTGGAGATCTGGGACGTGACGGCAGCAGATCCAAAGCTGCTGGTGCATCTCAAGGTGAGTGCTGGTTATTTGTGTGGAAGTCGTACCTTCCATGACACAGCACATGTATAAGTAAGCTTGCACTGTCAAGCAAGGTGGATGCCCAGGCTTGGGCTCGCCTCCTGGTTGTACTGTGTGATTCAAAATCCACCCACCCACTGGCACATGCAGGGGTACAGGAATACCGTGCCTGTGCCAAGGCATTGGTCGCAGAAGAGAGCGTACCTCCAGGGAAAGCGCGGTATTGAGAAGGCTCCCTTCCAGCTACCCGACTTCATCGAGGCCACGGGGATAGGTGCGTCCGGGGGGCCACCCATGGAGTTGTGGTGTTGGGTTTTGAAGCGAGCCTGTGAGCAGGAGTCTGCCCCACTGGCGGCTGGTGGCTTGAGCTTGTGGGTCTTCCCCGTACACACTGCAGTTCGTCATGTTGTGTCCAGCGGATGTATGTGTCAGCTATACAGCAACGCAAATTCCCAATCCACGGACTTGCAGGCGAGATGCGGCAAGCGTATCTGGAAAAGGCCGAGACCCAGAAGCTTAAGTCCAAGGCCCGAGAGAGGATGCAGCCCAAAATGGGCAAGCTGGACATTGATTACCAGGTATGCTGGGGCAAGGTCGTGATGTGGGCTGCTGAGATGCCTTGGTTAGTGGCAGGTCTCCTAATTTTCCCGCCCCCTTCCAAAGAAGCTATGCCACTATTCCCTTGTCATTTGTTCCTGCAGGTCCTGCATGACGCTTTCTTCAAGTACCAGAACAAACCCCGCTTGAGCAAGCTGGGAGAGCTCTACTACGAGGGCAAGGAGTTTGAGGCAGATATTAAGCATGCCACGCCTGGTATGTGCAGTATGGTGTGGAACTTGGATGTGGTGCAGGGGAAATCTGCGTGCACTCCTTGTTTAGTGCTGCCTGGGAGCCTTCCTCACAGCAGTTCATCTTGGATCTCCGTCATTCTCTGCTGTCACTCAAATCACACCGCCGTCTTCCCTCAAACCAACAGGCGTCCTGTCTGAGGACCTGCAAAAGGCGCTGGGCATCGACCCCGGGATGCCCCCTCCCTGGCTGATCCACATGCAGCGGTATGGCCCCCCGCCCTCATACCCCTCCCTCCGCATCCCCGGGCTGAACTCCCCCATCCCCGCCGGGGCCCAGTTTGGGTACCACCAGGGCGGGTGGGGAAAGCCCCCGGTCGATGAGGAGGGCCGACCGGTGTATGGTGACGTGTTTGGCGAGCAGGCTGCTGAAGAGGCCGAGGAGGAGGAGGTGGTGAGTCACTGGGCGTCTGAGTGTGTCAGGGTGGGTGGTCCCTGCCAGGGTACCTTCAACAGCACATGTCCATCGCCTGGTGGTTCCCCAGGTCACACCAGCAACTCCTCGGGATTGCTCTGGGTGCACCCTGCGCGCCCCGACTTTCACCGGCCACTGCCAGCCTCGAACTGGGACACAGTCGATTCAGTCTCTCAGTTCACGCATCACCCCCACTCCAACCCCCATGTATGGCAGCCTTCCGGTGGTGGTGCACTGGGGCGAGATGGAGGAGGAGGAGGAGGAGGAGGAGACCAGCAGCGAGGAGGAGGAGGAGGAGGAGGGTGCGAGCGGGGGCGAGGTGGACGACAGCGCCTCCCTCGCCGACGGCCTTGCCTCCGTGGCTTCGGGCCTGGCCAGCACCCTGCCCTCCGGCATCGACACCCCCTCCGAGATCGACCTCCGCAAAGGCAAGGACACGGGGCCCCGCCAGCTCTACACGGTGCTGGAGCAGACGGCGGCAACCGGAGGCGCGGGGGTCATCATGGGGTCGGACCACACCTACGTCCTGCCGGGGACGGGCGAGAAGAAGCTGTCCATTGCCGCACAGAAGCGGCTGGAGGCACTGCGCAGGGAGGTGCCCAGCGACCTCGATGTCGCCATCGACCCCGCGGTGAGCATGGGAGGATGGAGTGCGGGGCAGGAGCACGAGCATGGGAGCTGGGAGAACGGGGCTGGCACACCGGATTTTTGAGGGCCAGCCTGCCCGCCCTGCAAGCACACTTCTCAGTATTGCTTGTCCACCCACCTGTGCCTGCAGGAGCTGGAGGGCCTGTCCGACGCGGCGCTGCGTGAGCTGTACGAGGGGAGGGTGGTGGAGGCCCGGGAGGCGGCGGGCAGGGAAGACTTCTCGGACATGGTAGCTGCCAAGGCTGCCGCCCAGAAGAGGAAGGCCGCGGACAAGGCAGCGAGCAAAGACACCAAGAAGTTCAAGTTCTGAGGCAGGCATGTACGTACAGCTGAAGCAGGCAGCACGAACGGGGAGGGGGTTGGTGGGCCCACTCACAGGACAGAGGTTCAGACAGTTGAAATGAAGTGCATGCTGCCTCACCGGAAGGTACGCCAGAGAAAGAAACGTCATGAGGGGTACACGGCCCGCTCGGTACACTACCCAGATTGTTAAGATTCTATCACACTCGACCTAGGTCTGGATACGACGCAGTGCCGCAGTGGCAGCCTTGCACCCTGGCCTTGAAACCGTGACATCCTCTTGCGCTCCGGTGTTGCATCAGAGTCTGGTGACACGCGATGAGTTACCTGCTCCCGCATCTGCGGAGTGGATACGCTGTCGATCAAGCCATCCTGGCGGTGAGCACGGCGCCTTGCCCTTTCGACATGCCGGCTGGTGGGGTGATGGCGTGCAGTTTGCACGGACCTGAACAATACTAACGAACACTCCAATCGGACCCTGATTGCCCAGGAAGAAGATAGAGTGGTAGTGCTAAGATTCGGACATGACTATGATGATCAATGCATGCAAATGGACGAGGTGGGTGGTCTGGGAGCTTATGCAGGGTCGTCCAGAACTTCGCATGGATCCATCGGTCCCTGAACTGAGGCTGCAACTGTCTTGGCTCGCCACTCCATGGCCGTGGGGCCCCCCTTTTCCCTCAGATTCTGGCTGGCACTGCCGAGAAGATGAAAAACTTTGCAGTCATCTACCTGGTGGACATCTCGGAGGTGCCGGACTTCAATGCCATGTACGAGCTGTACGACCCATGCACAACCATGTTTTTCTTCAGGAACAAGGTGCGCCGAGCGTGTGTTAGTCTGTGATTCTACTCCCATTGTGGCGTACAGGCGCTCCTGGCAAAGATAATTACCCTTGAGAACTGCTCTATGTCTCCAGGACAGTCTCTTTGCGACATTGAAATCCACGAGCCTGACTTGGCAACTGTTCGATCCTGCCTTGAGCTCCCTTGCCCCTTGCTTAGCAAGATCCTGGGAGGCACTGCACCTGGCAAGGGTTTGTCGACTTGGCACGACATGATTCTCTCATGCATGCACCGTTTGAGCTCTGGTCATGGAGGTGTTCTTCCTCCTCCGATCCTCATGCAAGTAGCACCCCCCATGATTCCCCCCATTCCACAGCACATCATGATTGATCTTGGTACCGGAAACAACAACAAGATCAACTGGGCCATGACTGACAAGCAGGAGTTTATTGACGTGGTCGAGACTGTTTACCGCGGGGCTCGCAAAGGCAGGGGTCTCGTGGTCTCGCCCAAAGGTAGGATGGTGATGGGGGAGGGCAGATGAGCTCTGTAGAGATTCGAGGATCCCTCACCCAGACCCCTACCCCCCAAAATCACCATGCAGACTACTCCACCAAGTACAGGTATTGATACACCCTCTCGCCTCCATTTGCTCCCCATCAATGTACCGCCACCCCCAAACCTCCGACATGTTCCTGTACCCTTCCCACTCATGCTCTGGCGTTGGTCTGTAATTACAGTCAGAATTGCCTGGAGTCTCATACTCTTTGAACAGCCTAGCAGGCTTTGGAATTTGTGTGCATGCACGTACAGGGCTTCAAAGCATGGGTCGGCTGGAGCATGTGGTTTGAGAAGGGCAGTCAGGTCAATGGGGGGTGTCTGTGTCAGGCAGCGCTTGCAGCTACCCTCGTGGAGGTCCTTCAGGCCGCGGTTTACATCCACGCTCCAGCGCTTTGGTCGCAGTGCTGAATTAACCAGAAGTGAACTTGGTCACAGCCTTGGTGCCCTCAGACACGGCATGCTTGGCCAGCTCACCGGGCAGGATCAGGCGCACGGCGGTCTGGATCTCGCTGTGACAATCAAGGGGAGGTGGGAAGGCATGTCAGGGCTGTTTTGCTGGAGCTGCAGGTGGCGATACCACTGTGCATGGGCAGGCGGGCGTGGAATACAGCAACATCTGGCCCTTGCCCACATACCGGCTGGTGACCGTGGGCTTCTTGTTGTACCGCGCAAGGTTGCCAGTCTCCCCAGCCATCTTGTCAAAGATATCCTGCAGATGGGGGCAAGCCCGGTGTCAGGCAGTGGCACTGGAGTGCTGGCCTGTCGTGCTCTCTTGGAATCTGCACCTCAAAGACCCCAGGGATAAGCAACCCCCACAGTCCTCACATTGATGAAGGAGTTCATGATGGACATGGCCTTGGAGGAGATACCAGTGTCAGGGTGCACCTGCTTCAGCACCTTGTAGATGTAGATCTTGTAGGTCTCGGCCTGAGGGGACAGAGGAGAGGCAGAGCTGGCTGAGAGGGCTGTAACACTCCCAGCTGTCGGCCAGTTCAAACACCCCGACCACAGCCTGGCCCCTGCCAGCGCATCATTGGCTCCGTAGCAGCATATGTATTATCCCGCTCGCGGGCCGCGCCTGCGCGGAGCCCCCAGCAGCAACCGTCGCGGGCAGGGGTCACGCGATGTCACGGAGGTGCGCTCACCTTGCTCACGACCTTCTTCCTCGTGCCTGCGCTGCGCTTCTCTGCCACCTTCTTGGCGGTTTTCTGCAGGAGAGGGGGTGATCCGAGGCGCTGAGGGACACCTGTCGCGGAGTCCCGTGAAGTTTAAACTCAGGTGACCCGAGGGACCTCACCTTTGCCGGGGCCTTCTCTGCCTTGGGAGCCATTGTAGATTGCTTGGATGCTACTGGCGACAGGAGCAGGGAGTGATCGGGGAGGTTTAGAGTGTGGGAGGGCCGACTCGCGTTGATGTCCCTGCCTGGACATCCGACGCGAGGGTTTAACGGACACAGGTGGAGGGTTTATGACCTTGCCGTTCGCACTTTCTTATGTCGTGAATATGGTTTCTCCCTGTTGTTCTGCCGCAGGATTCGTTGCTTGCAACGGGTCTTGGGAAGGACACGGAAGCATCTGAACGAGAATGACGTGACAACAGATTTGACCCTTCGTTGAGACAGCGTTCAGAACCAGTCTCGAGCCGCTGGAGGCCGTCGCAGTGCGCCCCCCCACACTCTCCCAGCCATCTCAAGGATCCTCTTCATAGGATGGGGGACAAATTACAGAGGGTGGGACAACAGGGACTGACACATCGGAGCACTCCAAAGGGGCCCTGGTCAGATGACCACGCGAATGGCGCCCACAAACCGGGCTGGCGGCACATAGGGATGCACGGCGTGCCTGCTGCGAGGCCTTCTCCAGACATCCTGATTCCTAGCTAGCCATGTCGTGCTCTCCCTTCAGCGGTACTCCTCCTCCAGCGTCCTGAACCTGTCCTTGATCTCGTCGCTGAGGGCGGCAAACTTGGCCCGCAGCGCCTCCTCGCCCTCGGCCGGGTCCTCGAACTTCTGGGAGCTGAGCTTGTACAGGACGTCCGACAGGCGCGTCTTGATCACGTTGAAGGTCAGCTTGCTGCCGTCGGAGGCAGAGGAGGCGGAGCGCTCCACGGCCGCGTTGGCCGCGTTGTGGAAGGCAATCATGTTGCGCAGCATGTCCACCGATTTGTAGAAGGGGCAGTACTTGTCATACGGCGTGAAGGAGTTTTGCTGCAGGAAGTCGTCCTTGATCAGGCGCGCCGTCTCCAGCGTGATCTTGTCGCCCTCCGCCAGCGCGTCCTGCGAGGATGTTGAGATTGGGGACAGGTTATTGCGGAGGCGGAAAGTGTCGGGGGCACACTGTGCGTGACTGCCTGTCCCGCCGTCGCTCCTCTCCGCCCGACCCCCCAAGAGGCATTCTTCTCCCTCCCACAACCAAACCCCTTCCACACTTTGCCCGCTTCCCACTCCCCAAAACCATGAACATGGGATGCAAGCACCCCCCCCCCCTCACACACACACATACCTTCCCGACCAGCTGCACGATCTCGTTCAGGTCGTCCTCCTTCTGCAGGATCTCGCGCGCGGACTTGCGCACGCTGACAAAGTCGGGGTCGAACTTGTCGTAGAAGGGCTCCAGCCCCTTGGTGTACTTGGAGTAGGAGATCAGCCAGTTGACGGAGGGGAAGTGCTTGCGCTGGGCCAGCTTCTTGTCCAGGCCCCAGAACACCTGGACGATGCTCAGCGTGGCGGTGGTCACGGGGTCGGAGAAGTCGCCGCCGGGGGGGGACACCGCACCCACGATGGTCACGCTGCCCTCGCGGGCGGGGGAGCCCAGGCACTTGACGCGCCCCGCGCGCTCGTAGAAGGAGGCCAGGCGCGCGGAGAGGTAGGCTGGGTAGCCCGAGTCGGCGGGCATCTCCGCCAGGCGGCCAGAGATCTCGCGCAGCGCCTCCGCCCACCGGCTCGTGCTATCCGCCATCATGGAGAAGTTGTAGCCCATGTCGCGGAAGTACTCGGCCAGCGTGATGCCCGTGTAGATGGAGGCCTCGCGCGCCGCCACCGGCATGTTGCTCGTGTTGGCCACCTGCATGCTCGTAGAATGGGGGGTGGGGGGAGTGAGTGAGGGGGGGTGAGGGTTGGGTGGCAATAAAACTGCGGGACCTGTAGGAACAACTTCAATGCGACAGGGTGCACATCATTGACCCTGGCCATGATGTGCGGCACCAGGGGAGGCGCCAGGGTCCCCAAGCGTCCTGGTGGGGCAGGCAAAAGTCGTCAAGGCACCTCATGCACTCAATCTTGCCACCGCACTCCGCACCAGGGTGGTGCGCTGCATAATGGACTCCTCGCGCCCGTCGGGCAGGGTCATGGTGAGGGCGGGGAAGTCCATGAGCACCTCGGCCATCTCGTTGCCGCGCTCGCCGCAGCCGACGTAGATGATGCCGTCCGAGTTGGAGTACTTGCTCAGCGCCTGGAGAGGATTGGGTGAGGAGGTGGACGGCGGGGGGGGAGGGGTGTCGGGACGACTTGTCAAGGTGGTGTCAGGGGTCAGTAGGGCAACGCTGGCTTGCACGCCTGCCTCGATCCCATCACCGCCGCGAGCACACTCCATCTGCGCGCGTCTATCCCCCCGGGACCCCCTTCCCCCTTTGAGCCCTCCTCGGTCTGCTCACCTGGCTGATGACGGTCTTGCCGCAGCCAAAGGCGCCCGGGATGGCGCAGGTCCCGCCCAGCACGCCCGGGAAGAGGCCGTCCAGGACGCGCTGCCCCGTCAGCAGCGGCGTGTTGGCCAGCAGCTTCTGGGCCACGGGGCGCGGCGCGCGCACGGGCCAGAGCTGGAGCATGCTGTACTCCTTCTTCGCGCCGCCAAACTCCACCTCGATCACAGGGTCGGTGATGGTGTACTCGCCGGCGGGGGCGATGTAGGTCACCGTGCCGCGCGCGCCGGGGGGCAGCAGGATCTTGTGCTGCATCAGCGTGTTCTCGTGCACCTCGCCGTAGATGTCGCCGCCGGTGATGCGGTCACCCACCTTGAAGGCCAGCGGGTCGAACTGCCAGGCCTTGGTGCGGTCCAGGGCGGGCACGTCCACGCCGCGCGGAATGAAGCAGGAGTCGGAGTCGATGGCGATGGACTTGAGCGGGCGCTGGATGCCGTCAAAGATGGTGCCCATGATGCCCGGGCCCAGCTCCACCGACAGCGGCTGCGTGTGTGCGAAGGGGGGAGGGGGGGCGAGGGGGGGGTGAAGAGGGGCTCCTTGACGAGGTTGTGTGCGTGCCAGGGCTGGGCGCGGGAGGAGGGGCAAGAGTACATCCTGCAGCTCATGAGCAGGGCCAAGCGCGAGCGCTGGGGGCAAAGCTGGAGCAGGGCGTGGGTCGAGGACCGAGCATCAAGAAAGCGTCGTGCGAGATGGCGGCAGGTGAGCCAGTCCATCCGATTGATTTGATGCTCCATCAGCCACCCATGCCAGTGCTTCTGGCCATCAAACCCAGCATACCTTGCCGTTCCTGGTGACGGGGTCCCCAACAGTAAGGCCAGAGGTGTCCTCGTACACCTGGCGAAGACAGTGAAAAGGTGGACGGTGGTGGGAAGGCGTCGAGGCCACTCCGCGTGAGAGCAAGGCCTACAACATCTCCCCTCCACCCAAGCTGTGCTCCAAGTACAGTCGATGGCACTGTCGTCCAAGGCCTCTGCTCCTCGCCCACCCAGGCCTACCTGGACGGTGGCGGTGTCGCCCTCCAAGCGGATGATCTCCCCGATGAGCTTGTCAGCTCCCACACGCACCAGCTCGTACATGGCGGACCCACTCATGCTGCTGGCCACCACCACTGGACCGGAAACCTTGCGGACATACCTACAGTGACAGATCGACCATTAAAGTTGGGCAAGGATCCGGCCTGAGACGCGTGAACACGCATATACCGACCCTCCATAGCCCCTCTCCCCCCTTCCCCCAAGCACAATTCGAGACCCCCAGACCCTCACCCGTACGCCCGCTCCGACGTCTCCACATCCCTGCCCATGGCTCAAATCTCTATATGGGACAGATGGCAGGGGCTAATGCGACTTGAGGTTCGAGAGGACCAGGCGTCACAAGGGTTTGCGAGGCCTTGCGTGCCCACGATCCCTGGTGCTTGTGGGATGCTGCGATGCCGCACCGAGTGTGTTGTGAAGTGAGGCCCGTTTATGTATTTGTGTTATGATGAATTTGCTCATGACATGAGGGTGCTTTTCGGTGAGCTCGATGAGGGTCGCATCTCCGCTGAGCGCCCCTGCAGCCCACCTGGGGCGGGACTTCCCATACTATTGACCGAACAGGGCCGTAGCGGGTAGGAGGCCTCACAGGCTCATCGATCCCTCTGGGGAGCAAATACATCACTCTAAAGCCCATGTAGGGGTATTAATGTCCAATCTTATACTGATTGAGGAATGCATCATTTGACTGGTGTTGTCCACCCGTGCCATGTAGACATGTCCGCGAGAGGAGGACAAACGGAGCACACACCTCGTTCTAAACAGTCAAGATACCATTTCTGAAACATGAATTCCACCGCTGTATTCAGTGCGCAAGTGGTTCGGAAGCAGAGGTGAGCAAGATTCACAAGGTCCGGTTTGGGAGACGATGGTCTGACCTCTACATCGACAATGAATGAGGACTCCCTTGTATAAAGTCTAGAATTCTCCTGTGATACCTCTCGCGATTGTCAATATTCCCACAGGGTGGCTGTGAAGGTCATAGCCGATGCCAATGAGTCCCTGAAGGAGCAGATAGTCCTTGAAAACAAGCAGACCGTGAATGGCACAACATCTGAAGGCTTTGCGACTCTGGCAGAGTTGCAGGACGCAGCCAACACCTATGTCCAGAGGGTGCGACCTGTCGGATGCGCTTGTGCGCACGGGGTGGTCCTTGCCATTTTGTGTGCACAGGCTGATCGACTGACATCCTCACTGGCGCAGATCACAGAGACGCAGCTGCAGAAAGCGGCGCTCGTGGCGGCCAATGCTAAGCTGGAGGATGTCATTGCCGAGCAGCGAAGGGAGAGTGGGGGACCCAATGCCTGCTCCAAGAAAGTTATCCAGGTGGGGATGAGGAGGCTCTGCTGAGTGGAAGGTTATTCTGTGTGCACAGTGTTGGCTGCCATATGTGGGGCCCAGCACCCCACCTGCTTTGTTCCGGCGGCACCTCTGCTGCTCACCACCTGCCACCCAAAGTGTGTTAAAGAGACTTGTCGTAAGGGCAAGGAGTAGTAGTCCCAAGCATGCATCATGGCATCCCCCTTGGCTGTCCTGACCCTCATGAGCCTCCTCATGTGCCCTGCAGGGACGGAGGAGGCTCAAGATCCTGGAGGACCAGCTGCAGGCCGCTTCTGTCCGCAGGGACCAGTTCCTCCTCGCGCAATCCCAGTCGGCCAGGCGAGCGAGCGCGGGCTGGATGATTTGATTCCCAAGGGAGGTATCAGCAGGGCGGCTTGCTTGCTGGCATCTCCCTTCTTTGCCGACGCCTCCCCCAGCGCCCCTCGCCCTATCAATCAGACCCTCACACTCCTCATCCACCCATCCCATCCGGCCCCGCACGCGCAGCCGGGTCCAGGCCCTACAGCTGGAGACCACCGTGACGCAGGGCGCGGCCGCCAAGACCCGCGCCCGCCTGGCCAGGCGCAAGAACGACCTGCTGGACCTGGTGGCCGACATCTGCGAGGCGCACGAGGCGCGGGAGAAGGCGCTGGCCCTGATCGCGCACACCCGGGGACAAATGGATCGCGAGGCCGCGGTGCTGGAGCAGGAGTGGCGCAAGCTCACCCAGATCCTCGACCTGGAGCGGCTGGCGCGGGTGGGTGTGGATGTCGATGACCGGGGGAGGGGGATGATGCCGGGGAGTGGGTGAGAGCATGCGCATGGCATTCGAGGCCGGCCTGCGGTGCTCAAGGGGGAAATGGAAGGGTTGCTCACACTGCCGCGCATAGAACCCCTCCTGCGACTCATTCCCACGGCCGTCGAGCACCTCGGCCCCCCCTGCAACAGGACGAGCAGCGTCGGCGGGAGCATGCCCAGCGCGAGCAGCAAATGGCCAACCTGTTTGCCCAGGACTTTGCCGCGCCGACCCTGGGACCCCGGGCCCGGGGTCCCGGCAGCGGCACCGGGGTGGCTGGCGTGACCCAGGCGGCCACCGCAGCGCCCGCCCAGCCGCAGCGAGCGGGGGCTCTGGGCGCGCCGGCCGCCGCCAGCGCCGTCGAGGGGGGCGGCCCCGGGGCGCCTGCAACGCACGCGCAGCGGGTGCAGGCCTGCGCGGAGGCCTTTCAGAAGATATCCGGTGCAACAGGTGAGGCGCGGTGACGGGGTGGGCCAGGGTGGTCTGTCGGTCGGCGTGGCACGACTGGCGGCTGTGTCTGGAAAGAGGCCTGCATGGGGCTCCTCCCGGTTGGACATCGCATGACCCTCTTCCGCCCATCACCACCCCCCTGCACCACCCAGGCTACAGCAGCATGGAGGAGCTGGCAGCCGAGCTGGTGGCCATGCAGCAGCGGAACTTTATGCTCTTCAAGCACATGACGCAGGCGCAGCTTGAAACCGAGGCCAACCGTCAGGCGGCGGCCGGTTTTCGTCGGGAGGCTGCTGCGACGAGGGATGCAGTGGCGGCAGCAAGGCAGGCGCAGAAGTGCGCAGAATTCGCACGGGTGCGAGGGAGGGAGCATGTGTGCGTGGCTGCTGTGCGTGATGGCAAGGATAGGCTATGAGCGCATTCATCGAGATGCAGGCCAGCATCGGCAGAGGGGGGGGCCCTGGAGCATGCACTCATGTGGGCGCGAGGTCCCTCCTCACATCTGCGCCCTCACGATTCCCGGACCCACAATGGGCAGGAGGTGGGGGAGCGGACCGACAAGGTGCAATCCGACACTGCGGCGCTGGCACGCCAACTCACGGATCGCGATAGGCTGCTCGAGGAGCTGGGGAGGAGGGTGCTGGCCATGACGGAGGATGCAGGGTAGGTCTGCCTGGACCCTGGTCGTGTGCCGGCGCACAGCAGCAGGGGGTTGCTGGGTTATACGGTGTGTGCTTCTGAGCTGCTGACGCGGATGCAGCCCTCCTTCCAAACTGGACCTCAAAGGGCCCCATCACGAGAAAGTTGCCAGAGGATTGTTGAGGGGCTCGAGTCCGCCACAAAAGGTGCCCAGGATTCCACAAGATCGCCTGCCACGGTGCAGGTGCATTCCACTGGAGGTCACCGACGGCTCGCTGGCGCCCTCCCATGGGGCCCACGGTAATCTGATGCAGCACCTGGGTCTGCTGGAGAAGAGGGTCGCAGACATTGCCCATGTGAGCCGGGTGGCAGAGGCCACCAGGGCAGCTGGCCAGAACTTGCAGACTGCAGATCCTTGGAGGAAGCATCAATGTCTGCTGCAGCATGGCTGCAAAACCCACCTTGAATCATCCATCGAGCACAAATTCCACAGCGACCACCCACCACCCGGCCACAGGAGCTCACGCTGCAATCCCTGGCCAGCGAGGCAAGTCAGGTCAGCTCTGAGAGGTCCTCCACAAGGGCACCAGGGTCGGGGAGCAAGGGGATGTCATCGAGCGCTCCACCCCCGCCCTCTGTGTACAAGGGAAGACCCCGCGGAAGAAGAACGCGAGCCCGAAACAAGGGTACAGAGTTGCGGGGAGGACGTGGGTCATGCTCGCATGTGCTTGCATGCTGCACGATGATCCACTTGCAGACCTGCATTGGGATCACTCCATCCCCTTCACCAGTGCACCGTTGTATGGCAGTGGCCCAGTGCGCGTGCATACCCTACTGAATTGGCCCCTCCCAACCGGACTGACCGCACCCTCTGTAGGTACAGCTGAGGGCTCGCCCTCGGTGCAGCTTCCAGCTGTGCCGCTGGACAGAGATGTCCTGCGGGAAAGGGTCAGGCTCGCAATGGCGGCCGCCAAGTGATGTTGTCATCGATGCTATGTTGAGGAGGCCAGGAGTGGATGTGCACTGAGGCAGCATTGCTGTATACACGACGGGGAAGATTGAAGCATGGATATGACACCAGGCAAGTAGATCATCTTGGATTTTTCCGTGACAGGAGCATGCCGCTCAAACCGGGGGGCTCCCGGACTTGCTTGGTTCCCCCAACGTGGTTTCTTTTCGCAAACAACGCGCATGCGGCACAATAGCGCTACTCGACCTACAAACGCCCACAACCCCTCCCCCTAGCTTGTTGTGCCTTTAAGACTCGAAAACACAACCCGGAGATCCAGGCACAGCGAGTAGAGCGTGACCTGGCGGGAGTAAGCCACTCCTGGCTTCCTGCGCAGCTACGCCAAGGGCTTCATGCCCTTGTTCCAGTGCGTATTCCACTCCTTGTATCGTTTAGAAGGATCCGCTGATATCGCACGGCCCCGCAGCCTGTCACAGGAAGTGAGGGATCTCCAGAATCTGGGTGTCAATAAGCCAGGCTACCTTCAGAACAGCCACTTCGCACCCTTCGAGGCCAGCTCAACTCGTAAAATAAGCAGTGAGAGCGTCCCAGGTGAGGCAGTGGTCCTCCCTGTCATGCGCACGTCGATGGATCCCGGTGGGCCTGGGCATGTGCCACCATTCAAAATGCTGTGTTTCATTCATGTGCTCACTTCCCTCACAGCCACTAATCAGAGGGCGGACACCATCATTCCCTGTAGTATATTAATCAGACCGCAGCGTCATTTGTCTTTGCAACTCCTCCTAGCTCTCTTACTACCGCTTACGCTTGTCGAGGGTGCGTGCCAGACATGGCTGTGCTGAGGCGGGAGGGCCTGTGAGGGATTGGCTGTCTGACACTTTGATCAGAGTGGAGGCCAGTGTTGCTGGGATGGCACTGCCCCTGACGTGGTTGACATCTTCACCAGATCTGATCCCTTCCCAGGTCCTTCCACCTACCTTTGCTCATTGCAATCCATGGCTCATCCCCCTGTACACAGGACGCACATCTTCACACAGTTTTGACTTGCCGGACACCCTTGGTCCTGCTGCACTCCCGAGCTCCACCACCCTGCTGATCCTGGGTGTCGCGATGGCAGGGTGCCTCGCCCTCTTCCGCCGCCTGAGGCGTGGGACCAAGGACAGCAAGGAGCCTCGCCGTTTGTCCCTGGTCGGCCCCCACATCGCCTGCAGCGCCGACCCGGGCTGGTCCATCCCCACCACCCCGCCCTCCCCCCACTCCACCGGCAGCGCCAGCGCCAGCGACGACGCCGGCAGCTGCAGGTTCCCCAGCGGCGTGCCCACGCCCCAGGGCCCCCTCTCCCCAGCTGGGGGCGGCTACAGCAAGGACGCGGCGTGCCTACGACAGGAGCCACGGTCGAGGGAGGGCGCGGGCCCATTGCAAGGTGGCGCCCTGGGTCAGATCGTCCTGAAGGGGCACATGATCTCCGGCGACCAGCTCGTGCTCTTCGTTTACATAAACCTGCGACCCATCAGGTTGGTGTCCCTCATGCGGGTGGAAGGGGGAGCGGGGTCTTGCTGCGTGTGGTGCCTGGCTGGTGCGCCCGGGCTGGGGCCCCGCCAGGATCTATTGGACGCTGGCTATCGTCAGGATGCATCGTCTGCTCGATGAGAGGCGAGCGGCGCGAGTTGTGCACTGCAGCAAGCAGCCCAGCATTCGCGCGACGAATGGAGGTACCCCGTGCTCTGGGACTGTCGCCCAGCCCCCTTCCCCTCAACCTCCATGCCTGCAGGACAAAGGTGGCCCCCAAGGGCTACTCGACCCTTCGATGTGGGGTGCTCCGCGAACTCCCCCTTCGGTTTTGAGCAACACCTGTGCTCGCAACCACGCAGTCCGTCAAGTGCTTCCAGCAGCAGCGTGACCTTCCCCACCTGGGGCAGCATTCATCTATTTATTCATGCGCTTTGCAGTGTGCCGCCCCTCCCACCCAACGCATCCAGGAGTGCCCCTCCAGGGTGCATTGCAGAGTTGTGCGCCGGGTACCTGTACCCGAGCCCTCCGCCTGAACGTGACCATCCTCAATTGTCTGCCTGGTGTGCTAGAAGCAGCGTGCAAACCCTGATTTGTCTTGGTACGCCCCCTCCATCATTCTTCTTGCCAGCCTCATCCCCCTGATTCTTCTCACCATTAACATATTTTGTCAGGGGCATCTGATGATCACTCAAGGGACAAGGGAGGCGGCATCTCAGGGGTGGGCAGGGAGGTGGGAGCGCACTGTAATAGCAGCGCGCGTTCCTGCAGGCTGTGCTGATGCAGGGCAGGGCATGAAGACAGGTAGGGATACGTTTGCTCCGGGGGAGCCACTGGGTATGCCCCGGGGGCGACCAGAAAACTTCTAGAACAGTATTTGCAAGGGAGCACTCAAGCAGGACAAGGCGAGACACAGGGAGGAGTGTCACTGCTGGACGAGAATGGCGGATGAGCACGACTCAACCGAGGAGAAGGAGGAGCATCCCTTGGGTCCCCGCATCCTGCTCAGCTTGGCAGGGCGACGCAGGAGGTGGTCGAGGTGGGCGGCTTTGGCACGCACTTTGGCTCCCTATAGTGTGGGAGGAGGCACGAGAGGGATGTGAGGGATGGATTGAGAAGGATTACGTGTGTCGGGAGCCATACAGGCATGAGCAGGTGACAGGCACCTTGAGCTGAGCCACCCCTGCCCACCCACACTCGGGCCTCACCCAGTCCTGGTCTTCGCTGTCGACATGCTGGAAGGTCTGAAGCTGGCAGATGCAGGGGCCAGCCACCTCTACAGCCCATGACACCCATTCAGGGCTGGAGTGCAGGACGAGATGCTCTATTGCAACCAGGGCCTTATAAACCTGGGTCCAGGCGGTGCCTGAGCGCCCCAGCCGCTGCAGGAGGACCGGGCCCACCTCTTCAATGCTCGAGGAATCCCTGCAGCTGGTCGCCAGGTCTGCATTTCAGGGCGAGCAATGTTGGAGGTGAACTCAGGCAGGTATTCCATCCTCCTAATCGTGCGCCCAGGCGTACATTTGGTCCCGACTCCAGCCGTGGCGGGTCAGCCGGTACAAAGTCGACCACCCTCTCACCCCTGAGCTGCTCCTCGGTAGGGCCCCAGGGATGCACGCTTGTCGCTTCTTTAGCCCTTAGTTCCAGTTCTGTACGGGTGAACAGGGTCTTCCGAGCCCGTACTTTAATTCTCTGCACGAGGCGGTACCAGGCGTCTGTCACTGCGCCCTCCGTCACCATCGAGCGACTGTATTGGTGCAGGGGAGTTCGGTTCTTGAATCACAAATTCCACGCTGTGAGCTCAGTTTGTGTGCTCGGCCGGGCTGTGGATGATTTGGACTCGAGCGTTACGGGCCATGCCGCGAAGTACTGCCGGGTTCGGGCCGATCCCCTGGGCCCTTCCAGGGCTGCTTCAAACCATCTCCTCTGCTCCAGCTCGATGCACGGCATCTCCAGCGCGGCCCCCTTCAGCTCTGCTCAGATGGATTATTCTACGCAAATTAATCTTCAGCAGTGCAGCGAGCACAGTATCAGGATTCCTGGGCGGGCAGGGCCAGGCGTGCCATCGCCAGCACCCCCTCCTCTGTGGCCGCGCCGCCGATGAAGCCTGAGGCGTGCACGAAGACGCCTCCAGGCACCCCAGATGATTTGGACAGCTCCTCGTCCCTGAGACCCCTCCAGGCCGCCGGGAGGGCATGGCGGCTCTCGAATGAGCCAGGAGACTGGCTCACCGCCTGGATCCTCCACTTCTTCTCGCGGTCATCCTGGGGCACGGAGCAGAGGGGGGCGAACTAATTATATAAATCTATGCCTGGGACGATAGCATGGCAGCTCGTGAGCCCTACCTGTCTCAAAATATAGAAGCCTGCCTGCCAGCATGCCTGCCAGGCGTCTGCGTCTCCCACTGCCAGCGGTGTCCCACCTCCCTAATTCCTCCACACCACTCCTACTCAACCTCCACGCCAGCCCCTCACCTCGTACAGCACATACAGAATCTGGCCCTCAATCCCCTGCTCGGCCTCCAGGTCGTACAGGTGCTCCTTCCAGGGACAAAAGTGGCGCAGCACGATGATGCGACCTGCATAGAGGTTGTGGTTGCGGATGTGACGAGTACTGGATGGGACAGTCCAAGGTCATACATGATACCCCTCTGGCTCCTCTTGGCTGCTTGCGCTGGCATCAGACGGTGCAATGCCAGGGCGCGACCATGTCCCCGCACCCGATGGGTCGGCAGCCTTGCGCTCCGCCAGAGCTTCGACCACATAGCTCCTGCCGGGCAGCCACACCTGCCAGCCAGGGCATGCGGTGCGGAAGGGGAGGGTGATGAAATAGGGGAGGAGCAATGTCCCCTCAATCCCAGGGACTTTGTCCTCACACTGGGATTATCGTGGTTGGGGTTCCCCGAGGTGCACGCACCTTGGAGTGGTAGTTGATGGAGTCCAGAAACTCAGAGCCCGTCAGCTCTACAGCCTTCAGGAACTGCTCCATCAGCCTCTCGGCTGCATGTTGACAAGTGCAGAGGGAAACAAGTCAGCTCTGCCATATCTAGACAAAGAATGCAGCGGTCGTGCGGAAGGATAGCCGGAATCTACAAATCGCCGCACCCCTGACCAAGCTGCGTGCGGATGCAGGAGCCTGCACCCAAACCCAAAGACCACGCCTTGTTGTCCCCACTCACCAGACTGATCCTCGTCATTCCAAAAGGGGTTGAGTCCCGCGACCCTGGACCCCAGGTCTGTCCTCGAAATGTACTTGGGCGGGCCCTCCGCATCCCACTGGTTGATGCCTGTACAAGGCGGTGGTTGGAGGCATGGTGATCAGGGTGACTGCTCAGAGGGAATGCGCATGCTCAACAGAATGATGATCAACTTGGCAGTCATGTACTGCATTGAACCGCAGGCCGGCAGCCGCACAGCTCTATTTCCCCCAGTCTTCTTGCATGTTGACATGCAGACAATCTCTTCCACCATATGCACCATTGTCGATGGCATCCACAGCCTCCATAAACTTCTTGTAGACGGCCAGGTACACGGTCTCCACATCAGGGTGGGAAGCATCCAGGCCCATCACTCCGGCCACAACCTCCCTGCCGTAGTGCTTGTACACCAGACCAGCAGATGAGAGCTTGGTGGTGAAACCATGCCCAAACACCTCCTTGAAGTCGCGCTGGTGATGATCGTATCGGGCGGTGGCTGTGTGAGAGGAGTGACAGGTATAGGTGACCTGAGATCCGCAGGGGCCACATGTGAGACACACTCCCCAGGCCCAGCTGTAACCTATGAAATCGTGAGAATCTTCACTGCATGTAAATACTCCAAGAGGCCTAGGGTCTTGTCGCAGGAGAGGATGCCGCCTCACCTGGATCGTAGACGCCGCCGACATCGATCACGACGTCCAGTCCGGCCAGGGTCTCGGTGTCCCTACTCCGCACGATCTCCGCGTCCTTGAAGTCAGCAGTCTGGCGCAGGATGAAGCAGCCCAAAGCCTCATCGCAGTGGAAAGAGCCGCTGTGGGTGCCGATGCGAACCATCTTTGCACGCTTGCCACTGCTCATCTGCTTTGCAACGGCACTCGCTGCAGTGGCACAGTGTCGCAAAAATATCCCTCGCATGCGCTGGATGACGATTGATGACAAGTATGGTCGGGGGAGGTGCAGAAATATCGTAAGTACCGACATCACCGTCCGGCGGTCTTTGATGGGGATAGGACACATGGCAGAGGTGTCCCATTCCGGAACCCCACTGCCACTGCACACAAGATCTGTTTCATCTGCACCTCAGTACTCTTCATCACTACATCCTCGTTATTTCTGTGTATTCGGACGTGCTCCTTGCTCTCAACAGGCCTCGTAGCTAGCTCTCCGACGTTATGTTCCTTCAGGCGCACGGCACCAGAGGCTTGTTGGCTTCCTGCAAAGCATTGGAATCCGTCCCCTTTGTCCACAGCGCAAACAGGCTCGCTCGTGGATTTCGTGCAACATTGATCATGGCGGTGCAGCATCGTCGTGTGCGCCACATTCTGTTGCCAGGGGACCAGAGAGAGCTGCAGGAACGCCTATTTCTAGATCTTCAAGGTGTGGGGTAACGCAGGTCACATTGGCTTGTCAATCAGCTGTCTCAGAGAAACTATGATCAGCTTGATATTTTAAACATTCATCTTCATGGAATACTCCATTGCCACGGCATACCTTTATATCCTCCCCAGGAGGCAGTGCTGATTTTGCACAGCTTGCGGCTGACCACTCTCAATGCCCTTCCAAGGGTAGGGGGGGGGACCTGGGATGGATATCGCCGGGACAGACCGTACCTCAGTTTGAGGAGGCACTGCAGGCTGCATCAGTGGGTGGAGGCCCCGCAAAGTGCACGACTAGATTTGGCCTTCACATCCTGCAAGTCCTCGATGCCAGGTGATTGGGAGGTAATGCATCTCAGAGGAATGGTGGTTAGAAATGCTATAATGGCCTGGAAACAGGTCATTGAGCTAATGCGTCTTGTTCTACGATGGAATGAATTGACAATGACGAGAGATTCAGCACCAGACGCTTGTTGATATTGGCACGATGTAGATATAGTCTCCAAACTTTACCCCCCAATTCCCAATCCACTGCGTTGAAATGCAGAGACATTGCTGCTGTGAAGCAACTGCCAGTGGACGATTTTGCAAGCCTCATGCAGGTCGAAGAGGCAGAGGATGTGCAGTGCATCGATGTGAGGGAGGAGTGGGAGGCGAGCATAGCCTCCATCCCTGGTTTCCAGCTCTTTCCCCTGAGCAGGTGGGCGGCCCCTAGCCTGAGCATGGGGTTCGTTGGCTTTTCCGCTTATGTGCATAGTAATGAGAAGATAATCTCATCCCAGCGTGCAACTGCCCTCTGTCCCTCTGTCCCAGCTGCCCAGATCCTCACCTGCGTCTCACCCTTGAAGCATCAACACTAACTGTGTCAAACTCTCCACACAATGCACAACACCAGGATGGAGGAATGGGAGACCAAACTGACGACCATCCTGGACCCCCAGAAGCCAACCTTCTGTCTCTGTCATCACGGCATCCGATCGCAGCGGGTGAGGAAGGGCGATACATTGACACATCTCTAGCACTCAGTTCATTAACACGCAAGCCCATGCCTGCCCAGCCTCGGCACACTTACACCCCCCCTCTTCCCCCTGCGTTGAGCAGATGGCCCAGCTCCTGGTGAGCAAGGGGTTCCAGGAGGTGTACAACATTGTCGGTGGCATCGACGCCTACTGTCGCACCGTGGATCCCTCTGTCCCGGCATACTGAGCGCACTGAAGCAGACCGACAGCGGCGTGTATTCAATGCTGCATGAACGGGTTCGAGATCCAGTGGTGTTGGTATGTTTTGTCCCGGAGAGGATAACACTTGGTTGACGACCAGCTCTATGATTGCTGGCCAGTCTCCCTCTTGTATGTGATGTGCTGGTCTATGAAAGGGCGCCAGCGCGCCAATTCGATTCTACAGAGCATCGTACACACCAACATGGTGGATTGCACTCACATCACTCTAAGTCACAAACCAGAGATTCGAGCTCCTCGGAACGCTACTGGGAAGGGTGTCGCGAGGAGGTTTGTGGTTTTGGAAGCACCGTGATCCGTGCCGTCGGCCCCTAGCGAGCCAGGTCTGGCTGATGACTACAAACACACCTCGTCCAAAGGTATAGCATGCATGCGCCTGCCCCATTACAAACAACCTTAACACGCCAGACCTGATTCTTTTGTGTTGCGCCTACATGTGCGGCAGAGCTAGCGGAGATTGATATCGAATCGAGTGATAACACTGTCCTTGCTCACCCTCCCTCTGCAACTACTCAAGATCACACATGTGCTGTTTGACATGGACGGCCTCCTGCTCAACACTGAAGAGTTTTATACTGTGGTGCAGCAGAATATTGCCGCAGATTACGGCAAAGAGTTCACCTGGGAGCTCAAGGTACGGGGCCCTAAGCACTTGTCTGGTTAGCATGTGTGACTTTTGTCCTTCTATGCAAATCTTGTCCTGCACCACTTGATGACAAAACTTGCAGAGCAAGCTCCTAGGTCTCAAGGCAATCGAGGCTGCACGTTTGTCGATCAGCGAGCTTGGCCTTGAAGGTCAATTAGAGCCGGAAGAGTTTTTGGAGAAGAGGGAGGCGGCACTGGACTTGCTATTCCCCTCATCTGAGCTGTTACCGGGTGCAGGTATGTAAGATGTTCTGTATCCTGCGTTGGGTGGTCATCTTGATTATCATAATATCAGCTTTGCTGTGGATGGCAAGGGGCTAACCCAACGTGGCCCGGCAAAAGCCCTCGGCTTTGAGTTCCTGATCACCGCCCTCACTCCCGATGTATTTCTCTCCTGCAGAGCGGCTCATCCGCCACCTCCACCGGCATGGTATTCCTGCATGCCTTGCGACCTCCAGCAACATCAGGGGCTATGCCAAGAAGACCACAAATCATGGTGCCCTCTTTTCCCTGTTCACACACAAGGTGACTGGGGATGAGGTGGCCCAAGGTAAGCCCCATCCTGAAATCTTCCTTGCCGCAGCCGCCCGCTTCACCCCACCAGTGACGCCAAGCAAGTCGTGTCTCGTGTTCGAGGATGCTCCCGCTGGTATTCAAGCAGCATCGGCAGCTGGCATGTCAGTGGGTTGTTTCTGTGCAAGATGCCAGTGAGAATTGTAGGATGAGCAAGGTGTTTGCCAATGGTGCTGACAATGCAGCCAACCCAAAGCACGCTCAGTTGCTAGCATTCTGAACATGCCAGCCACCTTGTGGCCTGGATCCCTTCATGTCCAAGGTGCAAACCTCGGTTTCCCTTTCCTCCCAGGTCGAGCATTATGGTCCCCCACCCCAGCCTGCCAAGGGAGCTGTGCGTCGGTGCGGATCAATGCCTGACCAGCCTCACCCACTTTGTGCCGGAGGAGTGGGGCCTTCCCCCCTACGACAATGTAGACGCAAGGGAGGGGTAGTGGAAATGCCACGAGCACGCAAGAGGCTTCTTCATGAAACTCAAGCCGCTCAGGTGGGCAACTTGATGAAGAGCAGGGTCAATGCAGTTGCCCAGGGGACATCTGTTCCTTATCTGCCTCCCGCTGTTGATAAAAGGCGAGTCAGAATGGCATGCCCTTTCACCCTGCTTCCCTTGACTAGTCAGTGCTCTGCGTGTACAGCTTGCAGGAAGGGGCCCTTCTGAGTGTTGCAGGAGCGCACGACACTCAGTGCAGGCGGAAGTAGAATGATCCAGCGCAGAGGCAGCAGCCAACTCTCGTCCTCACACCAGAGCTCTTGCACAGAGCCTGAGCACTCGAATCGATGCACCTCTGCTACCTCCAGCGAGCAGGCGCGGCAGCAATGAAGGCCGCCTCATCCCCATCCCTTGCCACATCACCCCTGGCGGGTAGGATGCCACCCTCCGTGTCTGCCAGGGTGGCACGGAAGCAACGTCCCTGTCGCAGGAGTAGATCATGAGTGAGTCTCATGCCCAGCGAGCATGTGTTCCAACAAGGATCTCAGACTCACCGCCCCGTTGCAACACCAGCTGTGGTCTTGCCGACCGGTCACCAAGCCATCCACGCAGGTACACCCCACAACAGCCAGTGGGACAATAGCCGGACAGCCCACATCAGCTTTGCTAGACACCCCTCCAATCACCCTTCGATTGTGCCTCGCCCTACCCATCTCACCCGGTAGGAAAAGAGCACCAACAGGGTTTTTTCGGTTCCAGGGGCAGGGTCGCAGAAGCCAATCAGCCCCGCCTTGGTATAACCTGCACAAGGACGAGTGAGCACGGCGCATCAGCTGGAAAGGGTGAAAGGGCGCCTGTTGCGTGCAAAGGACAGCCTGCGCAAGGGATACAGCACAGAGTGTGTGTATTTAATCCCGCCCCCCCCGCGCGTGCCCTCCCCCCCGGCCCCAAACCCCAACCACACCTTTATGGAATACGGCCTTGCCGGCCTCAACCAGGTACTGCACAGCCACAGTGACATCGGCGACTGGCGAGGGCGGCCTCTCCTCTAACTCGGGATTGGCAGCGACGGGCACCGGCGGTTCTTGACTGCCACCTGGGCCCATGCCAGATTCCTGCTCGTCAGCGGTGCTCTCCACCACGCCTACAGCTGGCTCGCGTCGAGGAGAGGTAGCCTCGGTTTCCTGTTCAGTTGCAGCCGACGATGAAAGAGATATGCGGCGGGCCGCCTCCGCCTCCACCTCGCTGCTGGCGCCATAGAGCGCCAGAGCGATGACCAGCCCATCCTGCAGGCAGTTTAGGACGAGGGATGGGCCTGATTTTGGATGCCCGCCCCATACGGGAGGCCGCACAGGGGCCTGCAGGGCCGCCCTCGAGTGCAAATCCCCCCTCCAGCCAAGGCACTGAAACGCCTGGCGCACCTGGCTGGCCTCGCGCTGCGCCCGTCGCTCGGCCACGGGCCCCAGCAGCTGCGCGGCAGCTGCCGCTTGTGCCAGCGCAGCTCGGATGGTGGCGGCCTCCTCCTGCTGCCGCAGCCGCAGCCTGGAGTGGTTGAGAGTGGGGGTGGGGGTTGTTACACAGTCTTTGGTGGTGCGACAGAAGTCTCAACTCCCACCCGCCACGTGATATGGATTCTGGGTTTGAGTGGGCGCAACACAAGAGCGTGGCCAGGCCATGCGCCCAGATCACCGTCCAGGTATCAATGCCTCGGCCATCCTTGAGCTGGGGCAGGGAATGCTGAAGACCACTGCATCAACCCCCCCACACCTGCGGGACTGGATGCCTCGCGCCAGAGGCCCCACTACCCACTCCTTGCCCACATAGTAGAGCAGCGGCGGCAGGCAGTACGCTGGAGAGGTGGGCGGGGGAAGGGTGAGTCTCGGGGCAAAACTCCCCGTACATGCTGACGCTCTGGTTAAGCACCGTCCACAGCCCCCCCATCGCCTGGCACGGCACATACATCTAAACAGTGAACCCCCACACCTCCTGACCCATTTTCACCAGGCCCCAGGGGGGGGCCAACCCATGGCGGATTTCCCCCCTTTCCTCCTCCCATTTCACTCACCGGCGGCCAGGATGTTCCAGTCCAGCAACGGGCTGAGCAGGATCGGGAACTCAAACATGTGCCCCGCACGGTTGTACCGCAGCTTCAGCACGATGCCCTGCGGGCGGTGTTTGGAGGAAAGTGGGGTGGGAGGGAAATAGAGCGGAGACACACGTGGATGGCGGCCCCAAGCATGTGGTGTGCCGGCTTCCATCCCTGCTGCAGCCATGCCCCGCCCTTGGGCCACAAGCATGGCACGCACGCGCTCCGCAAGAGTCCAGTGATCGGGAATAATGACGCAGAGAGCCTGCCTTCTTCATCCAGCACCCCCTGTTTGCTGGAAACCTGTCACCCCCGCACATCCACAGCATCGGTCCCTCGCACCGCGGGCTCGGTCCCACCCCGGTGCAAGTCCTCACCTGGGGTCCGGTGACGATGCTGAGGCCCCCCGTCGCCAGTTCAGACAGCGTGCGCTGCCCGCCCACATCCACCTCGGCGGAGGCGGGGCCGAGCCGGACGCCGGCCCGAGCCGTCGTCTTCTCGCCCATGCGCCTTGCGACGCGCCCCACGAAGCCGGTCACCGCTCCCACCTCCACACGGCCGGTGAGGAGCAGCTTCTCCATCCGGCGAGTGATGCCCAGGGACATGCCGGCGGCGGTCTCCGGCCCGATCACCCAGGAGTACTCGCCCTGGAGCGTCTTGGACAGCTGCCTCGTCGTCACCAGCTGCGGGTTGTTGCGGAGAGGAGGCAAGGGCGGGAGGGTGTGCAGGTGGTTGGTGTGAGCAACGAGACAAGTTTTTGAAGAAGCAAGGATTTTGCAATACATCCTCTTGTGACACGAGAGAGTCTCGGAAAAAGGCCATGAGGTAGCAGTGCTGGGACAGGAATGATGGACGGCAGCACCCATTTAACCAAAGAGGCATGCCGGCGACATTCCCGAGACACCTCCTACATGATGCTCATCACACCCTTCATCACCCACAAAGCCAGCCGCAGCTCACCTGGAGACCGACACCTTCGTCTGGCTGCCACGTGGCGGTGAGGTTGGCCTGGGCATGGGGCGACAGCTGGACGCCAGAGGAAACCGAGAAGAGGCTCTTCAGGCCCACCGCGGCATTCACATCGAGCGTCGTGTAGTCTGTGGAGACGGAGGGAAGGCAAACCTTGCAATACTATGGCGAGTACACAGCCGAAACTTTGACCGAGAGGAGCGGCTGCCTAACACCAATGTCCACCCAACTCCAAGACGGCAAGAGCGCTGCCCATGGCCTTCATTCACATCCCAAGCCCCATTTCCAAGCCCGAGACACCCTTGGCAGCCAGAGTCACCACTCACCCGAGTAGACGCGCTTGTACCCCGCCAGGAAGCTGCCACCCCCTACGTTCTTCCGGACATTCACTAGGCCTCCCAGGTGCACAATGTCTTGGTCTGCAGCCAGGACGCCCCAATCTCGGGTGTCCACTGGAATGTCGACCCCGCTGGTCATGTACACCGTCGTCAGCTCGGGAATTCGGGACGCCACCTTGGAGTAGGGTTTCACCAGAGCTGTGGTGGCGTGAGGTGGAGGTGGGACAGGGGAGAGCGAGGTGAGTCAAATACTCATAGAAGGCATTGTGGAACTCAATAAACGCCAAGTAGCCTGGCTACACGACAGATTGTAGCAATCTCATATGAAACCAGGCCCATTCCTCAGTGAGCATTGGCATCTTGACAGACATTAAGGTGGGCCCTACTTAAAGGAGGAGGACGCACAATCTCACGACCAGAAAATCACACACCTGAAGCATCAGCACGAAAGATGTATGCGCCCCGGTAGTTGACTTGCGAGTCAATGCGGGCCGTTTCCTGCTTAGGAAAGGTGTGACACCATTAGTCAAGCGAGAGCACTGGGCAGGCTCCTGCCATACCACCTTCAATACCTGCATCCGACCATCTTGCACTTCCAAAGCCAGCTGCAATATCTGTTGCACATGTATCGATCCTCTTCCTGCTGAAAATCAGACACGAAAAGGTAGTCATCCCCCCACCCCCCCAAATCCCCCAACCCAACCGCCCACTCATCCAATCAAGCACCTGGCGCTCCCTGAACTGCTCCCACTCCTTTCGTAGGTCATCCTTATTCTTGACCCTTTCCCCAAGCTCCAGCCCTGCAGCCAGGCCCTCTTTGCCGTACACATCGTAGATGTCACGCTTATCAGGGTTGCTCAGCACCTACGAAAATTTGGGGGACAGGTATGCATTGGGGACAGGTTTTGCGGGCATCAGAGGAAAGGCGTAGTAACGACGAGATTGAGGGAGACAGAGGGGCAACTGGTGGGTCCCTGCAACATCCGAATAACAGATTGCAATATCTGTCAGATTCATTCTCATCAAGGCCATCCTCAAGTGGACCCTGCGATGGCATGCATATACCGTCGCACAACCTTGGTCACCCACCTCATAGGCTTCTTGGATAATGGTGAAAAGCTGGGCAGCATCGTCCCTTCTCTCCGGATCCTGGGTCTTGTCAGGATGTAGCGAGGTGGCCAAGGCTCGGTAGGCGCGTCGGATGTCATCCTCAGAGGCTGTGGGGCCTACCCCCAGGGCTGCATACAAGCTCTGGTCCTCAGTATGGCTGCTTGCTGCCGCCATGAAGGGTAGTATGGGGGATTCAGACACGAAGATCAATGGGGCGCATTCAGTATTGATGGCTGAGTCTCAAAATGCATACTATGATGGGCTCAGATGATTCCTCCCGGCCCAGCTCTGGAGTGATCTACGTGACAGACAGCAGCGCACTCTCCAAGTAGGCAGGGGAGAACCCTTTGAATAGATTTCGATCCTTCTAGCTCGATACATGGTGAGTCTTGTCTCCTCTTCGCCGTATGCATCTACTCGCGCCTGGCCCCCTCCCAGCTGGCAATGCGTCAGGGGGGGTGGGGTAGCGCGCCGGGTACCACAAAATACGGAACCTTTCAATCAACAGCTTTCAACAGAGAGCCCTCCAGGTGCAGCCCTGTGAGCAGACAGGTTCCACGCGCACCTCATCTGCACTTCGAGGGCATGGAATACAGCTGGGTGGCATCGTCTTCCCTCGGATCGCCGAATTGGCGCTTCCACCCGCGTGGTTAGGAGGGGATCCCGTGCCTCCAAGAGCACAGACGGATCCTCATGGGGCAATGCATCAGCAGCCTACAGCAAGCCGGCGAACCTCCAGAAGAATACAAGGTGAGTGGTGCCCTCACGGGGCTTGCAGGGCATACGATCGAGATGCGGGTGTCCCCTCGGGCGCCGTGGGTTCCTCCTCGCGGCGCGCATGGAGCACTCCTCGGACACACTCGCTGATGGATAACCTTGCAAACCTTGCAGCGTCGATGGACCTCAGGCCCCGGCGTCAGCGATGGCGTCGACGGAGGGTATCGGGCGGCTTCTACATACACTACCACGGTTGGTGCAGGGCACGGCAGGGAGGGTGATGGATTTCCTGTCATAGGCCCACAGTGTGATACAAGGCCTTGATCGGATGAGTTATTACCCTTTAACATGTTTGTGGATATCATTCATCCTCATTCGTACGATTCTTGGCCCTGCTTGCAGTTCCTAATTCTCGTTGGCACTCCCACTCACCTCCTCTGTCAACGCAGGCCAATGTTGGGATGGGCACGGGCAAGGATCGCTTTGTTTTCCTGCAGCACCAGGCAGGAAGGCACGCACTGGACCCCATCGATGAGCAAGCCTCCCTGAATGGTGCGGAGGTGTCAAGGCCTCAATTCTGTGGGTGCACAGACCCTGATCATAGATCCGGGAATGGGGTTGGACATGGAGGCAACAGGCCACATGCTGGTGTGCAGGACTTACAACATAAGACAAATGACAATGTTTGGTAGACGCTCCTGAGCAGCTCGAGGCTCTTGAAGGATCACCGCCTCTCTCTGTGGGACCCCGTGCATTGACCCCCCCATCACCGGCTCTGCCCACCTGCAAACACTCTCCCCACCCCATCCCATGTGCAGCCAATACGTCGCCGGCTCGGCAGCACGGCGGCTGGGACGAGAGCAAGAAGGACCTGGCCAAATCCAACTCCAGCAACAGCGCCCTTCGACCACGCGCCTCCTGCGGCGGCCCCCCGGGCGCCGACTCGCGCCAGACGGGCCCCCTGAACTGGACCAAGGGCGAGTTGATCGGCCAGGGCGCGTTTGGCTCCGTCTTCCTGGGCATGGACAACGACACCGGGCAGCTGATGGCGGTGAAGCAGGTGCACGTCTCCAAGGCCGGCTCCAGCAAGGTAAGCGAGCACGTGACGGCGCTGGAGGCGGAGGTCAGGCTGCTGCAGCAGCTGGACCACCCCAACATTGTGCGCTACCTGAGCACGGAGACCACCAACGACGCGCTGCACATCTTCCTGGAGTTTGTCCCTGGTGGCAGCATCGCCTCCCTCCTCGCCAAGTTCGGTGAGGGGGGTGGTGAAGGGGGTTGGCGAGCATGCTTTCAGGGGGATGGGCTGGGCCAGAATGGCAGGCGAGGGCCGGGAATTGGGCGATGGTGATGCTGACTGAAGTGAGGAGGAGGTGCAGGGCACGATGGGCCTGCACATGAGGCTGGGATGGCCCGATGCAGTGTGTGATGCTGCGGCGCCTCCCTGTGTGTCAGGCTTCCTGCTGTGAACTGCATGGCAGCAGTGGCGATTTGATCACACCCACTCCCCGAAACACTCCATGTCTGCCCTACTATGACCTCGGACCCCCCTCCCCCGCTTAAGGCCATTTCCGGGAGACGGTGGTGAAGGTGTACACCCGCCAGATCCTGCTGGGCCTGGAGTACCTGCACGCCCACGGCATCATCCACCGTGACATCAAGGTGTGTCTTTGTGCGTGTGGGGCCGGGGGTGAAGGTAGTAGGTTTTCCAGAAGTCCTGTGTAAATGTTCATGCAGGCTGAGAGGATCAATGCAGGGATACTCCCCTGGCTCAATGCATGCAACAACCCAGTCACAAACCCACCCCCTTCCCCCTTCCCTCATACACACACCCTCAGGGCGCCAACATCCTGGTGGACAACACGGGTTTGGTGAAACTGGCGGACTTTGGGGCATCCAAGAAGATCGAGGACCTAGTGACCATCGACTCGGGGTTCAAGTCCATGAAGGGCACCCCTTACTGGATGGCCCCCGAGATCATCAAGCAGTCGGGGCACGGCCGCCAGGCCGACATTTGGTCGGTGGCCTGCACCGTGATCGAGATGGCCACGGGACGGCCTCCCTGGAGCGGGCTGGGCAGCCAGGTGGCAGCCATGTTCCACATCGCGTCCTCCAAGGGGCCGCCCCCCATCCCGGAGCACCTCTCCGCCGAGTGCAAGGACTTCCTGTACCTATGCTTCAACAGGTGGGGGTGGGGGGTTGCTGGGTGGGGGTGGGGGTTGGGTCCTTGCTCTGCGCATTGCATGGATGGGTGCAGACCGGGAGGGGTGTGTGTTGGCTGGTGGGGTGCCATCACATGCTACTCCCTGACGAGCAGGATGTCGGGCGCAGCATGGCGGGGGAGGCTGGCACCCCACCCACGCGCCGCATGGCCGTCGGTCGTCCACGTCGACGGCTCTCTGTCGCACTCTCCCTGCGGCCTATGACACGTCGTGACCAGCCGCCCACAGTGGCACAGCCAAGGTCATCCCCACTCTGGCCTTGATTGCCTCCATGAAACACCCCGTAGGAACTGGAAGGACCGGCCGCTGGCGGCACAGCTCCTCCAGCACCCTTTCCTGGCCTCGGTGCCGCCCCGGACGGTGGCTGCTCCACTGGCCAGCATCGCCACGGGCCGGGCTGCAGGAGTAGGTGGCGCCCCCGCCATCCCTCCAGTCGTCGCTCGTGCCGCTCCGCCGGCCACCCAGGCGGGGGAGCACGCGGCCGGCGGTGAAGGGGCCCAGGGAGACCTGGACAGCCCCGCAATCAAGGTGAGTGCTTGTGAATGAAGGGGTGGGCCCCGAGGAACACGGCAGTGCTAGTGATCACATCGCAGCCCGCCTGCTGCCTTGAATTTCAAACCCGGCAAATTCCCGCTGGCTGCAGGACCATGCAGCGCCACGTCACCTCCTCGCCCGACCCCATCCCTCTCCCGCAGGCGTGGCGCACACCCCCCAAGGCCGGCGAGTCTCCCTCGGGCTCCAGCAATGCCGGCAGGGTGGATGATGGCGAAGCATCGGATCCAGACACCCCACCGGGACCCTCTGGAGACCCCAGCCCCGTCAAGGGCTCGGAGGGGCCGGCGCGGACGGCATCGCAGGGCCGTGGCGTGGCAGCGGGGCCCGGCTCCGCCTGCGGCGCGTTCGGAGGCGGCGCGGCAGAGGGCGCTGGGGTTGACGCGGGAACGATCCCCGGCCCCTTCGTCGTGGCGGCCAGGGGCGCAGTGGCGGCTGGCAAAGCCGCTCACACCGGCTCGCCCCTCCCCTGCCGCACCGGCCCCGGACTCTCGCAGCGGGGAGCAGGTGAGGGCCCGCCGCCGCTCCTCGCGACGGAGGACGTGGGCGCCAAGGTCGGCGTGCCGCGTCAGGCCTCGCGGCGGCATGTGCGAGCGTCGCTTCCCTCGCCCGTCGCCGGGCAGCGGGGTGGCGGCGGCGGCGCGCCGGGGCCCCTCCAGCGTGCGCACCGGGCTCGTGAGGGGGTGGGCGCGGCGACTGCAGCCCCCGCCGGACCTTTGGACTGTCGGTCCGCCCGGTGGGCCTTTGATCGCGTCGCAGTCGCGCGACGCCGACGGTGCACGGGGCAGGGACCGGTCCGAGGCGACCCCTCGCCGACGGCAGCTGTCAGCGGCGACCAGCCTGCGCCTGGCCGGGCCACCCCCGGCCATGGAACTCGGCGCGTGCGCCGAGGGGACTCCAGGACCCGATCCCGGCATTGCCGCGCCCGCGATCGTGCCTGCGGAAGGCGAGCGCGGCGGGGACGGGGGGCAGTCCTGCGTGGACGCGACGGGCACGAGCGGCGAGGGGGGGGGTGAGGCGGGCGCCCCCGTCCGCTCCGGCAGCACCTGCCCCGGCCGGCGGGAACGGCCCGCGGCCACTTCCATCCGCGCCGCGCCGTCGGCGGGCGTACGCCAGAGCATGCCCGCGCTGCTGCGGGAACGGGAGGCGTCGCGGTCGCCGACCGAGCGAGCGCTGTCTGGGAGCGCCGCCTTCCTGCCGGGGCGTGCGGGGTCCGTGGCCGGCAGGCACCTCCATCGCAGGCCCTCGGGGGAGGGCACAGCAGCCTGCCAGCAGGCCGACCTTGCACCTGGCGCCGAGGCGCCGGGTGGGGACTCGGGGGCATCGTCTCCACTCCATGACACCTCCAGGACGTCCTCGCCGGGGCGTGCGGGTGAGGAGGAAGCTGAGGCCTGGGTCCTGCACAGCGTCCCCCCTTCCCCCGCCCTGGTGCGCCGCTGGCAGGCCCCAGCCCGGCCCCGGGAGGGAATGCCGGCCGGCGGTGCATCCGCGCCGGGCAGCAGCGACCAGTCTTTGGACCCGGGCAGCAACCAGGTGGGCGCACAGGAGGAGCGGTGGGCTCGCGATCTGTCCACTGGCCTTCCCTCGCAGGAGCGGTGGTGGTGTGGGGATGGTGCTGGGGACTCATTGCCGACAACGACTGCCCTCCCTCAACATCCACCCCCCTGGCTTGCCTGTCGCTGCGCAGTGCGCAACTTCCACCTGCTCCCTCGCGCAGAGCACATACAACCCGATGGAAGAGCCGTCGTGGATGCCAGGTGGCGCGGCGGCCGCCGCCCTGGCGGCGCGCCTGGCGGCAGCGCCCTCCGAGGCAGCGCCCTCCGAGGCAGCGCCCTCCGAGACAGCGCCCTCCGAGGCGCCACGCGAGCGGCGGGGCGCGCCCGTGGCCGCGCCTGTCGAACAGGCACGGCATGCACGGGCCCCCAGCCGCATCCCGACGCCCCCCTCCTCGCCCTGGGGTGCAGTGAGGGCGGCAAGGTCGACGGTGGCAAGGCCGGCGACGGAGCGGGCAGGGGTGCCTGCGACGGAGTCGCTCCCGCCCTCGCCGGCGCGCCGCAGGCATTCGGACGCATCGCCCCGCGACCCCGTTCCCCCACCCGCCGCGGACTCGTGGGAGGAGGCGGCGGCTGTGGCCACGGCGGCGGGCCCCGACGCGCGCGAGGACAAGGACCTGGGGTCCTGGTGGCCGCCCTCCCCCGCGCGCGACCACATGGTGTGGACCAACGAGGACGGCGACATCGACGCCCTGCCCTGGGACGTGGGCAGATCCTCCATGGCCGCCCCGGCCGGCCTCTTCAGGGCCGCGCTGGGGTGAGGGCCGCGGCGCGCGTGGCTGGTGAGCGTGGCGGGCGGCCGACGTGCGTGGATCCTGCCTCGCCGGCCCGCAGTGCACTGCAGGGACCCTTGTAGAGCCCACCGACCCTCCCGTACTGCGCCGGCCATGGAGGTCAGGGGTACATGTCACGTGGAACCTGGCCCTAGCACACCCTGTTCAAGCCCGAGTTGCAGCATGCGTCGGAGCAGGCAGGAGGGGGGGAAGAGCAACGTCCACCGAGGGGAATGCTGGGCACTGGGAGGTGGGCCCAAACCTGGATGATACACGTCAGGGTCGAGCACGACTGAACACGGCGGGTGTCTGTGTGTCCTTTATGAAGAGGGTGTCACACGGGGTCGTCAGATCTTGGGGTACCCGGTGACGATGCCGCCGGGGCCATTCTGCTGCCCATTGGCAGGTGGCTCGCTGCTGAAGCCATAGGGCGGGGGGGGGGCTGGGCCCCTGCCGCCGCCCCGGGACCCCCCGTGCCTGCGGCGGGGCTGCTCCACGAGGCGTTTGGGGGTTGGCCGGGGGCGGGATACCCTGCGTATGCACTGGCATTTGCGGGGTAGCCGTTGCTGGCGGGGTAGCCGTTGCTGGGAGGGTAGGCAGGGCTGGCGGGGTAGGCGGGCGTGTTCATCTGCACGCTGGAGAGCATCTGCGGGTGAGCAGGGTTTGGGGTAAAACTGGAGGGCAAGTGGGGTGGCCGACTAACATCACTGCTGATCTTGGGGTCTGGCAGCGTAGGCAGCTCGCCACGACAGGAACCTCGGTGTGTTCCATCACGCCCCTCCAATGGGTCCCAGCAATGACCTGGCCCCTGGGGCATCACTTTCCTCCGACAGGACGAGAATCCTGGCCACGCAGGCCCCACCAGCATGCCATCGTCCCCCCCCCCCACCCCACCC